CAACTATATTCTATTGCTCTGTTTATACAGAATTTATGACTCTGCTGCCATTCTGTGTCTATGACTATGTCTGTTGTTGAAGCCAGCGAACCTGCCCGCGTCCTACTGGACATTGAGCAACATTAACCTCGTTTAGATTAACAAGATGTTCCTTAAGTAGTTTGCAAAAGCTTCATTCAGGTCTTTACTTGGCCGATTAAAGGCTCAGCTGTGGAAAGCTTATAATCACTCACAAACTGAACTTTTGTGTGCGTATCAGCACACTACACACCAAAAGCAAGGTGATCCACTTTGATGAATGGAAAGCGGAGTCAGAATGGTGCTATAATTAAACCTCTAGGTAGAAGTGCTCTTGATGGTATTGGAATCGGCAGCGATCCATCTCTCCAAGAACTTTAACTCGGCTCCACATTTGAAGCTGTGCCAGTGTCAGTTGTTAAATGGCATGCACAAAATAAACTTTTCCCAGCAATCGAAAAATGCCCCCGACTTGAAAATGTTGAAATGCTTTATGGCAGTGGTCGGCAATAGGCGGCCTGCGGGCCAATAATATCTGGCCCGTGGCCAGATTGCTTTAGCAGAAAAATAAAAAATAAATAAATTGATAGCGGCTGGTGCTGAAATAGATGTCAGTCATGACAGCAACAGTTACTCACATAATCAGATCTTCTTAAGTGATTATGTCTACAAAATAAAAGCACAAGAATGTTTTTTTTTTTTTTTTCATGGTGAGTTTATTGAGCGCTTTTACTTTGAAAAGTTATGAGGACAATTAGTCTCTGGCTTGCTTGACACAACTCTGAAAAAGCCATCAGTAAACATGGGATTCCTCTGAATTTCGTCAGTGAAATGAAAATAAGCATCCATAGGTTTATCGATGCGGATCAAACGCCGGGACACGCACACACACTGCAGGACATGCTTTATTGTGAGCATGTGCAAAAGTGTCCTTATAATCAATTTGTTAAACAAGGGAGACAAAGAAAAGTCCGCCAGATGATGGGATCGATCACACAACTTTCCCAACTGGAGGCTCGCACTCTACCGAGCTTAACGTGCACATGTTTGCAAGGTTTGAAAAAAAATTGGCCTGATGCCAGACTTATTTCCCGACCCCTGCTTTATGGAGTTCTTATTAGCAGCACATTATTTTACAATTATCAGTCAACACTGAAATTTGAAGGCCTGTGTGCAATCAGGAGTGTGTGATCTGATGAAATTCATGTATTTAGCTTGTATAATTGTTGCTTTACCTGCCAATACAAGTCAGCATGACTGAGCTAAGCACCTCAAATGGTACTTGTATGGGCCCATAGGTTCTCCTGTGGGTCCTGAGCAGTTGCTATGTATGGACCTCCATTCACAAAACTCACACACGGAAGGACTCTTTATCCTCAAGGTCATTTGGCCTGTTTTTCTCCTTATCCCCGCGAGGGAGACAGAAGAAGACCTTCAGTGCTCTGTGCCCTCTCCTTCTCTTCTACCTACCGTCAACTCTCCGGTATCTTTGTAGATAACCTCTCCCCAACCTCTAGGTCTTAAACAGCCAGGCAAGCATGCTATCATCTTTTCTCTCTGAAAATTAAGAGCCCTTGTAAAGAGGAAAATGAGATGTCTCCCTCTGCGTGAAGTGCACACAGCCCCAAGGCCACGGTTTGATGTGCATCTTTGATGAACTGGGAATCTCCTGTGTAAGCACACAGCTGAGGACTCTGTTTTTGCAAGTGGCTCTGATCTCTTTTTACTCTATTTAACTTTTTTCCTGCAAAGTGCTGCCTTGTGAGACTCGTGCTTAATAAGCCACACCTTGTTGATGGCAGAGGTTTGTTGCTTTGTTTTTGTCTCTTGAGTACCTTCCTTAGCCTGATTGTAATCTCTGATTTACATCATCAGCGGAATTGCAATTATTAGAAATTCTTGCTTTAATGCGATGTCACTTTGATTTTACTAAATATGTTGTGTGTCATCCTTTTGAAAGAAAAATCCGGTGCGGCGTGGTATACTATAGATAAATAGTGTTCTAATTGTAAGCAGATTTAGACCGAAGCTGGTTTCAGGCAGTGAGACTCGAGTACACAGTGGAGCGCGCAAGGGGGTGGAGACTGTCTCACACACACACACACACACACACACACACACACACACACACATTCTCTTCATCATTTACCCTCCCTGCTCTACCTCTTTCCCTTCCTCCTGTATGTCAGCTCTCTCTTTTTTCACTCCCTCTCCCTCCTCGTCTCTTCCCTCTGATTGGCTGACAGAGCAGCCAGCCAGCTTCCCCCTTCCCCCAGCTTCCAGAAGAATCTACGTCACACACCAGAGAGTCCCAACTGTATTATTATACATCGTGGCACAACCACAAAGTCCTCTGTTTTTAAGAGGAAAAACGGCTCTTAAAAGCAGCGGGGAGAATTAGCCGAGACTTATTTTGTCATCTGCCGCCCCTAATACATAATGACAAGAGGATAACAGTGGATCACAGTAAATGAAGGGGAAAGAGAAGGGAGAGCACAGGAAGGTGGGGAGGGATGAATCACAAGAACACAGAGGAAATGGAGCAGATGTAGAGAAATCCGATGAGAGGCGAGCTCGAGCTCTAGAGCTTCCCCACTGATTCCTGAGCTGCAGAGGGAGACGCACAGACAGATACGGGGGAAACTGGATCAGACCATGCAGTCTGTGGTTGTAGCCAGTAGAGGGGCTCTGGCACTGGGGGCAAAAATGACATAGGAACCCCCCGCCCCCATCCCCCACACATGCATAGCAGATATAAACACATACAGAAAACTGAGGAAGAGGAACAGTTGGTTTTTATATGTGACTGAACACCTCTGTCAGTATTTACAAAGCTGTGTGAATGTATATTGTACGACACCATCCCGTCCTCTCCCCCCAGTGTGGGCCTCAGCATTACATAACTCTTTGTTTTTGTGTGTGTCAGGCTGGCCGCATGTGTGCGAGTTATTCATTGCTTCACTGCACACACTCGGGATGGCAGCCAATGCTTTATAACTCATTTAGGCCACACAAAGATTTTCTTTTTCTTTTGGTTGCCCTCCCTCTTTTTTTTTTTTTATTGCCAGCAAGAACTCAAATACCATTTTGGCTGAGTGCACATTATGTCCGGTCAACTGATGTTTGGGTTTGTTCTCGTACAGTATCTGTAGGTTTAAACACATTTTTTGCATCCTGTTTACATTCAGCAGCTTATTCTGTTATGTAATACATAACGGATTTAAGTGTCCTTTGTGTCCCATAATGCATCTCAAACAGCAGCACCTCTGTGACCCAGAGCTGATTATCCTGTTTGACTTAGTGGTTACCTTTAACCTTCCTCATTCAGCTACAGTATATTAGCCTGCTGAAGACGTCATCCGGTCCAGACTTGGCTTCTTTTTCTGGCATTGTTTACAAAAGAAAAAAAGTCACATTTCTTGTTCACATTTCTCTTTAAAATGGCTAAAATCGATATTTTTATAATAACAGGTTATAAAATTAATATGGGCAATGTGAGTGGCATCACATGTAGTGATGAACCTACAGAGAAATATCTCTCAAATCTACATGCCAATTCAAAGTTATAGTAATTGCGCCTCCTATTGGCAACAGAAAGTAACCCTTGTGTGATAATCATCATTTGATTTACATGAAATGTTCATTGTATGGTCCACACTTGATGTACTGAAACATAACGTATAATTAGTGGGTGTTCTCTAGCGCCACAAGGTGGACATGAAGTGGCATTTAACTCCTTTGTGCAGTGTCCAAAACGCCTGAAAATTCAGAGCCACGTCAACTGACTTCCAGTAATGACACCGTGGTTGCAGCACACCTCAGTTAATTATTATTCTTGTTGTAACGATTGTCATTATTAGTTTTTTTAAGCTATCGTTAATACTATTATTATTTTTAGTATTTTGTTTGCTTTAGTAATTTATAATCCCTGTCTTTTTATGCCAATAAAGCTCATAAAATTGGAAATTGACAGGGGAGAGAGAAAGGGCGCACTCTGTTGCTATGGGTAACTAAAGGTAGTGGGACATGTGGACTTGGCCTCAGCAGCCGTACAAGCAGTTAATAACTAACAACTTCGATAGAGCACTGAGAGGTGATCATTTCAGGGGCCATAACCTGCCACAAACCATTAATAGCTTAAGTTGATGGGGGTAAGTGCTCTTTACAGTACTGTCCTGATGGCGACAATAGCGCGCAATAATGCAGCACGCAGAGCTAAATCCATTACCTGGTACTTGATCTCCTCATCACTTCTAATCTGTGACCTGGCACCACGGCAGACTGTTAGAGTCTTGTGTCTTGGCCATCCCTAAAGGCTAAAGGTTTATTACACTAGCACCCTGAGAATATTACAGTTCTCTGGTTCTCCAAAGAGCATCCATGTGTTTAGACTGACCACTGCGTAGAGTCCAGCTTCAGGCAGCCAGGAGAGACGGCCAATCTACGACATTTATAGACTTCTCCTCATTTGCCTTTCTGAATTTAACATTATGGTCTACTTTCAAAAGTGACCATGGCTTTGAAAAGAAGCAGTGGAGGAAAAGCTCAACCACAGCAGCTTTCCAGAAAAAAAAAATTGTTTCTTTTGTATATGCGCTTAGGCAGCAGCTAACTTTTTTTTTTTTAATTGTCAAATACAATGACAAATGCAATTATTTTTGTGGCACTAGTGTGCACTCAACAACTCTGCTTTGCCTAATGCTCCTTTACCTTCATCCTCCCTGCATCTCTCTTGTTACCTGTCCCCCCACCACCCATCCACTTCTGCAGTGCCAGACTCTGCCAAGCTCGACCCCGCCCCTCCTCTTCCCCCCGTCAACCCCAGTGCCGTCCCGTCTGTACCCCCAAGCAGTGGCAATGGCAAGCGCGCCCCCTCCGGAGGCCAGCCGCAGACAGCACAGCAGCCCCAGACTCTGCTCCAGCAGCGCTACCCGCCCAGAGAGGTGCCCCCACGCTTCCGCCAGCAGGAGCACAAGCAGCTGTTGAAGAGGGGCCAACCTCTACCTTCCGGGACCCTGCCTCTCACCACAACGGGACGTCCCGCCACTACTGAACCTGCAGCAGCAGTAGCCATACACTCCTCTCCCTCCTGCTCCTCTTCCTCCACAGCCAGCCTGCCTACAGGTCAGCCTGGTTGGCCAGTCACTATCTTTTACTCACCTTTTTTGAGAATGCAATTAATGTATATTGCAAAACTGGGTAGTGTGCATGGTTTAGTTACGTGACTTTACGTTTACTGAGAGTTCTGAGTGGAATTCAGTAGCATATAGAGTAGTTGTAAGCTGGCCAGACACTGTGCATTTTTATTAGTCTTGTACGTTGTGTTAACTCGCACTACAAGTTTTAATCAGCCTTTTTCCCACTTTTATGCTGACACTGTGCAAATCAATTGACTGACCACAGCTTGAGTGCTCACACTGAGCGTAAGCATGGAACCCCCCGGTTGGTTTTGTGCGGTGACAATTCCAATAAAGTTTATTCAAGCAAGACAACTGTGTACTCGTCAGTGTTGACAAACAGAGAGAAAGGCAGTGTTATTTTGTACAATTCTACTATGAATGGAAAAACATCTGTTCTGCAGCAGATTTCAGTTTTTATATCACTGCAGTCTCAGTCAAGTCTATAGCTTTAGCCACAAAATGCTACCTACAAAAATATTAATATAGTTCACTACAGTTTATAAAAGATTTGTAACACATGTAACAGACAAACAAATCAAACTGCGAGACACTGATAGTTTCTGACATGCCCAAAATCCAACAGATCGTCTGAGAACCATATCGTTCAGGCAATTAATCAGGCGCTGCAAACAGCAACCAATATGGCAGAGATTCAGCCCAATTCTGATTATTCAGATGACCAATTTGGGCTTAAAATCAGACTTAATCCGCACAGTGTCTGCCAGGCTTTTGATGACTCCAAAAAGAAAATGTCAAAACACAATTTGCAGATACTTTTATAAATATGTAGGTCACTTGACAAAGGTCTTGCATAGCGTATATAGTTACACATGTTGTCATTTTATTTTTGACAGCTGGTTGCTAGACTAATATCAGCTCTAATTTGATGATACTGGCATTAGATTGCCACTCTTGTTTTTTGTATGGCACTGTGATTATAACTGTTCGGTGTACCTGTGCGACGGCACTTGCATCACAGGTGCTGCTAACTGTTGTTTATTTTCACTCTGCCTGGGGATTAGAAATGGGGATAGCGGAATCCAGGGGTAGAGGATGGAGAGTAAACACAGCTGGCTATTTCTGTACATGTGTGTATTTTCCTTCCTGAAGCTCAGCATGTCGCAGTAAACCAGGTTCTCATGTATTTACAACTGGTAAATGTCTATTCAGTCTTAATAAAGTGTCATCTGTTCTTGGAAGATGATGATGTTGATAATTCTTCTTTAGGGCACTTCTCATTGTCTGGGAAGGAAAGGAAATTTTACCATAAGTGTGTGTGTCTAAGCATCATCCGACCCCTCTGAGTGCAGTTCTGTCTCCATGGCGATGAGATGTTTATCCTGTCCTCCTTTCTTTCTCCTCCTCCCTCCATCATCATCATCCTCCTACTCTTCGTTGAGCATTGCTGACCAGCCCTACAGTATTTCCTGTTTTTGGAGGAGGAGCCATATGAAGCGAGCTAGTTGGCTGGGCGCCTCAGTGGGCCTGACCTGGCACTGATAGAAAGACTGAGTGAGGAGGAAAGAAAGAAAGAAGGAGAGAGCGAGCATGGCAGAGGTCCAGTACTGTGGGCTGAAGTGACTCATGGCTTACGGTAAAAGCTGCTGCTTCTCTCCGCCCCTCTCTGGCAGGCCCACTCTGCTCTGCTTTTGCTCCGTGTACATCTTTGAACTGACTGATTACATTAGGACAGACAGGCAAGAGGACCTTCCAGACTTAAAGAGAGATAGGAGTCCAGTGGGAGGTTTTCGCATATATACCTCTGCAGATATTACATGCTGAGCTGTAACATTAAAGGCAACTCAAAGGTGCTCAGAAGTTTTGCTCATGAGCATGACACTCGACTTTTATCTCCCTTTTACAGTTCTTCATGTGTCTCTCCAACAACCTAATGTCTCATCATAAAAAACTTGTCATCTTAGTTTCTGGTTTGTAAAATTCCCACCTGTCCCTAAAGCCTTGTCTGCTGATTGTCCCTCTCCCTACTTTCATTTCTTGCCTATAGCTAACAGTAGAAGCACACTAGCTGCATTCATTCCCGCCCCCCTCCCTCTTCTCTCCATCCGCTGACTCCCCCTCGCCTCACCCCCGTCTTTCATTACCCAGTCACATGCTGGCTCTCTTGAAAAGTAGGGCTGATAAACGTGGCCTGTGTGCCTGTATGTAAACACAAACATTCTCTTCCTCTGCAGACTACACTGTATGTGTCCACTGCTCAACCTTACACTTACAGTATTATTCTGTTGTAAAAGCAAGAAGCAGCAACCACTCGCATATTTTAATGGTTCAAAGTTCAGATTTCATATCAGTATAAATAGTAATAATATAAATACCCTTAATGAAGATTAATTGAAATGAAATATTAAACATTAACCTTATTAAAGGTATATAGTTAAATGGCATATGTAAATCCCTTTTTTAAGCATGTAGTTGTGTCAAATTAGCTAATCAAACCATTAGCTACTCCCTTTTGTATTTGTCCAACACCTCCTAGTTAAAGCCCATAAAGTAATTATCAAGGTTTTATGTACCAGTAGGTATTGTACTTGCTAAGCACAACAAGGGCTGAAAACCCCAAAAAACAAGGGAAGTAAAAGAACAGTGCAGCTAATGTGCTAATAGCTTGTCTAGTGGAGAACAGAGAGAGAGAGTGTATGCATGCTAGACTGGATGTGCTCTTTAAGTCTGCTGATGATGCTGTAAATGAGCCTTGGGAATCCCCTCAAAGAGGACTGGGACGTCTTGTGATGTGATTAAACATCAGCTCTCTGTTAACCACAAATGTTCGGCGCTCGCTCTTTTTTTTTTTTTTTTTTCTCTATCCTGTCTCGCTCGTCTATGCCCCAGCTCCTCTCGCTCTCTGCCATGTTAGTTGTTCGCATTTTGCACATGTGTTCACCTCCTCCACCTCCGCTGCACCAACACCTCAGCTCACACATACCCTCGCTGGCCCCAGGGCCAGCTAGGATTAGTCAGGCTGCACATACTATATGTATGTATGTCAATCTTCCCTTTATTATAGCCTTGTCCCTTGCTTGGCTAACAAACCATATTCCTTTCATGTAGAGGAGGCGTGAGAGAGCAAGCTATTTTAAGACTGGCATGCTGGAGAAAGCCCTTGACCTGGTTTATCCTTTACAGGAGGAGGAGAAAGGGTATACTCGCAGGCAAGCATGACAATCAGATGTCTGTGTATTTTTTTTTTTTAAAGACAGCCCAGTTTTGTCCCTCTGTTAGTCTTTTCCCTAGACATAAAGTTGAGATAATAACATTGCATTAACAGCAAATCAGCTGCAAAAAAAGCATCCATATAACACCGAATTTCTTGCATATATTTCTGTACAGCTTCCCTGTTGAATGATGATTACAGTTCAACCAACAAACCACCTGTGCCACTTCAGCATATTCCCAACAGTAGCAGAAACAAATAGCTGCCGAGTGTTCTGTGTGTACTGGGCCCACAAGAGCGCTCCTGGTTCGGCATACAGCTGATGGCAGCTGTTCTGCTTTGTCATTTTGCATCACAGTAGGAAGGCAAACAGGAAATGCTTAAATCTTTGTAACACAAATATCAGCTGGTTCAGTAGAGCATCCTCAGCACTTGCTTATACAATACCTCAATGTTTCACATTTGTGGTTGCACAACGTAATAATAATTTTATTATTCCATACTTTCATGCAGTGCTGCAGATTAACAGTCTTCAGTAGAATATACTTTTTATAAGAACTAATTGGACAATTAGATAATTTAAGTTGCTCTGAACAGAATTTAAAAATACTTTGTAATCAATTGTAGTTTATGCTAATACTTTTAGGCCTGCAACTGATTAATATATCTATATCGATTAATCTGCAAATTAATTAATGTATTGTTTTGTTAATTAAATGTCAAATGTCAATTCTTTTAAATTTCCCAAACCCCAGTGTGACTTTTTCAAATTGCTTGTTTTATCTGCTCAACAGTAAAAAAAATATATATATACGATATTGAGTTTACTATTATATGTGACAAAGAAGAAGCATCAAATCACCAAATCTGCGAGGAAAGAACCACTGAAGGTTGGGCATTTTTGGTTGAAAAATGACAAGCAAAATGATTAATGAATTATCAGTACTTATAGTTGCAGATTAATTTTTCATTAAAATAATCAATGAATTGTTCCACCTTTTCATGACATATTTGTAACAAATTAGAAAAAGAACTGTTTTAGTGCTGCAAACGTCAATGGATCTAAAACCACAATTGCCCTCTGATGATCTCTGTTGTCTCCTTAAAGAAAACTGCATCCATATATTTGGCCGACGTGGCCCTTGTTTTTTTGTGCTCTCCTATACAGTTATGTGCTGTTTTCAGTGCACCAAATCAGAAACAACTAGGATGTGGCAATTGAGACTGTTAAACACAGAGGTAGCACATTCCTGGGGTGTGTGTGTGTGTGTGTGTGTGTGTGTGTGTGTGTGTGTGTCATAGAGCTCGTTCATCTGGTTGGCAGCATGCATTGTCAGCTCTGTACCATCCTGCCTCTCTGCCCCTCGGGGACTTCATTAAGCCAGGATCAGTCCAGCTGAGGCCCACACAGCCCTCCTAGATTACTTCCTCCTTCCATCTCTCAACATCCATCTCTGTCCTTCATTTTCTGTGTTCTCTGTATTTTCATTCCTTATTCCTCTTTACCTGACCCTTGTCCCTCCCCTCGCTCCAAAGGCAAGCATGAAAGGAAGGTTTACTTACTGATCTGAACATTTAGGAAGTTGTTGCCAGTGTGTATGCATCCATACTGTAGATGCAGTGTCTACAATGTGTGTATGTTAACACACAGGGAGCGAGTGGCCATGCAGTAGTGGCATGACCTCACTGCATGTTAGGTCCTCACAGTGGAGAGGCACAGTGGGCTGAACCTCAGCCATAAAGGCACTCTGTTCTCTAACAAACATTGACTTATTGTGTTGTTGCGTGGGTGCCGGGATCATTTGTAAACAATACCAGCCTTGATCCAAGGGACTGCTGCTCTTTTTTCTTTTCAGTCTCCCAGCCCCTGCTATCCTTCTCCCTCCATGCCTTCTAATAAGTCCCATGCATGTCCTACTCTATTATCTCTGTATGCAACCTCTTTCCTCTCTGTTTGGAACTGGAGCTTCAGAGATCACAGATTAGGGACGGATCACCCGGTCTGTAATCGTGAACTATGACCAGATCCAAATGAACTTGCTCATTTCACGTCCATGTCCTGTGCCCAGAAAGCACCCCAATGAATTGGCAGTTTTCGGTCAAAGACTTGGCGCTGCTGCTTATAATCACGGCATTCCCGGGTAGTAGTCATACATGTAGACAAAAACAGACATTTGTGATCCTGTGGGATCAGATGATTTGCTTGTTCATACATTAACACATGCATGTGTGAGAAAATGTCATTCCAGAACCGGGGGTGCAGCAGGCTTTTGTGGTTTTTCTTTTTTGTTTTTTTTGCTTTCTTGCCTGCCACTGCTATTCAAGAGGCTTTGCATTGTGGGCGGCAGTACTAATTGTAGGTGGAGTGGTCTTGGTTAAATATTCAGTGACAGTTTTGAAAGGTTGAAAGATGTGAGGGTGGGGAGAGGTTATAAAATTCTTCCTTTTGTTTTGTTTTACCTCGTGCCTCATGAGTGCATAATGAGAGTCTCCAGCTTCATCGTTCAGCTGTTAACCAAGCCCCCACCACCACAACTTCTGAACTCCCCCCCCCCCCATCTCTCTAATACTCCCATCCCCTCCCCCAACCAGCCTTCTTTCAGTGCTTTTCTAGAGAGGGAGAATATCCTTCGCCAGGATAGGAATAGAGCATGATATAAATAAAGCCAGAGGGAGGCAATAGATAGAAGAGGAGAGACCCAGCAGCAATGTTGGTGGGAGGGACCAGGCACGAGGGGTGAGGAAGGAAGGGAGGGGGAGGGGAGGAGGAGGGGGGGGGGGGGTTGTCTCATGCCGCGCAAGAGCTGTGCAAGTTCTTGGCAGCATTTCAGAAACGAGCCTCAGAAGCTTGGCGAGCCGAGCAGACATATTGAGACAAGGATGGTCGCTGCGTCGCACAAAACCTAGCTCTTTACAGGATGGTTGGGAGGCACCTCTCCACAGGTATTTTCACTACTGTGTTTCACATCTCCCCTTCTTTCTGCTTCAATCTCCCTGATTTTTCTCTCTTCTCTGCCTCTTCTGTGTTGTTTTGGTGGCTTGTTTTTACACATTGTGTGGATGAGCACTTTTAAACATTAAAGCTGCAGCAACAGTGCATTGCAGGCATGCACTGTTGAGTTCTAATGTTTAGTGTTTATTATTGAGAGGGAGACATGCATGCTATTAAAGCAGCAGTGGTGGAGATACAGACGGTAGCTCAGAGCCTTTTTGGCTATAGTTCAGGACTGAGAAAATGGCGGTCCTGCACTTCTCAGCAGAGTGACGCTACAGAACGACAGCACTGTGTGTGTCAAAAACACAGTGCCCTCTTTTTCCCCCCTATTCTCTCACTGCCTCCACTCTCTCCTTTAGTTGTAAGCCTTGAAGTAAGCTTGAAAGTGGGGTGGGACACAAATGCTGTTACTTACCTCATGTAGTTGTGACACAGTCACTCTTTGCATACAAACTAAGCATGCATGTGAAGGCATATGTAAACAACAAGCCCCTGCAGCACGAGGGACAGTAGAAGTGAGGCAATGAGGTGAAGGCAGGTTGATCAGTGCAGCAATCGTGATCTGCAACTGGGGTTAGTTTGTTCCAACACAATCCATATGCACACTGGAACTCCAGGGAGCTCGCTCAACTCACTCCGAGGGGATCTACTGTAAGAGAAATAAGATAAGGCATTACTTTGGGTTGTCAGAGCAGTTGCCCAGGCAGAGGCCTGATGTGTTGGTGAGGAGACAGGGTGCCTAGGGCTAGTGCAGGGTAATTGTGCTTCATGTCAAGCAGAGGTCATAACTGCAGTGGTTAGCAGGTCAGAAGGTTAAAGGGATATTTCACCACTGGAAATATGGTCTCTTCATAAAACTGGGCTGTCTGTACAGTAGAAAGACGGACGTATTTTTGACATTGGTGCTACATGACCTGAGAAAAGTGGCTTTTGCTCAAAAGGTAGAAAACTTACAACAGACAGAATGCACTGGGCCCGTTGCCTTCCAAGGCCACTCCTACTCCCAAACTTGATGTGAAAATGTGAATTGTATGTTTTCACACATGTAACATTGACGCTCTAGTAACAAAGCACTGTTGCTATTGCACTTACCCTATGCTCAGATGTCTGCTGGTTTTGGTTATTATTTTTTGCAGGTTCTTTTTGGGATTCTGATTTATATCTGAAGCATTCCCTTGTTCATATGTTGCATGAAGCTTTGGTGTAATGCACAGCGACTCCACCCGCTGTTTCAATTGGCACATATTATCTGCAGCAGCACCACCAGTTCAGCTCAATGTAAATCGACTGTACTTTCTAGTCCTGTGACCACTCAAAAGGCTCACATCATCCATTCATACACATTCATACACTGAGGAATTTGGGGTTCAATGTCTTGCCCACCTCGACATGTGGCCTGGAGGGAAGCCAGTGATCAAACCGCTGTTCTACCTCTAAGGTACAACAGCTGCATTGTGAATGTCTTCTCATCTTACATCGTGGAGAGCACTGGCCCTGTCTTGAGTCATAGTATATTTGGAAACATTTGTAAAAACTATGCGTGACCTATAAAAATGTATAGTGTTCAAAAAGAGTGCACAAGTGTTTTAATTTGTTTTGTAATAAAAGCTCTCTCTGCTGTCATATTAGTCATTTTCCTCTCTGTGTTTACATTTTCAGAGTGGGTGGAATTTTTGTTAATAAAGCATCTTGTGAAGTCTGTGTACACAAAAATAGCCTTACATGTTGCCATGGTATTTCAACCTTACGAAGTATATGTGGGTGCAATGACGTACATATTACCTATACCTCTTTTTCCTTATCCTTATGCACATTCTCACATCTTGTTGTTTTTATTTCCTTCTATACAGAACTGCCCCCACAAAGCGGCCAGGGAGCCCAGTATGATAATCCCCTCTGGGGACACCTGCCAGCTAACAGGAGTGCCACAAGTGCTGCATCTTCCACCAATCTCAGTGGCTGGGATCAATTGATCATTGACCAGAAAGACACAGAGGCTTGGCCTTCTATTACCCTCAGCCAGAGCCAGGCCCCTCCAGGAGGATGCCCTTTGGACACTGACCCCGGTCTCCTGACCAGCAGCAGCAGCAGCAGCAGCAGTAGTACTAGTAGTAGTTGTAGTACAGTGAGTATGGCCACTGGGGCCAATAGCCAGACAGGCCACTTCTCTGCCAACCACCTTAGCAGCAAGGCCAACAGTGGGCCCAGCCCTGCCAATCATACTGGAACCAGCATGCTCTCTAGCCAGGTTGCAACCAATCGCAGCTGGGGCTCTGGGCCTGGACCCTCCCATTGCCCCCCTCAGTCCTCAGTGGGGAGTGAAGGGAAGAGTGACAGCCCAGTGGGGGGAGGAGGCAGCAGGGGCTGGGGCTCTTCTTCATCATCCTCCACCACCAACTTTAACTTGAACCTAAACCCTAATGCCAACCCTTCTGCCTGGCCCATGTTGGGGCATGATGGGGGTGGCTCAGGGGGAGGCAGCTCAGGGGGAGGCAACACCACTTCACCTCCTCAACCTACACCCAACCTCTGTAATCCCCCTGGCCCCCCACCAGCCCAGACCAGCACCTGTACCGGAGCCAACACTAACAGCAACTCCTCTGGGATTGGCAGCGCCTGGGGTAGCATAATGGCCTCTGACACATCAGAGCCACACTCCTCCCCGTCCACGAATGTGTCTTTCAGTTCAGAACCTCAGAACCTTAAAACTGATGGACCAAATCACACTAATAAGCAGGAACCCCCCAGCCCCATCCGCAACTTACCTGGCTGGGGTAGTGCACATGCAGGCTTGGGTTCCATGGGCCAGCCCCCACCAGGTGGCCCACAAGTAAATGGAGAAGATGGTAGCTCAGTATGGGGTAACAGTGGTGACTCAAAGGCACCTTCATCTAAGGAGTCACCTGGCTGGGACTCTGGCTGGGGCCGTGGAGGAGGTGGAGCAGGAAACTCTGGAGGATGGGGTGACCAGTCAGGTGGAGGCTGGGGGAAGCAGCACACTGAAGAGGTCCAGGGAGGCTGGGATGCTCCCAGCTCTCCTCCCCAGGATCCGCAGGCTAGTCCTTGGAACAGAGCTGTGAGCACAGCTGGTGCCAGTGAAGGGAGCAGTGACAGCATGGAAGGACATCCCCGGCACAGAGATCACTCATCCAGTGATAATCCAGCTCCTCTGCTGCCTGCCCAGGATCTGGACCCCAGGGTGTTATGTAACACTGGCTGGGGACAGACTCCTGTTCGCCAGCACACCTCCTGGGACATGGACGATACTAAACGCAAGAATGATGTAGGCGCTGAATCATGGGGCTGTGGCCCAACCACTCCAAGCGATGCCCAGGGGCCCTCCAACACTAACATGGGCCCTGCTCAGAGGACTGACCCTGGGAGCAAAAGTGATGTGCCTGGTTCTCAGGGAGCTTCAGGTTGGGGGGGAAGCATAGCTGCTACCAACCAGCCTAGTTCTGGCTGGGGAGAGCCACCCAACAACATTAAGACCCCAAGTGGCCCTGGTGGCTGGGTGAACACTCCAACAGGAGGCCCCCCCGCCACTGTACCGAAGAATGGGGGTCAGTCCTGGGGAGAGGAGAAGTCAGCTGGGTGGGATGATTCTCAAGTCAAGGTAACATCCCAGGGCTGGGGAGATCAACCCAAAGCATCCCACAGCTGGGGCAATCGTGGAGGGAGCAATAATTCAGGAGACTGGAGAGAACCAGAAGACAGCAAAAAGAGTCCCTCCAACCCTGGGTGGGAAGGAGAAGCAGGAGGCTGGAAGGAAAACCCTCGCAGCTGGGGAATGCCTTCTTCAGGACCTGGGATATCTGGAGCTGGAGGAAATGGGGGCTGGGGAGAGCCAGTTAGCCAGCGTCCCAGTGGCCCTCCCCAAGGTTGGGGGGGCAAGCCTCAGGAAGGGCCCAGTGGTAGTAGTGAAGGAGGGGCCATTAGCTCTTGGGGTGGCTCAGGCTCAGTGAAGCAGGGTGGAGGCTGGGGTGGCAATAAGCAAGAGTCCCCAGTTGAGGGTGAGCCTACAGGCTGGGAAGAGCCCTCTCCACCTTCAATCCGACGTAAGATGGAGATAGATGATGGGACCTCAGCTTGGGGTGACCCAGTTACCCATAACAAGGCAGTCAACCTGTGGGACAGGAACAATCCAGGAATGTCCCAGGCTAAAATTACTACTGGAGGCAATAACCCCCCAGGCCCCAAGAATAACCATCCCCCTTCTCACAATCACCCCTATCACGGGCCGCCTGCACCTTTACAAAACCACACCCAAAACTCCCAAAACCCAGGGCCCACCAGTGGGCCCATGGATCCTGTTGTCCAACACCAGTCTGTGCCATCTCACAACCGGGGTCCCCTGATAGCTCAAGGTAAGAATAGATAATGCGCAGATTTTGCAATGTGTAATAGTGCCACATTGCCCACACCTGTTGGTCAGATTTATTGGCTTATAGACAACAGATAAATATAATTTATCTGTATTCTGCATTCAGATTTTAAAGTAGGGCTGGACAATATGGCCAAAAATGTTATCACGATAAAGATTTTCATATCTTTCAATATCGATAATTATCAGGATATGTATCAAATTGTTATTTCTTTTGAGTTTAAAGGCTGATTTTTGCTCCTGAGTGGAAGTTGAAGAAACCTGATGGTTAATTGTGATTTAAATTATGTAAATGCTCTGTATCGCGCCTTTCTAGTCTTTTTGACCACTCAAAGCGCTTTTACACTACATTTGCATTCACCATTCACTCATGGAGTGCTCAAACAGAAACCAACAGTCACACACATACATTCAAAACAGCATCAGAGGCCAATTTGGGGTTCAGTATCTTGCCCAAGGACACTTCGACAATCCTGGAGGAGCCGGGGATTGAACCGCCAATTAACGGTTAACCCGCTCTATCTCCTGAGCCACAGCCGCCCCAACATGGTGGATACTAAACCGTTCACTTCACAAATCTGAGTTAGAAATCTTTGTCAACAAATATACAAATATGCATGAATCAAATTAAGTAAAAGCTTTTTTCGGTCCCTTTTCCCCACAAAATAAACATCTAAAAAAAGAAGTCCTAATTTGTGTATAATTCAAGAGAATAAAGTCAAACATTTATTGAATATTTATTGAACATTTGTTATATTGTTATTGAGAAAAATTATAATACGATAATTATTGTTATTGTTTTATTATCCAGCCCTATTTTAAAGGTGATTTGATTTCAGATATTCAAAATGTAACTCAAGGTAAATCATTTCTCCCCGTTTATCTTCTTCTTTTTAACTGTTCAAAGTAAAGGTGTCAAACATGAAAGCTGGTTGGCTAATTAGCACAGTGCACTGTTAAGATCCAATCTGTTGATCCACTTAAAGGTAAAATCTTGACCTAGTTTACCCTCTTTGGATTTACATCTAATCAACTATCAAAATGACTTAAGCAGTACCAGCCCTGTCCCTCCATGTGGCTCCTCACATTTCACAACACTGGACACGTCTGTGCGGGTAACACTGGCAACTTCTCATGGGTACCCAAAGCAGAAGAATGCTGTTTACAAAGTGCCTTGTGAAAACAGCGATTCACCACAAACTGTTTGAGACGGATCGGAAGTGTGTGATTATATGGGAGCCACCATCTGTCAGTAGTTGAAGGGAGGAGGTGGAGCAAGCCCCTTGGAGCTGAGAATGTGCAGACGCCCCCTGCTGTCCCTCACTTGACCCTGCATGCTGACTCCACATTGGATCAATTTGCTTTCCAAATAAAACCTAATGCTGCCTTTTGCTGGCATAATGGTTGTTGAGCATGGATTGGGTTAAAAAATAAAGAGGAATAACTGCTCAATGCAATTCATAACTAAGGACAGAAAGTGGGGAAAACATTATTATGTCTCTTTGTCCCATTATGCTCTTTGTCCCATGTTTATATCAGTGTAGCACTTCGGCCAGTCATACAAGAAGGTTGAATGTTAACTAATTTTGAAGCAGCCTTTAGGACTTGACCTCTCCCTGGCGAGAGAGCTAGGCTGAGCCTGGCACTGCCACAGGCTCAGAGAAAGCACTGTCTCTCATGCCAAATGGGGCCGGACTGCGCCAAATCTTAAATGGGCATCTTATCCATCTGTCAAACATCCTGCTAAGCCAAGCCCAGGTTTCTGCGTCCGTGCATGAGTGGCATATCCCACTCCAAAACAGAAGGATAAACCGGGTGATATAAGTTATATGCATTGCAGTTGAAGCTGTACAGTTATTCAAATGATTACAATAAAAATGTAAATCTAATTTTGAACATGTAGACATTTGTGTTTTGCATACATCAGTTTGATCCTTCAAGCTTCATACTTTGGCATTAAAATTTGTTTGACAAATGGCATGGCCAGTAAATTCAACAAAACACTTACAAAGCACCAAAAGGTCAGACAATGAAAAGGGCATGTGAATAAGCTTTTTTTCCCCCGCTGTATTTCTCCAGATTTTTCTAGAAAATGCAGAACAATTACCATTTGGAAAAAAATGGCTAATTTATTTCTCTCACTGTAATTGTTTTAGTTTGTAGTAGTTATTTTAGGTTTTACTAATATCTGTGTCTACCATCTTATAAGAAAATCTAAAAACAAAGTCATATGAGACAAAATACTGAAGGTAATATTTATGATTGTATCCAAAGTGTCTTATTTATTTATTTTAGGATGTTTGTACAGTGAAGTATTTTTATAAAAAGGCATTTCTCCTTGTGTGTCCCCCAGGTTGGGGAGAGCGACCCACCTCCCACACAAAATCAGAGAGTACTTGGGGGGAGCCTGCACCCCCTCCAGTCAGAGTGGACAATGGGACCTCTGCCTGGGGAAAACCTACCGGGGGCTGGTCAGACAGCAACCCAGACAGCTATGGCAGGGGCAACCCAGCGATGACATCTGCCTCTTGCAAACCTGGTAAATAGATTAACCCTGTACGGTTTCATGAATTATGAATTAGTGTGCTCCACTGCTGAAAAACATTAAATAATTCTTTCCTGATCACTGAAGTCAAGGGCATCAAAATGGTTCAAAGGAAGAAAGAGCATTGGAAATGTTACCCAGGAATCCACACTGACTCCTAGTGGTCATCTAATATTTTAGAGTTTTCAGCTTTGTTTCTGTAGTAATGTGAAACATGTTATTTTTCAGTTTATGTCAACTGTTCTTGTTTTCGCAGGTTTGAATTTTGTCACATTTATTGTCCTTCATCAAAGAGTTGTCTTAACCTTATATATATTTAAAAGCTCACGAGCAAGAGGGCAACCAGCTGAATGCTTAACTTTAACTTTAACCAGTTGGACAGAGTTAAATCTTTTTAATGAAAACACATCATACAGTCAAGGTTATATTCCTATTTTTAGACATACTGAGGAAAAGAAATATAAACATATACAAAATTATTTCAGTTAAAATTATCCAACTAAACACAATTGAGGCTTTCATTAATATGTGTGATATCATATTCTCCAGCCCCCAAACCTATGCAAGACGGATGGGGAGGTGGAGGTGAAGAGCTGAACTTGTCGGGGGGTCAGTGGGATGCTGAGGAGGGAGACATGTGGAACAGCGCTGCCTCCCAGGAGAGCAACTCCTCCTGTAACTCTTGGGGCAATGCATCTAAAAAGATCCCACAAAAGGTGTGAAGCAGAGCTTATTACGTACAGAATAGTCCCTTACATTTTCATAGTAATATATTATTAAGTGAGTGTAGTAATAATAATTTGCAATCATCGTCTCTCCCAGGGAAAGGTCCCAGGGAAGCAAGAAGATGCTTGGATCATGAATCGGCTCATCAAACAGCTGACAGACATGGGCTTCCCGGTGAGTTGAAGTGACACTAAACTGCTGTTAGTCAAATTAGGAACCCTAAATTTATGATTTATTTTTTTATCTTTTTTTAAACTATTAAAATATTCCAACAGAGCAGAATTAATGTTTGTTTAAAATAAATCTGTGTGTTTTGTTACTTGTCAAATTGATGGAAATTATTTCACTCTGGCAATGATTGTAATAAATACTCCAATGATTACTCAATTAATTTATGAGTTGGTTGACAGAAAATAAATCTGCAACTATTCATCTATTAATTGTTTTAATATTTATTAAGTTATGAGTTATTTGTGTCATGAAACATGATAAGGGAAGTTTGGAACAGTAAGATGTTTATACCGGACATTTTGGCATTGATTTGCTTCTGCAATGCTGATGCTTTCTGGTTTATTCTCCAGAGGGATCCAGCTGAGGAGGCTCTGAAGAGCAACAACATGAACCTGGACCAGGCCATGAGTGCCCTGCTGGAGAAGAAGACGGAGCTGGACAAGCGGGGGATGGGGATAGCCGGCCACGACTACAACAATGGGCTCATCAACAAGCCCATGAACTGCCCTCGGCCTCCACTTCTTTCCAAAGAACCCTCAGCAGACCCCCGCTTGCCCTTCATGGATAAGGTAATTCATTAATTTACATAAAAATATGCTGTACATGAAATAGTTTTTAATGTTATTGCTGGTTAGCTACAAATATAAGGTAGGGAATATTTATCTGGTGTGTTTGAACTGTATCCCTGATAAAATGTGTTGATAAAAACGTTTCAAGTTTGTGTAAGACAGTAAGTTGTAAGAAGTTTTTATTCCACATACAAACAAGCTGCACATAATTTTCATAATTCCAAAACAAATTAAACTTTAAATTGGCTCTATTTTCCCAAATGATCATTACCATTTTAATATAATAATAATAATCATTATTGTTAATGTTGGTACTTTTCAAAATCCATGTTACAAAATGCTTCACAAAGGAGGTGGAAAATTATATGTCATAAGACAAGTCATATGTTTAAAATAAAACAGGAAAAAAAAGGGGGGGGGAAAGACAGTTCAAAGAAAATGAAAACTCAAGTAAAATCAAGACAGGCTCTCCAATAAAAGTATGTTTTAAAAAGGGACCTAAAGGACAAAAGCCGAGACTGATTTCTTCGGGCAGGCTGTTCCAGAGCCTTGGGGACGTGACTGTAATCTAAAGCACAAGTTGACTATCTCTCTTTCGACTCTTCCTTTATCCAGCAGATGCAGAGTGGAATGTTTGGTGGTGGTGGAGCAGCACAAGCCCGGGCCATGCAGCAGCCGCAGCCGCCTCCTCAGCCGCCAGTGCCGCCTCTCAGTTCCTCTCAGCCTAGTCTACGTGCTCAAGTGCCTCAGTTTCTCTCCCCTCAGGTACACAGACGCACGTCGCCTCATTTCTCACTTACTACACAAACACATTAGTATGCAAAGTGTTTTAATGTATGCAATGATAAATATTTTACATTCAGATTACAGTCTTTAAAAACATCTCCACTATGAGTTTCTCATTTATTATGTATCAATTTAGACCTCTTTGATCTTTCATATATCAGTAAAGGGGCTGCACAGACCTTAAAATAGCATATTAATATCGTAATATAAGTTGACTTCATGTTCGTATAGACAGTGCATGTGCTAGCCACAAGTTCTGTTTTATATTTTAACTTTGTTAAAACATTGTCTTTTTTAACTTGTCGATACTTTGCCCACAGGTTCAAGCACAGCTCTTACAGTTTGCAGCAAAAAACATTGGTCTGAATCCTGCACTTTTAACCTCACCAATAAACCCTCAACATATGACCCTTCTGAATCAACTTTACCAGCTGCAACTGGTGAGCCTCGTATAGCCTTGTCTGCTTTCGGTTTTATTAGATGTATTAAATATCATTGCCTGTAGTAGAGCACACACGTCAAATAGCTAGGACCCCAAAACTACAAAGACCAAACTTATTTTTTAATTGCACTGTAAATGTGTACTTTCATGTTTTCAGTATACATAAATTAAGACATTTTTATTATTTTTCCGTCCTACTGAGTTATAACTGGATTTACAGACACAGTGACGTCTTTTAACATTGGAACCATGCTTATACCTGATACACAGGCATACCAGCGTTTACAAATTCAGCAGCAGATGTTGCAGGCACAGCGCAACGTTTCTGGTCCCATTCGACAGCAAGAGCAGCAAGTAAGTTTCCATCTTAACCTGCAGTTTTCTTTTTTTTCCTGCTCTCTTATTACTCACTCTGATCACTGAAAAATCCTAAATTTACCGAGTTACATGTATTTTACCTAAATAAAGTTGATTGAAGTAAAACTAATGTAAAAACAGTCCGGCCTATGTATTTTTCAGTTGTTATACCTAATACCTGCACATTATAAATCCTAAATGTTTCTCCATTGTGATTTCATCCCAGGTTGCACGTACAATCAATAACATGCAGCAGCAGATCCAACAGCACCAGCGTCAGCTGGCCCAGGCACTGCTGATGAAGCAGCAGCAACAGCAGCCATCCCACTCCCACTCGGGCATGCATCCTGGTGGGGCCAAATCCACCCTGGATTCATTTCCTGGTCACCCCCAGGCTCCAGGCCTCCCCGACCTGCAGACCAAAGAGCCGCAGTCATCTCCCAACACCTATAGCCCCTACTCTCTCTGTGAGTGGCATTAACATTTCACTTTGAATGGAAAATAGATAACGCAGCACTAATCCTCATAGGCTTGTGTAGTAACATCTGTCTTTTCTCCTCAGCTGGACTGAATCCAAACATGAATGTAAACTGCATGGAGGTTGGTAGTCTGTCTATGAAGGAACCACCCCAGCCGCAATCACGCCTGTCGCAGTGGACGCATCCCAACTCCATCGAAAGCCTCTCTGGAAGCACCTCTCCTCTGGAGCCCAACCTGGGCAAGCATGGTGAGAAGAGGAAGGGAATCCTGGGTATTAAAAATGAAGTCCCCACTAGAGAACACTTTGTTTTAGATCTCATGCAAAGTTTGTATTCATGATAATTATTTGCCTTAATTTTTAATATTTGCCTTTTCTAAATTAAATCTCACTTCCAGTATAAACAGCAAGACCCTTTTATGCCAAGGACCTGTGTTCAGCTTGCAAGATGCAGATTTAGGATGTGGGTCAGACTGGGAGTTTCTACTTACTATGTAGCAGACACCATAATATATGTAAGAAAGATGCTAAATCTGTTCAGAACAGAATGATTTAAAATTTAAAGATAATATAATTTAAATATAATTAGACTAATAAATGAAGAGTAGTGTGAACAAACAAAGCAAGATTAACATGAAAACTACACCTTTGATTGTTCACTTGAATCCAAAACTTTTCCAACATTTTGCTGATATAAGCCTCTACATTTTTTTGTTTTAATATCACTTCTCTCAGGTGGCAACCTAGGACCCCCTGGTAAGCCCCATCAGCTGGACGATTCTTACAGCCCCTACAACCTGATGTCCAGCTCAGAGTCTCCTACCAGCCCCCTGGTCCCCCCAGACAGCTGGGGGCAGGGCAAGAGTAACAGTGACAAGATGGCAAATGGGACCAATATAAACTGGCCACCAGGTTAGGAACACTTGAAGTACTCAATATTGATTGCCAGTTTGCCGTCGGGAGCCAGGTCACGGTCAACCAGTTTGTATCATCTAGTTAGCCATGTTTGTGTATCCCTCGCTCTCAGCGGTGCATTTTCCACCTATGTGAAAGGCACTATCATTGATTTACTTTGTTGGAAATAGGAAAAAATAGGAATAAAAGAGTGGCAATGTTAACAGAGTGGGGACAGCATGATTTGGAAAATGAATGCAGCAGTTCTGGATACTGGCAAAAATATTTAGCTGTGTAACATTTCCCATTACTGAAATATGGGGTATAATTAAACAGGACTACTATCACTCAGTGCATAAAGAGTCAAAATATAGTAACCATCCAGTTAAACTTCCGCAACCAAAAACTGATACCTGATTACCAGCTGGTTGGTAGCTGTTAGTTAAGATTTTATATCATCAATGGATCATCTTTAATATTACGCCATTGTGCAATTTTCATTGTCATTTTTAACATTTTCATTTTGATTTTTAGAATTCTGCCCCGGTGTTCCCTGGAAGGGCCTTCAGAATATCGATCCTGAGACAGACCCAAACGTGACCCCCGGCAGTGTCCCCAGCGGGCCCACCATCAACACCAACATCCAAGATGTCAACCGTTACCTGCTGCGGGACAGGAGTGGAGGTGAGAACATGGTCAAAGAGTGAGAGAAATGTCTGAAAAAGAGTCTTAGTAAGATACTAAGAAAAAATTTTTTTTGCTTGTATTGGTCCTGGCCAACAAGACAAGTTCCATGTCACAGTATAGTTAAACACAGTAAATGCAAGCAAAGGTCTTGGAAATCTGTTTTCCCCACTATCTGAAAAATACACTTACAGAACAAGATGTGTCCCTATCTAATGTAAGTCCACTAAAATGGTCTTACAGTATCATGCTGCTGCCACCAGAGAGCCCGCTTCTTATTCTTTTGTTCTTCATTTTCCTACTTTTAACTGCCTCTGTAATCATTCATTTACCAGTTTATACTTTTCTCTTCTTAATGAGCTGACTGTCGTCATTTGTAGTGCATTTTTCCTTTACTCCATTTTCTCTCTCTGCTATTCTTTTTTCCTTACTTGTTTGTGTCTGTCTATTTGTTTGTGTTGATGGCATCGGCTTAGGCTCCTCTCCCACTTCATCTCAGAACGAGGCTCTGCCTCCCTCCACTGATTGGCCAGTCAGTGCCTACACTAGCTCGTTCAGTCTGTCGTCCCCGGAAACGGACGATGCAGGTACACGGTTTATCCATAATGTTCTCCACCCCACATTGCAGTGGCTAACTCGCTGCAACACAACATTATTCTGTCCCTCTTGTTACTGTTAACAACCAGAGCCTCAGACGCTCACTGGAGAACCACATCTCTCCTTTCCATTCAAGTCACTGCTCCTGATTAAATATGATCCTCATTTGAGCTCTCCCCCTGTCAACTTTGCCTCTCCTGCAGTGCATATTTCCCCTGTGGTGTTAGTGTATCTCCTTCCTCCTTGTGTGTGGCATGGGAAGCGTTGAGCAAATATGAAAGAACTTTTTAGTCGAATCATTTTGCTCTGCAGGACTCCCTCCTATGGGAGCAGCTGTCTTTCGGTCACTTGGTTCTGCAGGCCAAACTTTTCTGTCTCTCTTTTCCCTCCAGGTAAACTGTCAGAGATGAAGTCTACTTGGTCTCCAGGCCCCATTTCTCACAGCCAGGCTTCTCTGTCCCATGAGCTGTGGAAGGTCCCCCAGGGCCCCCGGGGTAGCAACACGGCCCCTTCCCGCCCCCCGCCTGGCCTCACCAACACCAAGCCTTCCTCAACCTGGGGGGGCAACTCCCTGGGTCTGGCCCAAGGCTGGAGCAGCTCTTACACCACAGGTAGTCTTAAAGCGTAATATTTGGGCAGCCAGGCACCAAAGTTTTTGATTCTTCTCTCCTTAATTATTTCCAAATGCCATTTTCGTTTTTGTCAGAATCTGCTTATTTTATTATTATCTCTTATTATCACAAGAAATAGATTCAAACCCCTAGGACAGCAAACAATATATAAGAAGATAATTTTAATAAAAAAGCATGTATTCTGAATTGAGAGTGCCTACAAAGTCCTTCTAGGAAAGTCATGCAACTTGGCAGCCATCTTGGCAACGCCTCTGGGCAGCTATTTCGGACTAACAAGACCAGGCTCCTTTCTGAATGAATGGGGAGAGAGCCAGAACTAAACTTTCACTGGTCACCGGGACATAAAAACTACATTAATAGAATCAGCAGTAAAATCTAATAAAAACTGCTGAAAAAGTTGGAATGTTTGCCTCAAAATAAGGTTACACTTGTACTGCTGTAGGCCCCTTACATCAGGGGAACCACACGATTGGCTGAAATATGTTTCCCACCTCGGCTGTTAAAAGAAGACGATTGGCTTTCTAGCGGGAGGGGCGGGACAACCGTCATCTTTGGCGTTACGGGTTTTCCCTATAGAGTTGTATTGAGGATTCTTAAAGTGGCGTGTCTCTTCTATATAACGCCTCTGGTGCCTGTATTAATTACAATAATTATTTAATCAAACAGTGCAGTGGTTAGCGCTTTCGCCTCACAGCAAAAAGGTTGTGTGTTCAAACATTGGTCGTTCCGGGCCTTTGTGTGTGGAGTTCGCATGTTCTCCCCGTGTCTGCGTGGGTTCTCTCTGTGTGCTTAGGCTTCCTCCCACCGTCCAAAGACATGCGGACTAGGTTGATTGGTGACCCTAAATTATATTGAGTATGAATGGCTGTTTGTCTATGAGTGGCCCTGCGATGGATTGGCGACCTGTCCAGGGTGTACTCCGCCTTTCTCTCGATGTAAGCTGGGATTGGCTCCAGCCCCCCGCAACCCTGTACGCAGGATAAGCGGTTGACGATGGATGGATGGATGGATGGATGGATGTAATCAAACAGGACAATTAAACAGGCTTATTGGTTTGTTTTAGTACACAATGAATAGATTTGACATCCTTGCAATTCTTTGCTGACAAAACACATGTAAGACATATGACATGCAGTAAAAACTAATGTTTTTGTCCTTGTCCTCCTGAAAATATTAGACAAAAAAACACAAAATTAGTTAAGACATACTGCACAAAGTGTAAGCCATTTCTTCTGCTGTCGTGTGAGTTGTCTAAAGGTTAGACAATGGAACCACATTGTGATGGTTCGATGAAGTTTGCAGTGTGAGTGTACTCGTAGAGCCAGCACCCCTTTGATGTGGCATACAACCACAGGCCAATTCTGGAGGTAGAGTAGGCAGGACTGACAACGGCTTAAGAAAATCTTGTTGTGGTTGTCAACTGACACTGGGTGGTGGTTCTTTTCTCACTGTAGGAATCAACACCACCTACTCAGTTTTAGTAACTGACTCTGGTTTCAGTCGAGCTTCGTAAGCATAAACTTCACGCTAAGAAATCTCTGCCACCTTTGTGTCTCTCCCTTACAAACAGCAGGTACCACGTGGAGTACGGACAGCTCCTCCAGGACCAGCAGCTGGCTGGTTCTGAGGAACCTCACTCCACAGGTAACAGCTGTCTCTTAGCCTTTGAGCATTCAGGCCTCACAGAGTATTAACTGTATCTGTGCACTTACACTTTCTGCGGTCCTGTTTGTGTCCCAGATTGATGGTTCGACTCTGCGTACGCTGTGCATGCAGCACGGCCCCCTCATCACATTCCACCTCAACCTGACACAAGGCAACGCTGTGGTGCGCTACAGCTCCAAGGATGAAGCTGCCAAGGCTCAGAAGTCCCTGCACATGTACGCCTCTTTACGTTTTTTGGCTCAGTTCATTTTTAAAAAGTTTTGACCATTTCTCAACTTTTTTTTCTTTCATCCCCATCCAGGTGCGTGCTCGGGAACACCACCATCCTGGCAGAGTTTGCTGGGGAGGAGGAAGTGAACCGCTTCTTTGCACAGGGCCAGTTGCTTGGTGGAACAACCAGCTGGCAGGCCACTCCAGGCACCAATCAGACAAGGATGGGTGGGGCCGGGTCCGGAGCCTCCCATCCCATCGGACACTCGCCCCACTGGAACAACAACAACAACAGCGGCAGCAGCAGCAATAGCAGTGGTCTGGGAACAGGCGGAGCAAAGACGGGCGGAGAGTTGCTGTGGGGTGGCGTGCAGCAGTATTCCAGCCTGTGGGGACCCCCGAGTGGAGAAGAGGGACGGGTCATGGGGAGTCCCACCCAAATAAATACGCTGCTGCCTGGGGACCTGCTGAGTGGGGAGTCCATGTAGGACAGAAGAGCCCAGGCATAACGAACACCAACAGGAGCAAAAACATTGCAAATCATTGTGGAGATAATCAGTGTGGGTGTAATGGTGGAAGAAGAGACGAGAGGAGGGCGAGGCTACATCCTCGCTGCTCACCCTCGCCAACCTCCTCGACTCCTTTTCATTTTTAATGACATTTCAATTGCAGTTCTTTTGTGAATCTCACTGAGAGATTTTGGTCACAGTGTTCAGCTCTTACTTTTGGAGACAAAGGAAGAAGTCTTTCATTCGACAAGAAAGAGAACTTTTTACAGGAATGACCTTTTGAGAACTCGTCCGTGTGAAACATGTACTTTAGTCAAACTGACACACAGTGACGAGCTGCCATCTTTAAACTTGCGTAATCCCTCTCGGCCTTTTGAGGCAATCATACTGCACCTCAGAGATCCATCAAAAGGCATCATTCCCAAAGTTAAAACCCTTCAATCAGAGTGGTTGTCGAACTTTCAGCTGGTCCAGACTCAACTTTTGTTTCTCTCAGCACTAATATTAGCCTTAACCTCTTTCCTGCCCTGCTATCCTCACTCACTCTGTACTTGGTGAAGAAGCATACGGACACTTGCACACCCTTATTTCTGAGCCAGTGAAACCTGAGTGGAGAGTACATGCTGCTGCTGCTGCTTAACATAAGCAACTACAGCTCACAACTTCAGTGCATTTTTTTGCAAGCAGATTGAGTTCCCCACAGAACGCTCAAAAGGAATGATGCAACTCTGTTCGACCCGTGTTCAAGCCATTTCTATTTGTAGTGGGGTTTTTTTATTTTTCCTCTTAAACCATTGCAAACAAAGCTAAGAACTGATATTATTCAAATGTGTCTGTCAACCTTACCCAGAGGGGGGAAGAGAAAGTTTTTGGGGGTCGTCACATGTACAGTTATAGACCTGATGGATGACTAAATGAACCACTGCTATTACTATGGAGCTGTAAAGACAAATACTTCAATGCACCTCAACTCATCTGCGGGCAACTCGCAGTTTGGTCTCAGTCTCGGACCCGCTCACTGATGTTGTGGAAAACCTCAAGTCGTAAATGTTTCCCACCGGCGTCTAGTCAATGACCCCACTCCACCCGCAAAAACACCATTTCAAGTGACGTGCAATATAAGCCACAGACTTTACCGTCCAAGCACCCTCCCATCATGACGAGAGGAGACTATAAGGAAGGATTGAACTGCAAAAGCTCTATCTGCCCTGTAACCCCACCCCCACCTCACCTACAACTGCCACTACTACCCTTCACCCCCACCCTCCCCCCCCCCCCCCCCCACACACACACACACCCCAAGAGTGTGTGAGCTCAGGAGAGTGGCGAGCTGGTGTTCAACCTTCTGTCCAAGATACTAGGACGTACACGCAAAGCACTTCTTCAGCCAGCCTACTCTCCACACTTATGCCAGTGACTAGTTTTTGGGGGGGAGGATAGTTTGTGTGTGTTTGTTTCTGTGTATGCGTGTGTGCTTGGGGAGAAGGCATCAAACCAAAGTGAGAGAAGCCTATTTTCCTTTTTACCCAGATGACCCTTTTTTTGCCCATATTTGCGTATGTAGAAAAGTATGAAGCATTTGCAACATTTGTGAATAGGTGGTCTATCATAGCACTTAGCAAGAGCGTCGCAGCTCGTTATACCCTTAATGCCAACAACTAGAAGAAAGGAGAAGCAACACTGGCAAATAAAAAAAATTTAAAAAAAAAGACAAAAAAGCAATCTGCTTAGTGGCTTCTCTATACATTTATTTTTTAACTTAACATGGATGTGAAGATGCTTTTTTTGTTGTTTTCTTTTTGTTTTTTTTTCAATCTTCCTTCCCTCAAGTCGGTGAGACCAGGAAGGATGTCAAACATGGTAGCAAAGTGAAGGGAAATACAAAGAAAGAACTAACTCAACTGATGATGGGTGCAGGAGGGAAATACCCCAAAGCACTCATCTTTATCAAAGTAAATATCACTGTTACATTACATACTTCGAAATCTTTAGCCTTGGTGTCTGGAAACGCTCGACATGTTTATGTTCTACTGGGTCCAGCAGGGAGGATCGCCATCTTTCTTGTCCTTATTTTTTTATTTTTTTTCTTCTTGGCCCTGCCAACCTGTGTGATAGTGTGGCCACTGAGTGCCTGCCTGCTGCAGAGTGCAGTGCTCTGCAGCAGCCCTCACCCCACCCTCCCGCTCGCTCGCTGCCTCCCTGCGGATCCCTACAGACTGGCATCCCTCTTCCTCCTCCTTCCCCTCCCCCGGCCTCCAGGCCAAGAGCAGCTCTTTCAGAACTGGCCCACCTGTATTAAATTTACTACTACTGCTGCGCCAGAGTCTGTCCTCAGCAACCTCCGACTCCACACTCTCTCTGTCTCTCTCCTGCAAAGATCACTTTAGCCAGAGATGGAGGCATGTGATGTGTTTTTTTGTTTTCTTTGTTTTTTTCTTTGTTTCACTTATGGAATTGCCAGTGTGCATTTTTGTTGTATTGTTGTCATAAAGTTTGCTGATATTGTTGCTGTTATCATTGATGATATAGATAATGATTGTTTCCTGATGGTGATTTCACAGCTTTTTTAAATATTGGTCTTTATGCAGTGTTCAGCTTCTCTCCTGCCCCTCCCACTGCCTCCGAGGCAGAAGCAGCGTGTAGTTTAGAGGTACGCCTCAGCCGTGCAGCAAAGGCCATATGAAACACTGCAGATGTCAGTAGAAAAGGCTGGTGGGGGATATCTTTACGTGGGGTTGTTGGAAAGAGTCAAGTCAAGTGGGTAAAGGTAGTGTAGTCAAAGGTTCTCCAGGATAGTGAGCCAACTGACTCTGTTCATCCTGGAGTGCCCAACCTCTGCTCTATGTCGTCTCATAACGCACACACACGCTTTAGTGTTGATGGGCTTCACTCACGCTGGTGCTTTATGTTTAACTCTGGGAGCACTCAGTTACACTTAGAACCACCTCAACTGATGACAGCCTTCCATTTCTATGCAAAGACAAGGAGGTGTTTGTTCACAGCCACCCCCCCCCCTCCCCCTACATCTGCCAATCTTCACTTATCGCTCAACCTTTACTACCCGGCAGCTTCCCTTGAAAACCTCCCCAGTTAAAATATAAGTGGCACCGAAAGAGCCTCTCTTCAAGGGTTAAGTCTCCCACTGTGTGGACAGAGCTACTAGATAACACTAAATGACCTGCTGGAGGCACTAGTGGTTGGCCGTCTCTTCTTCAGTCTTGTGCCAACTGATCTAATATTATCTACTTCCACCTTGTCATATCCTAATTCATCTTTAATGTGATGAGACTTAAGTTTCTTATATTGCTGCAGGGGCGTACACCACAAGCTCCAGCTGTAGGAGGCTTGAGGAGTAGAAGGGCAGGACGGACGAATTGTGCTGTTTATGGGGGGTTTTTTTACCAACAAGGGACTGGAAATTTAGTAGAGAACCAGGCTGCAGGAGAGGGGTGTGTGTGTGTGTGGGGGGGGGACGTTGTTGGTCCCATGTGTCTGTGCACTGTTTATGGGTCACATCGGGTACATCTCTTTAAAAACCAAAAACATCTTTTTCTTTATCATCAAGGTTTTTCGCAAAAACTAGAAACTACAAAAAAAAAATGTCAGTTTCAGCTGTGCACTCCAAGGCTGAGATACCTGTGTTCTGTTTCTCTGCAAGCTGCCGCCTTCTCACCCCGTCTGGGCTCATTCTCTGGGCCACATGTGGGGAAGCTGTATCCAGGTGGTTCATTTTGGACCTCCAACCTGAAGGTCGACAGGTCATTTCTGCACATCTGGCTTTGGGGGCAGGGTCCAAGCAGGGACCCTGTGTATCAGCAGAAATAGGGACACACCTCAAGTTTGGTACCAAGTCTTAAAACTTTCGGGATTTGCCCTCTTCCAGAGTCGCTTTAGACTCACGTCATTCAACAAAACAATCACTATTGCCTGTGTTGTCTGTCTGTGTGTTTGTTTGTTCCTGAAAATCTGTATTTACTCCACACTGGACTTGAATCAAAGAACTGGCGTTGAAGCGGAGAGTCGAACAGGGTGGGCGGATGGGTGACTGGGACGGAGGTCGAGTCTCAGATGTGCCCCGGATTTTTTGGCGCAGCACCAGCACTGAGAGCCCCGGCCCCTCCCACACCCCTCCACTGCACTCTTATCTACCTGTCTAGTGTTGGAAATCAGATGCTCTCCTATTTTTTAAAGTCACAGGGACTCAAAGGCAACTGGATCTTGAGCAAAAAAATGCTTCTCAATCATGGATCAGACAAGGGTGTGGGGCAGGGGCCCCAAAAAGAGTTGAATTAGCAAATCTCTCTTTAAAAAAACAACAACAAAGGCCTGGGTTGAATATGCACATGCTAGTCCATATACATAATACAACCAAGAGTACATAATGGATGTATGTGTGTAAATGGCTAGAGCTCTCTGTTTTCCACTTAGCCTAAGCCCCCTCCCCTGCCCTGGCTTCAGCCCTTACCCTGTGTATCCTCCTCAACATTATATTTCCCAGAAGACAAGATCATAAACATATCAGAGTAATACAAAATAATGAAAACAAATACTTGAATCAAAAGAAGCGCCAATAATGTAATGTGAACACTTTTTTGTAGTGGTTTTTTGTCTCATTCACTTCAGAGATTTTTGATAGCATCGGTTCAGAGTGAATTAAATTTGAAATACGAGTGTTGTTGAAAACAGAGCGATATAAAGGCAAATTTACATCTGTTGTATTTGAGTGTTTGCACAAGGCTGCTTGTACTGTATGTTGTTTGAATGAATAGTGTGTGAGGTGAAGATACGTGTGAGAGCTCGTGATTACAGCGGAGGAATTTCCGCCTTGTGATTCTTTTCAAGTCAGTATACTTTTGTTGTTGATTTGTTTTTTTTTTTTTGTTTTTTCTTTTTGCTTGTCAAAAATATATTCTGATGTTAATGGTTACTAGCCTCTAGCGTTGCACTGAGTGTCGGCCTCACCCCTCATCCAGCTAAACGAACAACATGATACAAGTACTGAGGGGAGACGGGGACAGTTCATGTGTAAATGTTTACTCAAGGACTAAAATAAGTGTGTTTTTAAAATGTAATGTTTATCTACCTTAGTGGCTTTCATTGTGGAATAATCCAAGAAAGTATGGATCATAATTGAGTATTGCACCATTTTTCAGACTGTAAACCTAAAAAAACAAACAAACAAGAAAACAGAAAAAAAAATCACATATGTATAAAAATGCAGCAAAAAAAAAGTATTTTGCAGACCTGTGGCCATAGATTGGGGTAGAAGGACTTCAGCTCTCCCAAATCTGAGCAACGGAGAGAGTGAAGGACAAGACATCAGACTGAGCCTTGGCTTCTAGGGCTCACTTCAGAGGTGCCTACCTTTTTGGTTTGTTAGCTTTTGTTCTGTTTTTCACTTATGTTCAAATCACTCATGTTGTCATTTGTTTTCCTGCAAGGCCACTGACAGTTTACAAACACTTAGTTTTTTTCTGGAGTTCAGAAAAAAAAAATCAGCAACACAAAAGAATTGAACCATGGGAATGTTGGAAAAAGAGAAAAAAAAAAGGACAAATGCTTCCATTAAAAAAAAAAAAACAAAACAAAAAAAACACTTCACCGAATGAAGATTTATTGTGCTACTTTCAGAGCTCTGGGATTGAACAGTGTTGTCTTGTTCTGTTTAACCTTCTTTGTTCTGTGTTAATGTTGATTTCATGGATTATCTGAAGCCTGTATGTTTTATGTTGATTATATATATTTCCTTTATATAAAAAAGAAAAGAAAAAAAGAAAGACATAATTGCTCACTATCTTGCACACACACAAAAAGTGGATCTTGTCTCAGGAAGGCCAGGGTTCCAGAGTACCAACTCCACGCCATTTTAATGTACATTTTTATGATGAGTAAAAAAAAAAAGAAAAATGGATGATTTAAAAGAAACAATTCTAAGCACTGAAAGTTATGGATTTCAGAAGAAGAGAAAATACCTTTTGTTTCTAAATCCGTAGCAGTTACATAATAACCAAATAATGGACTTTAAATGAAAATGGAGTGCTTTATATATAAATCTATATATTAAAATTGCTTTACATTTAAAAACAAAAAAAAACGGTCAATGGTTTTGATTGTTTTAAAAAAAAAAAAGAAAGAAAGACAGACCGTGAATAACATGCAAAATGCTGTATGTTTGAATCTTTATTGTGTTTTCTTAATGAGGTCCCGTCCTGACTGAATCAGGAACATTGTGCATTACTCTTTCTTTCCTCTTTCTCTCTCTCTCATTCTCCCACAGCGGATATTATCAATAGATACATCAGACTTTTGTGGAACATTTTTTCACATTTTTGGAGGATGTTTGTAAAACATGAGCTGGTTGTAAAGGATCATGAAACTATGCACAAGTGTTTTTGGGGGTGGGGGGTTGGGGTGGAAGATGGGGGGGATTATATGGCCTACTTCTAAGTGGCTGATCTATTGCAGGGGTTTTTGGGATCCAATGTGTTTTTATTTGTCTTTGATTTTATTTTTTTGAAGGGGGCGGAGAGGTGACTCATGTTCGAGCCTCCCGCCTCCAGCTTCCTTCCCCTGATTCAGATTGACCTAGCGCTACATCGCCATGCTGTGTATTCCTAAAACCAATGAGCGTCTCACTCTTTAGCACTGTGGGATTCTAGCCTGTCACCCTCAAGGGTTTTTTTTTCTCAGTTAAGGTTTTCTTGGAGGGTGGGGTGGGGGGGTATGGGATTAGGGCTGCTCTTTTTTGGGCCTTTTTTTGTTTTGTTTTTGAAATATTAAGTAAAAATGTCTGTACTGAGATTTAATGAAAAGTCAGTGGCTTGTAATGTTTTATTTTTCTCTCTGTATAGCTCTTTCTCCTCATAGAATGTGATTGCTAAATGACATGCACCGAAACAAATGTTTTCATGAACTATGGAGCTTCTTTCAAATATTAATAAAATAGCCTTTTTTTTCTTGGCTGTTAAAAATGCATCATTTCCTTATTTGGTGTTTTAATTCTCCGCCTTGTCTGTCTTGTTTCCTGGACAAGAAGTCACCTCTCGCTTTCATATCATGTTGTTGTGGTAGAGCGGGTGTCATTTCCTGAACACATTTGTTGCGCCATTAGCTCAATGCCAGAAGTCACGTCAGGCTCTGAGGGCGAGCTGTCTGGGGCAGGCGTAGTAGTTGTCCTGTGGTTGTCGGATGTTTGGGTTAGCGTACACTGGGAAGTTGACTTCCTCCAGGTGTAAGGGGGCCTCGTGGTTATTTTGGGGGATCCCGGCGCTCTGCTGCTTCCTGGTCATTTCTTCATAGATAGGAGCAGAAGGTTGTGGTCTGTGATGATGCCTCGCCTTCACCTACAACACATTATTTCTGACTTTTAGAAATCAATTTATGTTGAGTATGGAGTATTAAAAAGCTTCTGCAGTTAATATTTAGGCCTGCTCCTTGTTTTTTTATGCTCAAGGCCTCAAGCCCCAGTATGTATTTGTTACTTTAAACTGTGTTTACCAGCTAATCTTCTGATTGTTGTCTTGTGAAAAATGTCCATAGTCCAATGTCCACAGTTTCCCAGAGTCCAAGGTGACGTCTTTAAAAACTTTGTAATCTTAGTAACCATCTTAGTAATTTGGAATGGAATTGATTGCTCTAAATTGTGTGAGATTTTATTCCTGCAGAACAGCAACTTCATTGTATCAGATGAGAAAATACGCGCAGAAATTGTCCTCAAAATTTGCAACCTTGCTACATAATTTAATGATTACGCTAAAATTAATGACAAGAGGATAATAAATTCTAAACATGTGGATGATCCTCATAAAATTGTCTTGCAGGCTGGATCTGGTTCCCAGGCTGCTAGGGTGAGTAATAGATGTGACAATAAAGTAGACAGACCATAGACCCTACAATGAACACTGATTTTGACTTCAGAAGATGTTGTGATTGACCTTGATGGTCGTCTGAAGGTGTAGTTCACTATATATCTGTCGGTATGGGTGAGAGTCCACATGTGACTGCTGATCCTTTGTGCTAATTCAGATTTCCTTTTGGATATTTCATATTGATTTTGAGAGATGTCTCTTGGCCACTTTACATAACGTGACAGATTTGGTGACTCACGCGCAGACAATCCCAGCAGTAATTATCAGGCGTCATCTCACTTCAGTTGCCTTGAAAACGCACTAAAACCGATGACTGTCAGGCCTCTATTAAAGCTGACACATTTATTGATATTCAACTTAATATGACTCACTTGCATAGCTGTCTTTGTACTTTTGAATTACAAAGCTCCTGAAAAGCTAGTGCGTCTGTCAGAAATACTGCAAAATGGTGTGACAAGAGGAGCTCAGCAACATTTACTGAAAAACACTCAACAGTATTGTTGCTTCACAACATAACAAACCTCAGAAATGAGCCATCCCTTATTAGTTTAAGTGTAAATACTCACACATTTCTTATGGCCAGCCAGCTGAGTATGAACAGAAGCAGCCCTGCTGTTGTAAAGACTGTCAAGAGCACCGGAGGGTAACTGGGAGAGCACTGGCATGACCTCCCTGCATCACAAACGCCAGTACAGGTTAAAGTCTGATAAGAGGCACTTGGGTTTAACGTGTAAGTACTGTATTGTGAGACATACCTGTCCTCTCAACCAACAAGAAAACCTTCTGAGCGCCGAGGAGGATCTGGGGAGAGCTGTTGTCCCCTCGGTAGCTCAGCTCCCACATGTACAGTCCCGTGTCACTGTGCTGTAAATGGGATATGGTCACATTGACCTGCAGGGAGTCCAGTCCTCCCCAGAGCTGCAGACGCCCCCTGTGCTCGGGGTTGACCCTGATCTTGACGTCCTTAGCCATCGACAGCAGGGTCGTCTGGCTCTGGGCACTGCGGTGGTAAAGGTGGAGGCCCTCCAGGCTGCCATGCTGCTGCTGATGGAAACAAGAGAGCTCCAGTGACTGGCTCTCTTTCAGTTGCCTGAAGATCAACTCTGCATAGGCTGGAGGAGAAAAAAACACTTATGACTTTTTTCCATGACTTTGGTCCCAACTGAAATATCTCACTATTGGATGGATTAAGATGACATTTTGTACAGACATTCATGGTTCCCAGAGGATGAAACTCCCTGGCCCAATCCCAATGTCCCCCCTAAAACCTAAGCCCTGAACCCTCACAGACTTTACTGACGTCACTTGGAAAGTGATTGAGTGCAAGAGGCTGCAAGGGCTCAAAATGCTGTAAACAGGAAGGGGACAGCACTTTGCCACTTTATTATGTTACCTTGACAACGCTGAAACACCTTGCACACTTTTTATTTTATGTTTTTGCCTGATTTTTAAGTCCTGCAAGCTCTTGCCCTGCAGAGTAGAGGAGAGGTAAAAGTCAATATATATTTGTCAATAATCAATACACTATTGTTGGTCAAAACAACATCATTAAGCAAAAACTAAAATAAATAGTTTGTAATAAGGTGTTTGCATTCATCTGACTTCATGTGATCTATGTACCATCATAAGTTAAGGAAACTTTCAACAATTTTAACATCAGCGTTGGTGTCGATGCTTGTTTGTTTACCGTTTTTCTTCTTTTCTTACAAGGATTTGCCATGATTTTTCTCTTGCTTCCGGGCTTCCCTTGGTAACCCCCCTGTTTCACGCATGGTTTCACGTCATACCGCTATGAAGTGTGGGCAATTCTCTCAGCCAAAGTCTGCAGAAATGCGGACTTACGAAAAGGTGTATAAAAAGGGCTCAAAATGTCCGCGAGAGAGCCTCCCGGGAACGCGGCTCAAAGTCTGTGAGGGTGGACATTGGGATTGGGCCCCTGACTTTCCCTCTAACGCCAGTGTGAGTGATATATCTTCACTATTGAATGGATTGCCATAACATTTTGCACAGACATTCATGGTGCCAAGAGGAAGAATTGTAATGACTTTGGTGATCCCTTAACTTTCCATAAAGCACCATCGTGAGCTTCACATTTGAGCAATATATCTTAACTATTAAATGGATTGCCATGCTCTCCTCAGGTTGAATTGTGATCATTTTGATGCAGTGGTGAACAATATATTATTATACATTTTATATAATTATTATGTATTAAACAGCAGGTTAGCATTTAGCTCAAATCAGCACTGTGTTAGTGCTGTCACACAGTGCTGTAACCAAAGCCACAGCATGGTTCCAATATACCTCCTCAGTAAATAAAAACAAATAAGACTGTATAACCTGCACATTATGCTGCAGAAATAAATGCTTAATGCCAGGATAAAGAAGTAACGAAATCAGCAACATTCTGACTCTGTCACAAGCAGAAATAGTTGACTATTACAAAACACTAGTAAGTAAAATGTGAATTTCTCTTACCTTCAAAGAGCTGAATGAGAATGCATGCCACGCTCCTCCTCATGGCCTTTTCAGTTATAAAAGAACTGAGATATACCGAAGCTAAGTCATACTGTACTCCTCCCTTCCTTCAGTTTACTGTGATACTTTGGGGACAGCCTCAGTGTATTTATTGTTCTTCACCTCAAAGCAGGAAGAGGACTTCAAAGCAAGAACTGCCTTAAAATACTGGTCTTGTACACACAGAGATTGTCAAACTGAGTTTTAAAATATTTCTCAGACTCAGGATGTTAAGCATCAGGCTTTAGAGCCTTCAGTCACTAGATACAGTATAAAATTATTTAATATATATTTATTAAATATAAAAACATTGTTCCACCACCTAAAATACTAATTTTGTACCGAGGGGTGTGTTGCATACCCTGATAGTGAACAGAATTGTGCAAAAGACTGGTTGATTTCAACAACCAGATTCTCATTTTATCAAGTCAGAAAAGAGGATATAAGAATCAAGTATCATTCTGTGTCACCGGATATGTCTGGTGTCTGGTTTCTGGTGTGTACACGATCAGTGTGAAGTGCAGATCAGAGACAGTCAGATGGACAGTCCTCCACTGCAGAGAGGATTGTTGTTGGTCGTATATTCAGTGGTTTTTACATAAACCACAGCAGCAGTCAGCACTAATACATCCTGTGAACACACACATGTACATAGATAAAAGCACTGTCTGTAAAGGACTTGCCAGTTCATTAGGTACACAAGTGCAAGCCAATACAGCAGCCCTGCAATAAATTATAAATAGATAAAACTTTGTAAAGCTTATAATGTTCATTTTCTTGTTGACAGTATGTCTTGGTACTTGTTGATTCAACCCTGTGCTCATTTTTGAGTTTTTTCAAGCACTTATTTTAATTGAGTTTTTAAAAGACAGGAAACAACTCTTGATGAGTAAGACAACAATAGACAACATGAAATTACAATAGGCAGTATAATGTGATACAATTATGTTTTTAACTGATATGAACAAAAGACAAAAAATGAAACTAAAATAAAATAAATAAATAAAGATTAGCTAATCAAGCAAATATGTAGTAAAGATAACCATCCAAGATAAGGACTTTATTTTCTCATTCTAAGTGCATCAGTACCTCTCTTATCCCGTTTCTGTGGCTACGAGCTGTTGCGCGCTTTTATGTTAAAAGTTAAAGTTGGTGGTGTCAAAATTTGTTATATTGAGAAGTGTTTCTAATGTCTCGTGTAAGGGTGAGGTCCAACACAGCACCACCACTATGAGATTCATAGGATTTCTTCATACATTTATTGGAGGAATGTTGAGTTGGATTTTTAGATTAACTTTAGATTGTAAAAGCAAATAAACTGGTCAATCTGTATACAACTTCTATTGGTCTCAAAGTGATGGAAATGTCTGTTTCATACACAAACAAAAGTAAATGACTAAATGCAAGTTGTTTAAATATCATGCTGATTTTTTATTAAGATATATTGAGACACAAATAGTCAAACTTGACCATTTTAGATGTGAATGCTCACTGTGATTTATACAGGTTAATGCTGATGGATCCTTTTATTGTAGTTCATAGAAACAAAACATTTTTCAACATATGATACATTGATACCACTGTATGCAAAAAATATGAATACGAAACAAAAATAAGAAAACAAGTTTTTTTCTCATTTTACTTTCTATTTTTGTAAATTTTTGTACCAAATTTGAACTTGTAAAGAAGAGAAAAGTAAATAACTGCTGGGTAATTTTGGTCTAGATACTTCCAGAGAGCAGGGGCCAGGAATTAATTTTCATTTTACAGCAGCATAGGAAGCAAAATGAATATCTAAAGTGGAGTTGCCATGACAGTAAACACTCACGGGATCAAGACTACTGTTGCTGTGCACAATATGGATTTATATTTTTAAGAAGTGACTAAATTTACTTAGCATTTCTGACTTTTAGCTAACATTTTGATAAACGGTAGCACTTTTTTTTACACTGAATTTAAATTTCTACAAAAACAAGCAATGAAGCAAATATGTGTACAATTTTAAACATATCAACTTCATATAAATCAGACTTTAGTCTCGAGTGTCAGTGGGCGGGAAACCAATTGTAAGCTGATTAGCAGTTGATTAGACTCAGGTGTGCAGTGTCTGCATAAAGTTTAAAATGCCCCACGGCTCAGATGGTTTACTGCCTAGTGGGTCAGATGGGACCTTTTGCAGTCTGAACTGGGTTGCTGTTTTGAGTGGCATTCATGGAGACCTTGTATTTTTGGGTTTATGTCCTAGTTGGACTCTTGTTGCCAGGGATCTGCCTCAGGCCATCTTTTGCATTTCCACACAAACGTCACAGACAACATGATTCCTTTCTAAGGGCTCCCTTCACGGGGCACTCCAAATACACTGTGCATGGGCACCAAAAGGCTCCAGCTGAGGAACGAGAGCAGGTGAACACTGTCAGAGTGACCTGCCACCCAGACTTGCTGGAGATCGTTATCAAAGCTGACCTGTTTGGAGTCGGAGCTCCTGTTGATGTTGATGAGATACGCCTCGGAGTGAAGCCCGATGAGTTCTGTAGAGCTGCAGCATCTTCAGAAGATGAGTACAAGATCGTTGTTGGATTAGTGGACTGCGGGACCAAACACTGGGTAACAGTAATTGTTATTGCAATTCAAATAAATTTATTGTGTATTAATACTTTTAGTTCTAAACCTATATACCACCCACACAGATGGATGAATCCGTTCTGGCCTACACAAACCTCCTCATATACTCTCCTGTGGCCTCCCCAGGTGGGGTGACTCGAATGGATGAGGCTGTAATTCCAATTGAGTGTTATTACAAAAGGTCTGTTTAACTTATCTATATCTAGAGATAAGATCTGTGGGCAATGCTTCACTTTTAAAAAAAAATACTTTCCTCAGGAAATACAATTTGTCTAGTTCTTCGCTCCTGCCTACCTGGATCCCCTTCATGTCTACCCAAGCTGCAGTGGAAACCTTGGAGTTTAACTTGAGAATTATGACAAGTGAGTTTTGTTCACCTCTGGCATTGTGGGTTTTTTTTGTCATGTCTGTTCTTACTACTATTGTGTTGTGTGCAGATGACTGGCAGTATAAAAGAAGCTCTAACGTGTTTTACTTCGGGGATCTCATCGGCCTCGAAGCCTCTGTCAGAGTTGGGTATCACATGGGGCTCAGAGTATTTGTGAGCAGCTGTGTGGCCACACTTGACCCAGACATAAACTCTGTTCCCAGATATGTCTTCATTGAAAACGGGTAAGCACTTGAAATACTTCAAGGCTCTGTGTTGAATTAAAGGGTAAAGTACATACATTTTTTTTTTTTCCCCCTTTAGTTTGCAGCTCTTGGAGTAACGATGCATACCACTGCAGCTAGGCTAGTATCCATTTTAGCAGGACTAGTTTTTGTTTTTGCTCTCCAAGTCTAGCTACTCCTTTTGGATATTGAAAGTGGATATTAAAAACCAAATTACTCAAGCTGACAATGTGGGTAATTGGTGAAGGCTATCTTAACAACTTGACAAACTGCACAACTTTTATATAATAAAACACGTCAGAATCTTCTGTCTGACAGATTAGCTGTAGAATAACATGAATCTTGGTTGGTGGTCAAATTGTAGTCTGAGTAATGTAGACACTGGTTTTGCCAAGTAAGAATGTGTGGAATAAATGATGATACCTGTGGTTCGGCATTGTTGGTTAGCATAGTCTTTTTGCACGTGTACAGTTGTTGTGTCGTCCCCCCCCCCCCCCCCCCCCTTCATAGGTGCTTGGTTGACTCCATGGTTCCAGGTTCAAAGTCTCACTACTTAGTCAGGACACAGGATGACAAACTCCACTTGATGATTGATGCCTTTAAATTTCATAATGAGGACAGAGCAGAGGTGAGGACTGACTTGAATTGGCTCAAGTCATAACTTGCACATGGACAGTTTTGTGTTTTATCCCCACACCTGCCTTTTCCTTTCTCACAGCTCTACATCACATGTCAACTGAATGCTGTGCCAGTAAATGATGCAGAGGCACCAAATAAGGCGTGCACTTTTGTCAATGATAGGCAAGTGCTACCACATCTGAAATGTGCTAAATTACATTTAAACAAAATGAGTAAATGTGGAAATATATGCTGAGATGACAATCCTTTTCAGATGGAGATCGGCAGATGGTAACGACTACTTATGCCAGTATTGTACAAATCAAAATATAGGTGGCCAAACCCACCATAAGCCCAGCAGCTCTGGCAAGTTTGGTAAGGTGGCTGAATCCAAAACCTTCTGGGAGAGCGGACTGAAGCGCAATGAAGGTAGGGTTGCTTATAGAAACTAGAAAAATGGGAGCCCTACAGTATTGGCAGTGTCCAGCCAATCTTTAGAGGTGTGTGTAAATAAGTCAGACTTCACACTTGGCTTGTCTGTATCATGTCTTAGTGTGGCATCAGGAGGCAAGACTGGGTCCAATGCTGGTCTTGCCAGGTAAACAGAAGACTGAGCATCTACCTGTAGAAGAGCTTCCTCCCATTCCCAATAAAAGCAGCAGACCTGCACTGTATGGCAGCCAGTGGAGAGGTGGAATAACTTTCAGAAAAGACGGTAAGAGCTGAACTCTAAATCACAAGAACAAGATGATTAGCGTTGATCATTCAGAGCACTTCTGAGTCTATGAAGATGATTTTTGGCCATAAAGAATTTTCTGCTAAAAGGTAATTTACAATGGCTCAGCAAAGATCTTGAGGCTAAATTGTTTCCCCTTAGAGATGGGACTGCTTCCACCTACACCAGACCAGGTGGCTGAGACGTTTTCTTCTGAACAGAAAGATGTCAAAACTGAAACGGATCTAAAAGGTAAAGTGTAAACTTGACTTTTATTTTAAATGTCACTCTGGGCTTTTTTAACTAAAAGTTGTTTTCTAATTATAGATGAAGATGCAGAAAGTGAAGTTGCTGCATCTCTAGAAAGGTTGGGTCCTGAGGTTGACTTGAAAGCGATAGAGGCAGCACTGGACCCTAACGGCACAGCAGCCCTCAGTGATGTCATCCCCACGGCTCAGTTTACGATGGATGTGACTAAACTGTCAAACACAACTGCTACAGAATCTGACCTTTCAGCTGCAAATGACCCAAAGAGTGAATGAACAATTAAAAATAGTTTGCTTTCTGAGGTCTAATTGGCAGTAAAGTCCTGATGTTGCACAGGTTTTTTTTTTTTTTTTTTTTTTCCCTGTTTATCTGATGTAAATCAACTGAAACTTTAAAATGCCACTCTAAAATTAAACTTTGGAGAAAGCAAAATGTTTGCATTTATGAGCCACTGACTTTTATTTGAATGTCTTTGTTTTTAAGTTCAAGTTTTCACTTAAATTGGCAATCTCTAGTATGCATCCTGTCTTTTCCAGTGTGAACACACTTCATACTCAACCTGCCTAGAATTGGTAATTATGTGGGACACAACAGTCATCACTACTATGGAAAACTATAAATACAAGCGTTTGCATGAAAAATGGTTCTATGGCTTAAAGCATGTGCACTGAGTAACAGTAAAATGTAAATAAACTTGTCTGCTGTTTCCACCTACTGGGAATGTACATTAGTGAAACCATTATGCTTTAAAGTTATGGAAGTCCTGAGATGTTCAAAATGTTTGACTCTCATACTAAATGTGCATTGTCTGTCAGGTGTGCTCACAATCTCCTGAATGATTTTTGAGGCAGTGAAAAATGAGGAAGGCCAGATTGCAAAGACTAAGTGAATGCAAATAGACGGTGTCCTTTGTGTCTGTGTTCAGTAGATTAAAAGCTAGTTTAGCAGATGGGACTGTTTAGACTTCCAACTCCCGTGTGTATTGCGGACTCCTCCATGATTGTGGTGAAGGCTGGCGGTACAACAACGGATGTTACTCCTAGAGAGCTTTTCTTGGGAGAAGCAGAACAGTCAGTGCTGGTGATGCTGAGTACGTCATTGAAGCTGGACTGCAAGACTGTGGCTCCAGACTAACTAAGCGGTTTATGGATTTATTTTTACTTGCTGTACATTTTTGTTTTAGATATTTGTCTCTAGATATCTGAGGACTCTGATTTACTCAATCTGATCTCTCCAGCTGCTAGTTACAATGGCATCACAAGGATGACATGCTGTAGTTCGTGTTTCCTGCCTCTCTAAAAGGTGAAAGTTCATCACACTCTTGTACAGTGAGGGCAATTTCACTGTTGTAGACTTCTTCTGACCCTCTCCTATTCAACAGTCTGCCTTCTCACTCAAGCTGATGACAGGTATGTGGCTCTTATGGTTTGTCTTGATGAAGCGTGCATGCAGTGATGTTTGTCTACATGTTAGATGATTGTTCAAGTGAGATGTTCTCCAGCGTCTTCTACCTCAGCGCATCTTACTCTGGTCCTGATTCAGGACAAAGGCAGCTGTGCTGACACCTGACGCAACATCAGTGCCCACATAGTACTTCACTGATAACCACAAGTAAGAGGAACTTGGTATGTGGTTTGAAACTACATATTGGCTTTCGCAGTGCATGAGGAAAAAGATTTTTGTCAGGCGTCTCGCTGATGCAAAAGAAGGCTCAAATGCACTGTGCCAACGCAGAACGAGGACTTCTTCGCTTCAGCTTGATGCTTTTCCTGTTTCAGTGGGATTCAAGGAACTCGGTGAGCCACTTAAAAACCTGCATGAGTTCAAATGTTTTATAATGAGAGATGTGCTTCTTTTTTCCCCCCTTTTAGATTTATATCACATGCCAGCTGAAAGCTACCTCTGAAATGTGGAGCAGCAGTCCCATCAACAAGGTCTTCAATTATGTACATTCAAGGTGATTTAGTTTTTCTTCTGTATTTTGTAACTCCTTGCTACAAAGCCTTGTACAGGTTTGGAAAATTTTGACTCTACTAGACTTCTAGTGGATCATTTACAAAGGCACGTCTTCAAAACATGCCACCAAACAGTCTTTATGGACCACACCTGGTTCAAATTTCATAGTCATAAATTATTCTAAATGTTTAGAGAATCAAGTGGCTTAGGTTTACTCCATCAGCATATGATGTTTCTTGTAATTCTCTAACTTGTTTCTCTTCTAGGCAGATATTCTATTTTGCAAGAATTTCAATAGATTCAGTATCATCAAATTTGCCGTGATGCGTCAGTCGGTCAATACAGAAAAGCACTTATAAGGAATGCTATTTTTATCTAATTTTAACTCGGAGCGTTTCAGGAGTATGTTATGCATGTATGTTATTGTTTGCCTTTAATCTAACATTTTGGATTTCAAATGAAATCTTCAAGAGTGTTTTGAGAGAGTTAACAGATTACTCATGAGCCATATGTTTAAAAAAAAGCAGCAATTTCAGATTTGTGTGTAAATGGCCTTAAATTAAAGTTTAAAGTCAGCCCTCTAATGTTTGTCATTGTTTAATCTGAAATCTAATACAACACAGCTTAGTCTGCACTATATATTTATTTAAATGCTGACTCTAGCTTACTGCAGATGGAAAAATGTCCAGCCCTTTGACACTGATTTTTTTGTCAATCTAAAGTGATTGAGATAGAGTTCCTAAAGTACATTTAGATTAAAAGTTAAATTAAATTTTTAATTCAACTTTTAAAGTATTGTTTATTTATTTAAACAATACTTAAATTGAATATGCCAAATCACAACTACTGTCTACTGCAAGCATATTAAAGCAGATGGTCAACTTGTAAAGCTTTTTATAAATTTTATATCGCCTACTTTTCTCATCAGATGGGAAAATGTGGATGGGGGAGATGATGTATGTCAATGTTGTCGCAACACTTAGAAAGATGAGACAAATCTGAGACGTCTGATCCCTGAAGGTATGTCATGCTGTAGGTCCCGGAAAGAATTTCATTACTAGTATAAACTTGTGGTATTTCTGTGCAAAAGTCCCAACAAAAATGCTCTCCTATTAACATTTTGATTCATGTTTCAGATACCATGGCATGTGACACCGTAACCCTTTGATTTTCCCCAGCAAGTAGACAAGATTACAGTCATAAACAGTCAATATTTGAATTGTCATTAAAATGTTATTGACATGTGAGTAACATTCAAATCAACCATCCTGACTGAAGAGTCAGTTTAAATACTGACTAAGGTCGGTCTTTTACGGCAGATCAGTAATATGATTGTTCACTACCCTCCAGTGGTCACAGTGAGGAACTTCAACACTGAATTAAACTGCTTAATGTTTCAGTATCAACTTTTTACAAATTATGTAAAACTACTACCTTAATATACTAATGTGGTCATTACAAACAGCCTTGCCAACAGTAATTGTAATATTATTAAAGGGCTGTTTTATTTAATACTGGTGTAGAGAGACCAGTTTACCCAAAACCAACCTACCAAGCCTACGTTTCAATAAGCTCCTACTTCTGTGTGGGCTGATTTTTGTGTCGGTACAGACTGAATTTGAATCATTTACAACTGAATTTGAATTGCTCAACTTGAATTTGAATTTATTAGTTTGAAACTGAATTCCAATAAACTCGAAATTGAATGTGATATTATGAATCTAAACTGAAATTGTATTCGAGCCTCACTAAAAGTCTGTGTGCTTTCACTTTCAGTTCTCTCAATTCAAATTCAGTTCTCTAAATTCAATTTCAATGCACAAGCTTCAGTTTTAAGGTCACAGGCAGGTCAGATGCACAGAGCGCTTTTTCGGCCAATCAGCAGACCACTTCCTGTAATCCACGTAGGTAGTTATCCTCAGTGTTTCCCCTTTCAGACTGTATTTTCAACTTGCCAGAAAATGTATCCCCATCCATAACGAAGTTGCTAGGCTGTCTGAAATAATTTGTATCCCACTATACCTTTTGCTAGGAAAATAGAAACATCTCCATATTCACCCCTGTTATTAGTCATGATGTGAAGAATACACATAATTAAATACTTGACAGTAGGCCATCATCTGCATTATAAAGAGGGGATACATTTTATGGCAAGTTGAAAATACAGTCTGAAATTATTTGTATCCCACTGTAACTTTTGCTAGGAAAACAGAAACATCTCCATATTCAGCCTTGTTATTAGTCATGATGTGAAGTATACACAAAATTAAATACTTGATGGCAGGTAGGCCATCATCTGTGCATTATGGAGGGGGAAACATATTTTGGCAGACTGCATGTCCAGCCTGGTAGGACCAGTAGGCTACGGTTATCGCTTTTTGTGTATGAAAAGTTCTGTTTAAATGCAATGCATTATTAAATTGTTATGATAATAATTTACCCTTTAAGGAGGGGGACAATGTCCAGCAATATCAAAAGTCCATGCATTGCTGACCATTGTTTAACACAGGTAACCCCTCTGTAAATACCAACACAACCAGTTTGGACCAAATACTACGGTCTAACTACCTAGAAATGAAATGCATAGTATTATATAACAAGATAGATTCAAGAGTAACTACGGTGGGTGGGTCATTTTGGCATTCAAGACTAAATGTATCTGCAGGTATACATGACTGACCTGATGAAAAATAACAGTATAATGTTCAAATAAAAGTGACTGCCATGTTTTACAGCTCATCTGAGTGACATGGTGAAGCTCGCATTTGATGAAATGTTCCTGGACCCAACACACACTACTCACACTCTCAAAACTCAGGACGATATTACTGGGCAGACGTCATGCTTCAGTCAAGCACCTGAAGTGAAGACAACACAGCGACCAGCAGCAGCAGAAAGTCTTTGTATCCACAGGAAGACGCCTCAGGATGACCGCTGTGATCTCAGAGCTCCGTTACCAGCCGTCGCATCTTCAGTATACAAGAAACCCTCGATTTGTGTTTCCATTTCATTGGCTATGAATAAAGTGATATTTTTTGAGAGGGTTTTGGTTTCCTTAAATTTAGTGTTAAGCGACCTGGGGTTTTAGAAAAATGTAATTCTTCACAAAGGTTTTCTGAAAAATGTATTTAAATCCATGCATATAGAAGGCTTGAAAAACCTGGTCCATCTCAAATCTTTACCATGAAAATGTTTTGCAAGTAATTTAAGTAGTGACTCAGTAAGCCAGACATCTCATTTCATGAACTTTATTATGGCGTTGACAGATCACAATATAAATTATATTCTTTGTAACAGTTTGATAAAGTATTTTTAAACATGCCAATGATTGTCTGACAAACTTTAAGTGAAAATATCCAGGTTAATTTGAAACATACACATGGTTCAGTAGCTGCAGATACTTTGATTACTGAGCTACTTTTCAAGTAAATAGTACACAGTAGCACATTACTTTGTAAGCTCAGTAATTCAGCTATGCCTATTCCGTGCATGTTTCTGCCTCATGGTAAGTGTTAGTGGTCCAAAGCAATAATCATAATCACTATTTATCATTCTGATGACTTTGCACATTTATGGGGTATCTTTTTACTAGAAATATTTACATGACTAATGTTTCACATCGGACATCCTACCCTGACAATTACTATCGGCCTCAGTGAGTGCATGTAATCTGAGAATCTAAGCTCTGGAGGTCACTGCTCACAAAATCAGGCCACCTGTAAAGACAAATGTAAGACAGGTTGTATGCTGGTTTAGAGAGTTTTGCATAATTACTAAGTTAACATTATGTGCCAGAGAAATTTCAATAGCAATATCTACCTGAGGTTAATAGTTAGAAATAGTTTGAAGTAGTCCTCATATATTATACTGGAAACCTGTACTTCTGATTCATCTGCTATCCTGGTGGTTTGTCTCTGTGGTGGGTCTGTCTGGTCATCTCAAATTTGTGATTATGGCAACAGACATACAAACAAACATTTGCATTTAAATATTTATGCTGCACCATGCCATATTCTGCACAATAAAGGAAACACTACTGAGCAATAAAGATATTTAAAGTTCCATACATGTCTCTTGCTCATTTAGCCAATTCATAACATCCCATTACTCAATTTACAATTTGGCCTAGCGGAGCTAACAACAACCTCTTATGAAGGTTTATTTATTGTAACAATTCAAGGTTGCAGAGCTCTTGTAGCAATGGCTACAAAAAGTGCAAAAGAATTGTAACACATAATTTTTATCAAGTATAGATGGAAAATGAATTACACAGAGCATTTGAATCTGGCTGTAAATGGTGGTGTGACTAACCAAAAGCTCATTTATAAGTAAGTGAGACTCTTGTTTATAATGCACTGCCAGGCTACAGGAATGTAGCAGAAGAGCAGTTTTCCCATATTTATTACACTGGACCTGTAACAGAGCTGCAGCATTGTCACTGATACTAGTATCACACACACCGTGTCATTTCCTCAATTATACTGTCGATATCAAAGCACATATTGGAACGCAATTACGTCTTTGGAAACATCGAAATCACGGTTAAATAGGCCATTAGTTGTTTTTTTTTACCCAAACATGATCTTGAATATGACGCTTTTATGATCAATCTGTCATCGAGGTATGGACAGAGAGCTGGACATTGTACATTTAATTTCAGCACAGAATAAAATATATAAACTACACTGTCCTTTATAATACAGTGACTCTGTGGACATTAAGGTAAAACACTTACCCTGCGCTACAGTAATGACTGTTTAAAGTAGACTGTATAAAACTGATCAATGAACAGTAACCTTTCATCTTAAGTTGTAGTCGCACTGATTGAACATTCCTATCGTAGTTATCAACTGGATATGATGTGAATATTTCTGAGTGAGGATGACTGTGGTGCAGCTGAAATAATAAATAAATGTAGTTTAAAAGTGAGTTTTTTATTATCTGCTGTCTGAATTTGTTTTGACAGCATTTCATAAAATACAAAATGAGCACGATTTTATTATTCGAACATAGATGTCTAAAACTTCACAGTCAGTTTGAACCTAGACACATTTTACATTGCAAAAAAATCATTAATAGGCCTACTGAGTCTGACTGTCACTTTACAATCACAGATTAGAATCTGTTCGATTAATATTTTCATCTTCAATTATTCCCACCAGCATTTAGTCCCGTCAGGTTACAGCTGAATAAACAGGCCTGTAGCTGTTTAAAATGTAATATTGTTAACGTATCGATCTTGCGTTTTGGAGCATTATGGTCCACGTTGGCACGCATTCACATTTCTAGCTCCACCGGATTAAAATGGAGTTTCTGCCTTTATTTACCCGTTGTCGTGGTGAATCGCAGTATCGGAGCTCCATTGATGATGGCTTTTTTCCATCAGACTCAACATACTCAGAGTTGACTGAACTTTCTGAAAGCTCAGAGTTCAGGTTTACACTCAAGAGTTTGTTGAACCTGCTTTCTGAAACAGGGCCAGAGTCGATCAGGCGACTTACAATTGCTATACATGTCAGAGGTCGGAACACAATGGCGGCTGGGTCACAGTGGGAGATTGAACCCGGGTCTTTCACACCAAAGGCAGGCGTCTTATCCATTGCGCCATCACCATGCATATCACAACAGACCCACATAACGTTACCAGCGAACATCGACAGCTTAATAAGAAGAGCTAACGTTAGCGTTACAGTAGTTCCACAAAAAGTAACCGACTACTGTGGTGTTTTGACGGGCTTAATGCTAACATGGCTAACGTTAGCCGTGTTAGCCGCGGAGCTAATGTTAGCTTTGCAGAAAAATCCCACTAACATTTACCACACCTACTAACGTTACTGTGGTTATTTAATTTACTTCATACAAGGCTCAACATTCACACAATTCCTCCATAGTGTGTGGAACAGACACTAACCACATTAGCCTCGCAGCATGCTAGTGGCAAGTTATACATACTGTATAACAGTAAAACTGCATATAAAGTCCACAACTTACATGTTCCAAGTTTGAAGTGGGCTTCATCCCATCCCTGTCCTTCAGTCCTGAAATTAATCCTGGTTTGTTATGTCACTGGTGCTCTTTGTGAAATGGTTAGTAACTTCAGTAACTTACAGAGGAGGTGCTGAGCAGCCTGTTACAGCAGATGTGTTCAAACTTAGCCTAGTTAACTTACATAAAAACTAAGAGTTAAAATCACACAGGCTAGGTGTAGAGCTGTCACAGCATTATACTCACTAATGGTAAAACTGTCGTTTTTCTGCCCCTCAGCATAACATTTCATTAACTGCATGTCATATAGCTACACGGTAATCCAGTAGAGACCGAATTTATTGATATGATATTTCAATATCGATCTAGCTTACTATGATGTGCTAAGATGCCAAGTTGCTACCTAGCCAGAAAGCTAATGCACACGGCCAGTTGCCATAGTTATGACTTTACGCCCAAGTTAATCTAGTGAAGGTCTGCCCAAGTAATTGAGGTGCAACCCATATTAGTAGCTGATTTAGTTACAAAGTAGTAGTTACGTAACCTCTAGTGTGGGCTTTAGGAGATAACTTACACACAGCCGGGGTAACAGGCCACCGGTGTGGAATACAGGAAGTGGTCAAAAACTAACGTGCTGATTGGCCGAAAAGGCGCTCTGTGCATCTGCACTCAATTGCTCTTCCTCAAGGACCCTGACCTGCCTGTGACCTTAAAACTGAAGCTTATGGATTGAAATTGAATTGAGAGAACTGAAAGTGAAAGCACACAAAGACTTGAATTTTTAGTGAGGCTCAAATACAATTTCAGTTTAGATTCATAATATCACATTCAGTTTCAAGTTTATTGGAATTCAGTTTCAAACTAATAAACTCAAATTCAAGTTGAGCAATTCAAATTCAGCCTATACTGACACAAAAATCAGCCCATACCTTCTGCCAAAATGTATCTAGTCATGAGTGCACTGCCCTCTTGTAGTGACATTGAGTAACTGCATCTGCCCTGTTCTCACATCTCCATCCAGGTGAAAAAAGCTCAAAAACAGGCTGTATTTCTTAAGGAAACATAAGTTCTTAACTTTTACAGATGAGCAATAGCAAAGCATCCTGACTAGAAACATCACCAACTGCCATGGGATGTGCACGGACAGAGGGCTCTGCAGCAGGTGATTAAAACAGCTCAAAAGACCATTTATACCCATCTACCCAGTGGTCAGCAATATCGGTGAGGTGAAGTGCCTGCACAGAGCCAAAAGTATAGCCTACTAAAATACAGGACCCACCCCAGCCTGTTCACTCTGCTGCCGTCTGGAAAGACACAGAGAAGTATCTGCTGTTGTACCACCAGACATTAGCACTGCATCATGTCAATCAAATTGTTTATTTCTGTATATAACATTTTCTTTGCGAGTAGCATAAAGTGAGCTATTAACGTCATCTCAATATACAACCGTGTTATAAAATGACAAATGTACTGTACCTTATCTCTGCACTGACTAACAATGATGTCGTGTAGCTTTTGCTGAAACAGAGCATTATTGCTGTTCTGCTCAGCCTAATAATTTCTTCTAATGCAGTCCATAGGTCCATTTTATTATAGTAGGCCTGTTTAATAGTGAACAACAGGTGGTTAATAGCATATAGATTATTCAGTGACACAGCATATGAACATAAAGGTGGGATTCATAAATCTTATCTATTGGTGTGTTTTCTCTGTTTCCTGAGGGCTGTTTCACAAAAGCAGAATTTATAAATCCAGGATAAGAGATAAATCTAGGCTTGACCTAGTGTGATCAGTGTATCCTGGCTTTATCAATTTCACAAAGGCCAAACCAGGCTCAGGAGGAGCAACAATGTCAAGCCAGGTGTAAGTAATTCAGATAACTGGGTGTCAACGTCTTTCTTTACGAGACCACACGGTCGATCACAGATTCATTGATGCTGAAATGGAAAAGATTTATTTGTGTTGAAAATGGTGGGGTCATAAGGGCTCAGATTAGGGGTGTGCACAAAAGAACAAGACGAGAAAAATATTTTAACACTATTTTGAAGTAATATTCAATGCTGAAATATCTGAGTGGGGAGTCTGGGGGTCCTCCCCCAGACGTTTTTAACGTTAAACACTTAATTTCCCCTGACTTCAACAGAAATATTCTGCACCAATTTATGGTGGAAATTTCTTTATTTATATGAAAGGAAAATTCAGCTTGCAGGTGACAGTTCAAATACACAAATATAACGCAGTAATCAGTAGCTTGTTCTTTTAGCTTTGTTACTTTTTTTGGACAAGGCACATTTGTTTCTTCTAGGTTTACATTGCATTGCACATTTTCTTATTGCACAAATAAACCTTTCTTAAAGCATTTTCAATTATTTAACATTTTTCATTGCAAGCAACATTTTTAACAAATGCTTTCAAAATGTATATAGGCTATATATAGTTGGCCTTGGCAGAGAGGCTGGAGGTATGTCAATTTTGTGTGAAAATAGTGTACTTGTTTAATCAATATGAATAATTGATAAGAAGTCAGAGATATGGTGCCCATAGAAAATGCTGTATCATATTTGCAACTTGACCCTGAGGCTGTAGTCCTACAGTCTGGCAATGTAGTAAGTATACATCCACAGGTGCACAGTTCATGCTGTGCTAATTCATATGTGTTTTACAAACTGCCAGATGTCTGAACTGCACACACTTGGAAAAAATTAACAAAATAAAATATCAACAAAAACCCCGGCAGGACTTGGACCTAGATATGGAGATAAAAGGAGGCACTGAGGAAATTGGAAATCCAGCAACTAGAAAGAGAAGTGATCATCGCAAAGCACACTGTAAGCATGACTGTAACACAATGTAGGCCTATTAATCGTTGTTTTCTCTCCCAAGCTCGCAGCAGATGAGTGATTCCAGAGAAAAAAAGGTTGAAAAAAACATTGTGGTGTCCTCTCCCTGTTGTTTCTATTTCAGCCCCTCTGTCCGGCCGGGTGGCAAATATATACATATATATAATTAAATAAATAATAAAGAAGCACTAAATAAAAACTCCCTTGTCAGAGCAAAATCTGTCAGAAACAACATGGTATCCAGCTACTCATACTGCATACCAGGCTGCTGGGCAGGACAGAATTAAAAAAAAACAAATCTTATCCACTGAATTGTAAAGCAAAGTGAAAGAGGCGAAACTAAATATACAGGAAAGGTATTGATTTAGGAACCTCCCAGTTTCCTTGTAATCTAGTGACACACCTTGACAATAAAATCAGGAAATGTGCACTTGTTCTGTACAAACCTACACCTGCATCACAAATGAAGGAAGTGGTGTGCTGAATACAGTCTACCAACGAGATAACAAAATTGGTAAGTACAATAAGTTAGCTTATATAAGCTTGGAATCTTAAATTACTTAATTTAAAACAAAAAGTGTGTTTAATTGAAGTGAAATACTACATAATGAAAGTTTTGAAATCTTGTCTTTCTTTATAGTTATACTTTGATACTATTTTTTATACTATAATTGTTTTGATGTCCTTTGAATCTGTATGGCCTTTATGTCCTGTTTTAGACTCTGGAACACTGACCACAAAGTTATCATTGAGAAACTCACATAGGCGCACCCACATAAAAACAGTGAATCGGAGGAAAGCGATTCATGTTGTGTATGTAGTTTGCAAATTAGGAAAAGAAGTCTAAAATTAAGGTTGGATTATGCCACCTGAAACTAATTACTTTCCCTTTGCAGTAAGGTACAGTCAAACTGTCAGTTTCTATTTAGTGTCAGTAGTTTTCAGTTTTAATTCTCTGTCAATGTTTGGGCAGAAAGATTGGAGGGTAGAAAGAGGAGTGTAATTTTCATGTAATGTACTATCGAGAGAACAACACTCTCCTTAACCAGCCATCTGAAGAATGTTCATCACACCCCTCCTCTCCTCAAACCACGCCTCTCCACACCCAAACAGTGATGGAGAATTGAAACCAAAAGTAACTGGATGTGAATAGAAACTGTGAGTTAACAAAAACTGCAATGAAAAAAAGGTTAAGAGTAAGATCCATTAAGTAATGGATGAGAATGCAAAAAAAATACATAAATGCCCAAGTTTTATTTTTCAGTGGAAATGTTCTCAGTGCCGGTAGGCCTACACCTTTTTCTAGTGTTTCAATAGTAATATTTCCCTTTTCATTTCAGGTTTAGTTGTCAATGCTGAATTTTATTGTTGATGAAAAAAATTGTAATTACTGTTATTGTTACTGATTAGATTAGAGGTTAAGATTGAATTGGAGAATGGTTGCATATACAGCAGTTGGTGAGAAACTAATTTAACTGACTGACAGATCAAGGGCAAAATAGACTAGTTGCTCTTTTCATGTCTATGCCATTCTTGCCATTATTGAGTACTTCTGTAATATCAGCAATATCAATTCCCTTGTTTGTTAATTGATTATTTTCAGCATTTTTCCACCTTCTAATGTGCTTGATTTACAAAGAGAGACACCCTGGTAAAATGGGTTTGGCTTAAAGCAGCATACCAGTGCACGCTGTAGTTTAGTGAAATAATAGGTTGAATGACAGAATCACAGTTAGTGCCCAGACATTCACACTAAGTGTTGTTTTAATTTGATTCCTAGAGTCAAGGTTTTTCATTCAACAAGAGGTGATATGAGGTAATCTGTGGTAGAGTTTTGATACATAGACGTTCATTTAGTCTACTGATCCTACTGATGAAGATGAACTGTAGCCTGAATAAAAACTATGCTTTAAAATATGCTAAAAATATAAATATAAATTACCTACTAAAATAAACATTGTCATAACATTCTGTACACACAGTAGGTGTTTGGGTTTAATTTAATAGTTAAAAAACTAGTGAGCATAGTGTTACAAAGTGAAGGTGTTCTAACACTGCTTTTTCACCAACAGAGACTCTGAAAGACCGAAAAATTATCAACAACGATACCAGTGCTCTAGCGATCCACACAAACACCCATAAAAAATGGAAAGCAGCTCCTCAGAGATGGGTAAGTATGAAATGTTGCCTATCATTATAGTATACTAGAAATAAAGGCATGGTTTGTTGCCATTAGGAATGAGTGACAATTCAAGAAGATATAATTATTTTTAATCTGTGTCCAAGAACTCTCAAATAATGTTGATTAAACCAATGTACCACTTCTAATTGTTGTTTGTTTCACATGTGAATGTAAAACCATCACAAAACCTTGTGACACTCCCATTTCATAAAGATGTACATTTCTTTTTATCATACTGTAAGGTTACTTTTATATTTTATACTGTAACATTTATATTATACAGGCACACACACAGCCACATTTACAATCAGTGACAGTGTGACAGATTTTTTTATTTAACCTTTATTTAACCAGATGATCTCATTGAGATTTAGAACCTCTTTTTTAAGAGAGACCTGGAGAGAGAGAGGAGTGCAACTCAGATACATATCTTATTCCTACATACACCCAGGCACCGAATTCTGCCATAGCAGTTTCTATGTTTCACAGTAAATGATGTTCAGTGCTAACATCACAGTTAGGTGTGGGCCCTAATAAAACAGTATCAAGTGTAATGGGCTTGAACCTTTTAAGTAAGTGCAGCAGTGCATTTCCTCCTACCTTTTACCAGATAGCAGGTATACTGTATGTTATATTTGGAGTACAATCAGAATAAATGACAAAGCAAACATCATAGCAGAACATCAAAATAGTTGAAGCCCACCACCAGTAATTTACCACTGTGTGTTGCAACAGTACAGTTACAGTGAAACGGTCAAAGATGCATTAAACTGATTTTATATGATACTTGATTTTAACATCTTGTTCTGCAGGATGGCACGATCTGTCCTGTGACAGATGGACAGAATCTCATGTGAGCTCCTGGTTGAGATTCATTGGAATAAAAAAGAAGTACATAATAAAACTGGAGGAGGAGGAGGTGACAGGACCAGTTCTCACAACTCTACAGAGGAAATATCTCAGTACTACAATTGGAATGAAAAGTGGCCAGATTGAACACCTGCTGACGAAAAGAGATGATCTTTTTAAGTCAGAACCGAACAAAATGGATACAGGAAGAGATTTAAGTGCTAAAAGTAGAGATGACATAAAAGAAAATGTGTTATGTCTAGGACAGGAACCCAACCCTCCTTCACAAAAACCTTGTGACATAGCAGAAAGGGATAATATTCCCATGGAGTGCAATGACAACTCAACTTCTACAGAAGTATCTTCATCTTTCTGTGACTATCAGAACTTTGACCAGCATGAAAAAAACTATAGATATGTCAAACACAATGTGCTGCCTCCAGAGACAGGAATTGAAAACATGATTGTTCCATGTCATGAATATAAGTCGCTGGAGATTGCGCACAAGCTAGACTCAAAAAGGCTACAAACGAAAGTAGCATGTGAGGTGTTAAGATTTGCTTGTGCTTGCATGAATATGCGAACCAATGGGACAATTCATTTTGGGGTTATGGATAAAGTAAGAGGCAAACATCAGCATGGTGAAATTATAGGAGTACCTGTCAGGAGTCAAGAAGACTTTGTCAACGCGCTAGACTACATTGAAAAATGCTTCAAAGGATCAAAGCAACAATGCGATGCTAGAAGTTGCATAAGGAACCCCCGATTCATTGAGGTCTTTGACAAGGAAACTACTGAGAAAACATGGGTCATTGAATATGATGTTGTCCCAAAAGCAAGCATTGTAAAAAATAAGCTGTACTTTGTTTGTGTCCCAAAATTCTCTGAGAAGGACAAAAAAGTCAAATGTGAGGAGAAAGTTCCTTATAACAGAGTAGGAGCTAGTACACCACGCATACCTGATGATGACCTTGTTCCATTCATTCAACGACTGAGAGAGAAAGACCAACAGAGAGAAGAGGCAGAATCTTCAAGCAGTCAAATGGCTGTTGACTGTAGAGAGGATCAAAAGAGCAAATTCTCTATCCTCTTAACATGTGGCACAACTCTCTGTTTTACATAATAGTGACCAACAAATTTCAACCCGAGCATCTCGACAGTACAAGCTTCTTGTTTCATATGAATCTATTCTGTGTGTTTGATTTTGACACTGACCCAAAGACATCTGGTCTTTGTAGTAGATCTAAAGGGCAGGTTGCCTAAACCTTCACTCTCTTGATAACTTCACAAATAATGATGATTTTAAAACTGATGACTTTGCTGAGTCTTTTAAGCTTTTTGATAGTACAAGCTGGATTTTCTGCAATGAAAGAAAAAACTTCGCTGGTGGAGAGGAAAACTGTGATGAAAAAATCTGGATCAAAATGAGAAAGAAGAAACTGAAAAAGGTGGTGTCTCATCTGCAATGACATCCTTCCCAAGAGTTCACTAAAGCTCTACATGGCCTCTCGCCTTTTTATATTTCTGACCTTTTAGTCCCATACACACCAGCACGTACCTTGAGATCCTCGGGCAGAGGTCTGTTGTCTGTTCCAGAGTCTCGACTGAAAACTAAAGGGGACAGAGCGTTTGCTGTCAGGGCCCCGAGGCTCTGGAACAGCCTGCCCGAGGAAATCAGGTCGGCTGAGTCAGTGAACTCTTTAAAGTCCCTTCTTAAAACATACTTTTATAGGAGAGCCTTTCCCGATCTTATTTGACTTTATTTTATCCCTTTTATTTTATTGTATTTTATTTATTTTATATTTATCTTAAACGTGTATTTTAGTCTTTTCAATGTTTTCTTGCTTTTATCTTGTATTGTTTTTGTATCATTGTCTTTTGGGTATTATTGTCTTTACACTTGTTAAAGCACTTTGTAACTTGTTTTTGAAAAGTGCTCTACAAATAAAGATTATTATTATATTATTATTGGGAGTGTGAACATATACCATGAACCAGGCAGTGGTGGAAGTACTGTAGTAAGACAGATCCTCTGGAGTTGGAGAAAGAAAGTACAATGTACAGTTGTTAAACAATGTAAGGAAATCACAACTGTGTGCGAGCATGCAGTGAGACTGAGAGAACTTGATGAGAGAGACAAAAATAACTGTTTGCCAGTGCTCTTGCTCTTGGAGGGCTGTAATGCAGATTACATAGATGATGTCAGACGAGAGCTTGGCAATGTCATTGCAACAAAAAATAAGTCCCTCTGTGCTGTGCTTTATCCTCCTCATCTGCAACAGGTCAAATGATCCAGGAAAAATGTGCAGAGCATCACCATCTCAAACAGTAGCAGTCACACATAAGCTCACAAACATAGAGAAGCCTTTATTCTCAAAAAAGTTGGAGCAACTCAAACTGCTGTTTCATCCAGAATTCATCCTCACTTTTGTGCTGATGAGTAAAGAGTTTCAGCCAAATTACATTGAGGATTTTATGAAAAACCCTCTTAGTAACATTGATTATTCTTCACCTATCACTCGCCTCATCAGATTTATGGCTCTCTTGAACTGCTATGTTGAAGACATATCTGTCTCACACTGTGAGGCATCTCTTGGCATATCCGCTACCGAGCTCAGTACCATGCATTTGAGGATCTTCTCAGTGACAAAGCTATGCTTATTTTCATCCACCTCAAATAAAGTTCAACACACATCTCATCAATACGGATTATTCATCCACTGGTGGCAGAGGAAATTCTGAGTCTGCTGTCTGCAAATTCACCTCAGAGTGATATTGCCATGGATCTCATCACCGACAAGGTACTTATCAATCATAGGTTTGACAGAGACGAGTTCCTGAAGTTCATCAGAGCTTTTTTCATCAGATGCAAAAAAAAGAGCAGAGGAGATCTTGAAGACACAGCTTTTTCACCCTTTATTGAACATGTCTGCACCCAAATAGGTGGTGTTCAGAAAGCTGTTGATCTCATGAAAGCTGCTTACATAGCTCTGGGAAAAGATCCATTTGTCGCACAACAGCTTGGCTGGCTGCTTTACACATATTTGACATTTTATGTGAGTCCTTAGAATGGGCAGAGGAAGCAAAATCTCTTCTTCCAAATGATATATTTGTCCATGACACCTTGGGACAAGTTTACAAGAGGTGGTTTTACCACTTGTATGACCAGCTTGAGGAAAAAGAACCATCCCCTGAATTGGACATTGAAATTATAAGCACAGCACTCAAAGGAATATCTGCCTTTTGGGCCTCAGAGAAAACACCAAAGAAAGAGACTGTCACCCTAAGCAGTTCATACTACGGGGAAGTGGATTTTGGGTGCAGGCTGCTAAAATTCCTGTCAGAAGTAGATGTTTTTTCAAACAGTACTGGGAAATCAGAGTTGATACAGTACTTGTTAACACACTAGAGGTCAAACAACCCTGGCAGAGGTTTCATCAGCAGTTGAAAGGATTACAAAAGAGCTTGAGCCATGCACTTGAGTGCATTTCTGAAAACCTCAGCTACACAAAAAGAAAAATCTGGAGAAATAAATATTCTGATGGTTTATTTTCTGAAAGCCTCGACTGAAGCTGGACAGACTGAAAGATGTTTTTTCTTTTGTCCACAAGTAAAATATGCATTGGAATCGACTCAAAAGATATTTTAAATGGACCATTAGACTTTAGATTTTAATTATGCACATCTTTAAAAGCACATATACTGTGTATATAGAAAGATGCATCCAGTGTCACAGCTTTTACTACAGTATGATTCTCAAAAAACACAACTTGTGGATCTGTTGGTACTAAAATGATGGTGAAGACGCACATTCGTATCTCAAATTATGAAACACAAGATTAAGGGTCTGATCTAATGCAAGTAGTTATTTTTTACACAGTATTTACATTTACAAAATTTTTGTTTAATATTTGTTTTTTTCTGAGAATTGTAATTGAATTGTACCAGTAAACAGAAAGTCTGCCTCATGTTTGTGTATAATAAAACAGGGTATATACAGGAATCCTGAAGTAAAATTCAATACCTTTTTCAACATATTTTAAGACTGCCACGCCACTTTGAGCTGTAACTGATTAAATCAGCCACACACCTTTAAAAGGGACATTTTAGAGTTTTTAAAAGGAATTTAAGTATATTTATAACATATTTATTGCCTATATGTCATCAGGTTGTAACGCCACCTAAACATTGAGGCATTCACCAACTTTCTCAGTTGCCTATAACAGCCTGTATGGGCCAACAGTTTTCTATGTGAAGGACTGGTCAGATTTCCTGCGAAAAGCAACTTTCTTACATAAGCTATGACGTTTATGTACGCAACATTACAGCAAATCATGTGAAACACAGTGTAATTTTGCGTTTTAGTTGGTTTAAACTATAAACCAATTAATAATAATATAATGTGAGTTTCATAATGTGAGCTTGCCTGCAATGATGTGTGTGATAACTTTCACCGTCCACTTGATCAATAAAACAAAATTCAAATAGGCCAGGAGGGAACAAAGATGAAGAGAACAAACTGAGTGATGAATAACCTAAGTAGTGTAGGCGGTGTAGCACAGGCACAACCTGGAGGAGGAACTAGTCTAAATGTGTAACATTAAATTGAAAGCATATTGTTAATTTAATAGTAAACTGTAAGCTTGAAATTAATATATTCATTATGTTACTATATTCAATATAATTTCATATAATAGTATATAACATACCACCAGTATATTAATTCAAATTACAGCTGCTTCAGTTTGGGGTTGTTTTTTATTCATTAACTTTGTGCAAGAAAAATGCTCTAGGCTACATGACAGTCTCCAGCCTTGATTTTTGGCTACTAACTCGTCAATAATCATAACCGTTTATGCAGAGCACTGAGTTCAACATTTATAAAGTTTGTTGCAGCACATCAAGCTTTTTTTAAAATCCCTCTCCATCCAGGCTGTGAATGATTTGTTCACAAAAAGTGACAATAATCAATAAAAAGCACCTATTTAGCTAAATAGCCAGCTAACGTTAGCCAAACCCACACGCTCCTTGGATTTTCCCTGTTTTCTTCTGTCTTACCGATTCAGCTGCTTGCGGCGCATCCGCTCTTGTTTTTCAGGAACGGGGCTGTTCAAAGTGGCCACAGAGCGACCGGCCAACCGGGTTAATCCAGTTACTCCTGATCGCCACTCCGACTATGTTTTGGACGATTAGCATTGCGGGTCCGGTGGGGTGGGAAATTACGGGAAATAATATTTACTTTAGCTGACATGCCTGAAGATAATGTCAACAACACAAACATTGACATTCAACAGCACGTAAGAGTGAAGGCCCCTGGTAAGTAATGAGAAGACAGAAAATGGGACTTTCCACAGGCTAAAACAGGACTACACAGAGACAGGGCCTTGGAAACACTTAGGTGTACAGAAATATTTATTTACACTAACATTTCTAAAAAATGTATTTATTTTGCATTTACAAACAGCTTATAAATATCCACTTTCCTATATGCAATGTTTCATTAACGCATCCAGTGATGTGGCCAAGGTCTGATTGTCAAAATTAGATTGTGGAGGTTTGTGGAATCAGCTCAATACTCGTGGACATACAGTATATTGAGCTGATTAATTACTGAAAGAAACTAAATTAGCTCAAAAAACAAAACAAAATAATTGTGAACAGCCGGACATGTTATATAAATAAATAGCTCATAATGTGTATTTATACTCTGTAAATTGCATTTTTTTTTAATGGTGCTGTTAGCAGTTAACTTAAATACTAGTTTGGACATGTGAGACACAGTGAGATGATGAATATGCCAGATTTCTGTAGATGAGCATAAAATAAGGTTTTTCTGGAAAAACACGACACCTATGTGCCATCAAGGATTTTCACATACAGTTTTCCTTATTGAATTACTACTAATATGATCAGGTCAACTACTGAACGTAGGAAGACTGCCTTCCACTAATTTGCAGCTCTATAAATTAAATGAACTACAGAGGATTTTGAAACTTGAATGTCTCATCTCACTACCAGAACTTTTAGACAATGTAAAGGAGATACATCAAAAAGACACATTAGTATTTACAAACTGATTTATTAAGGAGAAACAGTAAACATTCAGTCATTGGCACAGAATTCACAAATAAAATCATTTAGAGTCCTTTAAGGGACAGACCTAAAACAAATATTTATGATTAAGCTTCAGTTTTTGACTCGGAGCAAAAAAATCTCTCTTCAAAAGCTTCTAAGCTGTATGAAATAACTACAAGTAGAGGAAAATGTATGAAATCTTTTTATTAATTGTAATCTTCAGCAGGTAAAAGCTTTCTAGGCAAGTTTTTTTGTGTACTAATAAATAAACAGTTTCATCTTGGTTCTATATTTTCTTACACAGCAGAGTTTAAGCAACAAATTGTTGAATATTAAGTGGATTAGCATATTTAACAGAGGTGATAATGAGCCCATACTTACCAGTGTAGACTCAATCATTAGTTTTGTTTTTGGTGTGAATAATCTTGATTTGCACTATGTTGAGATGCTGATCACATGAAGCAGAACTAGTGGGGGGGGAATGTGTTGCACACTCAAGTACTAAATATCATTTTTTAGAGTTATTCCTCAAGATCATACTGAATGATTGGCTGCCATTAGTGTAAAATGCTTAAGAATGGTTGTTGTGGATTAAAGACCTCCAGGTGACAGACATTAAGATCCCAATATGTGTGCACACAGAATACAGGCCGACGGAAATTTAAATTACAGCAGTGGTACTTACAGCTTTAACTGACCTGTTACTGGTAGAGATTCTCCTTCATGTAAGTAGTTAAATTCAAATGATCAAGTGAGGAAAGCTGATGAAACAAACAGGATTAAGTGGTAATTTTACAAGCATTTGAAAAGTCATTTGTTAATCACAAACCTCCCAACAAACATTTAATGTACATATGGCTGCAGGTGACAGTTAATGGTGTCTGTATGTGGGGGTGTTAACAAATGATTTGACTTCTGACCAAGCAATCAGTGTTTCGGAAAATAAACTGCTGTGGACTGTACTAGTTTATATCACAAGCTTCTAAAGGAATACAGTTTTATTTAATAGCTCTATACTTTCAGTATAAAGTTATTAGATTAAAACAGAGCTTCCTGATGCTCTCACCAATCACCAATGGAGGACACAGGTTCAATAGCACATAAGAGCTTAACAATAAAGAATATAATTCACATGAGCCAACATGCCTGAAAAAAAAGGTTCCTAAACGCAACACAAACAAGGGCCTTCACCAAACTTGCTGCAAGTTTGGGGACATTGAGATCCAACAGCGTGTAAGCTGTGAGGGCCCCTGGTAATGAATAAGAAGACAGAAAATGGTGAGACTTGCCTCAGGCTGAAACAGGGCTACACTGAGACAGGGCCTCAGCCAGTCCCCCATGGCATTGCTACAGGGAGAAGAGAAATCTGGGTTTTAGCACTGCAGCCACCAGCGACCCGGGAAGTAATGCAGCTGTACACAATGCACTCAGTGGCTAGTCTGCCTGTGCCATGTACAGCGCATCAATAAAAAAAAAAAAAATGTATACTGCCTGTAGCCAAACGAAAACAGTTACCAACATTTTTAATTTTAACTCAACAAACGCAAAAGCATAGATGCACATTTCTGCTAATATTGTTCATCTTCAAGACAACAAAAAAACAGTGAGTATGTAGGTATAACTGGAGTACAAACCTGCTGTGACGTCTCTTTTCCCACTAACATCCCGCAAAGAAGAGTCTTACATTTTTGCCACATTTTATTACAATACAGTTTTACAACAATACATATACCATTTCATTTAGTGCTTCATCTATTTAAGGTTGAGGGAGTATTTCCTCATTAAAACTATGAATAAAACAGAATAAATGCATAAACAGTTGTTTGAAGCCCTCACCAAACAATGTTGGGGACACTAAGTCCAACAGCACTACGTGCTGTGAAGGCCTCACTGTTTAGTTTAGAACAGAAATGGATTTACATAAAACTTGCCTTGATTAAGGGTGTGTACTGCCCATGTAACTCCAGCGCCTTCACAACACTACGAACCATATCTACTACACTTCTATACACCTAAATGAAACATGAGAAGGAAAAAAAGCCACAGAACAGAGATGGTTTGAAACAACAGTTCAAAGTCTTGGTTAGGTACAGTGTAAATATTTCCCATGCGCTCTGAGATGCTTCTATAGCTCTTTTGTTTGCTGTTTATTCAGTGTCTCTTCCTCATAGCTCAGTAGTAGAATAAACAGTATGTCGTGGTACTAGCATACCAATACTGGTGTGTCTACTAGCAGCTGAGGACATTAGAAAAGGGTTGAGTGTCCAAACCTATTGAAGAGAGGAAGGCAGGCTTCAGTAGCGACCTCCTGGAGACATGACAGGAGGTCTCATACCCATGGGTGGCCGTGGAGGAGCTCCCTGGTAGCCTGGGGGGACCACAGGAGGGGCCTGTCCGTATGGAGGCATCCCTCCTGGCATGTAGCCTGGCATCCCCTGGGGTGGACCACCATACTGTCCTGCGAGAACACAGGTTTGTAGGCTTTTTATTCAAAATTCAGTAGCAAAAACAATTTACTTTATAACAAGAGTCCACAGCCATGCCTCTGTGAGGCTGTACTTTCATGTCATATGGGATGGAGGGCAGTGATGGGAAAGATTCACATGCTAGCTGGTTGTGTTAAGATTAAAGTACTGTGTATGCTGACAATATAACACCATATCCATTAAATTTAGGTTTAATTACATTGAACGACACACTTTGGCTGATGTGAGGCCATCAACAGACAGCTCTGGTTAACAGATCATGCATAAAATGTAAAGGCAGGCACTGTATACCAGGTATGGGATGCCTCATGCCGGCCTGCTGAGGAGCCATCATGCCACCCACAGGACCCACTGACGGGGCAGCAGCGGTGGTCTGGGCTTGGCGGGGAATACTCCGCTGGTACCTGGGCAACTGAGCCCGCAACTCTTCCTACAGGACACACAAAGCAAACCAGGAGGAGGAATTATTTGACAGTGAAATTCTGTAGAAATGAAAAAAGAACATTAATAAATCACTTTTATTAAAGAAAAGCCATTTGTTGACTTTTTCCATTATTAACAAACAATTTTTATTAAAATGCTACTTACTGTAAAAACTATAAAGAGAGGACAGTTGCAGCTGTACTACTTACCAGTGAGATATCCTCATCAGGGTGGATCAACTTACTGGTTGCACTGGTGGTGGTGAGGGTGGCGGGCTTACTGGTCACAGTAGAGGGAGGTTTGGAGACTGTACTGCTGCCAGCGTTGGGGCTGGCCACAGCTACGGTGGCCTGAGTGTAGGCCGGGAATGTGGGCTTTGAAGGATCAGAGGAGGTAGAGGGGGGAGGGTGGGGGGACCCTGACATTGGCTGCTGACTCTGAGGGAGGAACAGAGGAAAACAAATTAGAGAGACTCTGAAAATGCTGAAAGGCATGTAAATTTCTCAGGGGGGACACTTTTAGTCATACTTTGAGGTTACTCCCATTATTGAAGTTTATATTTAGTCAAATAATTTAGTTTAAAGCGAATATTACTGTTTGTACACAGGCTCATCTCATCTTTCCCTTAATATTTGCATTGCCTAAGTCTCTTTCTTTACAGGGTCAGTTCACCAAAATCAGAAAAACATTCTCACTTGACCCAAATGTGATGAAATTATTCAATATTAAATAGGAAGTCTCTTAATTTGCAGGGCTCAAATAATTGAAAAATGAGCAGCATGTCTTTCCAGAATGTATTTTTTACTGTAGAAATAGATTCAAATCAATTTTTACTGCCCTAAGTAGTGGCTGCAAGTGTAACTGCCAATCAAAAGGTAGAGCAGCCTGGGAGGTGAAACCCAGGGCTAAAATAGAAAAACATTATTTTTATTTAACATCTCTCTTTTCTCATCTGGATTAGACAGAATGAAAATGGTGTTCAGAGAGATTTTAGTGAGTAGAAAGTGAGGGGGACATGTCACTCGCATCCCAATTGGAAACTACGCCCTTGTCAGAGCACATCAGGCTTTAATTGTGCTGTGCTCTGCAAATTTGTATTTGCACTGCATAATGACACGTTACCACCACTGCTGTTACACACATGGGAGCGTAACCCTGTAACGTATGACTAAAGTAAAAACCTATTTCATCAACCCTGCAAGAAAATAAATCCAAAACAGCATGCTGTGCTACATTGCCCTATAGCAGTTTAGAAATAAGAAGCCCACTTTACAAATCTGCATAACTAATTTTTTTATTTTGTTGCGGTCATGAAGTAAATCTTTTTTGGAGTATTCTATAAATGCAGATTTGTAGGAAAAGAAAAAGCAAACAAAGGCATGTTGCTAGGACTTACAAAATATTTAAAAAGTATTTTCTAACAACATAAAAGGTTGGATTTCATCATCTATTGCTAAAATAGATTTGGCAAATAAAATAGCCCAAGCGCACCACAGGCAAGCTATACACAATTGTGTGCATGCCAATTGTAAAGCTGCAAGTCGTTAGAGTAGAACTGGCAGACAGCTGCGTACTTGTGATGCGACAGACTGAGAGTCTGCACTTGATGAGCCTGCACTTGTACTTGCAACGCGACTGCCCATCTGTAGCACAGGAAAACAGTAAAGAATAGGAGATGTAAATAAACTCTTCACTTAAAGGCATTGCTCGATAAAGTCTCCTTAGAAATCAACCTATGTGAGCACATCGAGCTACTCAAACATTCCTCATTCATCAGGAGAAGGCCCCGTCAAGACTGCTGAGACAAAAAGTGTTAAGTGGTGTCAGAAAGACTATACCTGTCCAGCAATGGGGAAAAGAGGCTTAGTGACATCAGGCTGGGCTGAAGGGGCTGCTGCAGCAGGAACAGCAGGTCTAGTCAGCATGTTTGCAGCAGGGGGGACCTGAGCCATGTGTGTGATGCCTGGACGGTGGCCCACAGGAGGAGGCATGCCTGACACCAGCAGAACAAATTCATTATAGAAGGGAAACTGTAAATGCCTCACCACAGCGGTGATACAACATATAAAAAAAAAAAAAACTTAACTTAAAATTAATAATTCACATCAAGGCAATGATATGGAGGTAAGTGCATTCTGAAGGCGTACACTGGCAGGGCATTTACCTGGTGGCACACCTGGCATCATTGGAGGCATCCCTGGACCTGGAGGCATCATCCCACCCATTGGGATCATCCTAAATGCATGAGGAAAAATATCCATGTTTAAAATACAAGATATAATGAGGATGGGATTAAAAAACAAAATGACTGATTAATCTTTTGATTAACAATCCAAAGCATTAACCCTGGAGGCATTCCTGGCAGTACGGGGGGCATTCCTGGCATCATTGGAGGCACACCTGGCATCATTGGGGGAATTCCTAAAACAAAGAGATTCATTTTTACAAACTAAAGTGTGTTACCAGTTAAAAAAAATAGTTTATGTAATTTATGTTACGCATTATGGTTCTTTTGACATTAATATTCCTATTTAACATGACATAAACGGTGCCTAAATGTATATATTTATATTTTATATTATTTAATAAAAGGGAGAATTCTTCATTTTAATCACAGCATTTAAACTTGTTTCCACCTTGATCAAACTATGACTATCACAGTCTTTGAAACATTTTAGGACACATGCTGCAACACAAAGTGCAATCAATGTGCTAACAAAAACATCTATTGTCTGAATCTGAATGAAGTCTCATGTACAGCTGTAAAAAGAACAGCCCGAAGCAGAGCAACTACGAAAATTACAGCATTGGGGTCAACCGTGTAAGCAGTGGGTTTGAGGTTAAATACAAGACAAAAAACTGAGGTTCCAAAGATACAGGGGGCACTTCTGTTGAGTAGCATGACCATGAATATGAAAACTATAGCTGTATAATCTTTGTAAACAGCGTGACACCAATACAGTGTTATTCAGGATTAGCTCAATATTTGACTTTCTCAAGTAAAGTCACTGTTTCCCACCTGAGTAGCTGCCCGGTGGTATCCCTGGAGCACCAGAGCCAGGAGGCATGCCGTGCTGGGTCATAGGGGGGATGTAGCCTGCCTGGGGCTGGCCCACGGCAGGCTGCTGGAAGGAGGGACCAGGCTCGTCATCCTCATCGTACTCATCAGAGTCATCCTGGTTCTGCTTCTTCTTTTGAGTCTCTGAATCCAGAATCAGAAATAGCTTTATTCTAAAGTTTTCACACTTACAAGGAATTTGCTTTGGTGACTAGGTGCTTAACAAGAAACATATAAAAGTATAAAATTGACAAATTATACATAAGTTACATCACAGCAGAAAACTTAACAAAAATATGACAAAACAACCTGCACCAAACACAGAAGCAGCAATCCTCCGTATAATAGCAGCATACAGACCACTAAAAAAAGAAGTACATTAAGGTGTTTTGGTGTCAGTACCTTGGTTCTTTTGTTCTAGCACTCTTCTTCTCTCTTCCATGTCTTTTTCAGGAATACCCTCCATGCCATATATTTCCAGCTCAATATCTGTTCTTCCAGGTATTGCATTAGGAACCCCATCAATGGTCTCTTTGTGTACCTACAACAGAAGTGATACAGTGAGGTGTGTTTCTTTATATATAAACAAGTCATTTAGTTTGATTTTATGAAGAGGGTTCGCTTTAGTGTTTCCTCACCTGCATACAGTGGATTGCAAGCCCCGGGCCCGTGTACAGCTTTTTATGACATATGTGGCACTTGAAATGTTTGGCCTTCTGATGCTGAATGAGTATCTTTTCATCATCAAAGTCTCTGTTACAGTACCTGAGGTTACGGTTTAGGAAACTCACTGTAATGCCAATGTAATGTAACATTAACGTAATAATAACTTTGCAGCTAGTCGTGTCCTGCATTAACATAACTCAAAAACACCTTGCTAATAACAACAACACATCACAGGATGTCAAAGAGCGACAACGCCTGTATTTAAAATCCTCTCAGTATTTTCTTCGGAGCTGGTCATTTAACTAAAGCAACTCTTTCTGGCTAACATAACGTTACATGTGAGCCTGCTAACGTTAACGTAACTGATTATTATAAGCTAGCTGAGTAAACAGAGGACAGCGATGCTGCAACACATAACGTTATGAAACTAAATGTAACATGTGGGAAAGGATACCAGCACCAAGGCTTCATTTGCTTTTTCTTCTTTCTTCCCATGATCGCTGTACTGACAGATCCCTGCCTGCTCACATCCAGTAAAACAAAACAGCAGAACGGAAGTGAAGCAGCTGAAGATGGCGTCGTGTCTCTCCAGCACCGGAGCAGACTCTGCGGCCTCAATGCGCCCTCTGGGGTCCAATAACAATAAAACAAAAGGAGCAGAAAACACATTGTATGAGGGAGATAAATTAATACATAGCCTATAAATTGACTTTTTGCTGAGTAATTTTCCAATTATGAAAGAAGTATGGAGAGCTTTTTTGTTTAACAATAATTATAATAATAATTAAAATAGACAGAGTCGAAGATATGTTGTAATTCAATATAAAACAAGTGAAAACTAGGAGGGGTTTAAAGCGTTCTATGGGTGTGAAATTTGCCAACAAGACATCATAGTTTTAGAGTCAGTTTAAAAATTAAGAAACAAGACCATGTCTTCCAATATGGGTGTTAATGTGTTAAAAAATTTAAAAATCAATAGAGCAACTTCTACCCAGAATTCTTGAGAATAAGTACAATTAAAGAAAAGATAACTAATGGATTCAACTTCGAGTTTACAGAAAGAACATAAAGGGGAAAAATCTGTTTTAAATTTGTTTAATAATGTATTACATGAATAGTATGTAAAATTGTCATATGAAATTTATTTGTAATGAGGAGTCTATGATATCTTGACCAAATATTCTCTGCCTAGAGTTCAGAGTTTAGTTTCCATACGAGAGCCTATTTGGGAAAATTATTATGACCGGAGATCAGTAGGGTGGCCTACTTTTCAAATATGGCGATAATTAGGGTACATATACGGTTAAAAAGATATTTTACCACCAAGAGAGAGAGAGCCTGGGGATCTCTACTTTCAAAGTACCATATACCAATGCACAGTGCTGGTGTAACACCAAAATCTGTGACCTATCAGATTCTGTGACTATACCCAAACAACAATGTTTTCCTAACCATAACCAAGTACTTTGTGTACCTAAATCCAACCAACTAGTTTTGGTGCCTAAACCCAACCAAACTGCAACCGCTTCACACCTGACATCTTACATCGGTTTTTGTGAGGACATGTGTGTGCCGACTAAAACCTTCCACACATACAACAACCAAAAACCCTGGTTCACAGCAAAACTCAGGCAGCTTCGTCAGACCAAAGAGGAGGGCTTCAGAAGTGGGGACAGAGTCTTGTACAACCAGGCCAGGAACACGCTGACTAAAGAGGTCAAAGCTGCAAAGCTGAAAAGCTAAATAACAGCTTTGCAGCCAACGACCCTGCCTCAGTGTGGAGAAGCCTACTCACAAACTACAAGAGACCATCCCTCAACACTGCTGGTACTCAACTACTGGCAGACGGGCTGAATGGTTTATACTGAGGTTTGAAAAGCCCAGAGTCACACCTCTCCCCCACTCCAACGCCATCTTCAAACAGTCACCTTCCCCCTCGGACCTCTCACCTGCACTCAAGATCTGTGAAGAAGACGTGAGCCACCTCTTCCAAAGGCAGAAGATCAGGAAGGCTCCTGGCCCCGACGGTGTGTCTCCATCCTGCCTGAAAATCTGTGCGGACCAGCTGGCCCCCATCTTCACTCACATCTTCAACAAATCACTGTGTGAAGTTCCCTTCCCCTGCATCATATCCTGCAACACCTCGACTCTCCAGGGACATATGCTAGGATCCTGTTCGTGGACTTCAGCTCGGCGTTCAACACCATCATCCCGGACATCCTCAGCACCAAACTCACCCAGCTCACTGTGCCAGCCTCCACCTGTCAGTGGATCACAGACTTCCTGACTGACAGGAGTCAGCAGGTGAGGCTGGGAAACATCACATCCAGCTCCCGGACTATCAGCACTGGCGCCCCCCAGGGGTGTGTGCTCTCCCCACTGCTCTTCTCCCACTACACCAACGACTGCCCCTCAGGAGACCCATCTGTCAAACTCCTGAAGTTCGATGACGACACAACGGTCATCGGCCTCATCCGGTACGGTGATGAGTCGGCCTACAGACGGGACGTTGATCTGCTGGCTCTCTGATGCGGCCAGAACAACCTGGAGCTTAACACGCTCAAAACTGTGGAGATGACCGTGGACTTCAGGAGGAGCCAATCCACTCTGCCCCCCATCACCATACTCAACAGCCCTGTGTCTGCTGTGGAATCCTTCAGGTTTCTGGGTTCCACTATATCCCAGGACCTGAAGTGGGAGCCCAACACTGACACCATTATCAAGAAGGCCCAGCAGAGGACGTACTTCCTGCATCAGCTCAGGAAGCTCAACCTGCCAAAGGAGCTGCTGATCCACTTCTACACAGCCATCATCCAGTCTGTTCTCTGCACCTCCATCACTGTCTGGTTTGGATCTGCCACCAAAAAGGACAGGGACAGACTACAACGGACAGTCAGGACTGCAGAAACAATCATCTGTGCCAACCTGCCCTCCATTCAGGACTTCTACATTTCCAGAGTCAGGAAACGTGCAGGAAACATCACTGCAGATCCATCTCACCCTGGACACAACTGTTCCAGCTCCTCCCCTCTGGTAGGCGCTACAGAGCACTGTACGCCAAAACCAACAGACTCAGGAACAGTTTCTTCCCACAAGCCATCACTCTGATGAACAGCTGATTTCTGACTCACAGTGTCAGGAACAATTCCTGTGCAATAACTCAGTAACTCTGTCTCTAATCAGCACCTGTTTACTGGTTTCCACTTATTATCTATTTATTCACCATTCTCTATTTCAGTGCTGTTCATACTATGTCATATTGTATATACTGTATACCAATACACCTACCTCAGGTCATAAGGTCATAGGTCTTATTTATTTTTTCCAGCATCCTTTGCGCTATGTTCTATCACACTGTGTACATGTGTACATGTATGCATATATGTGTATGTGTACCTGTATATCATATCCACCTTCTACATGTTCATAATGAGAATAGTTTACTCTGCATCCTTTGCACTCTGATCACTGCACTATTTGTCAATATGTCTATATTGTTTTGTTCATAGTGTGTATGTTAGTGTTGTCTATTCTGTAGTTTGTGTCTGATTTTATTTTATTATTATTTTATTATTGTGTTATGGTATTTTTGTACAAGTAAGCACATCGTGAGCCGAGTCGAATTCCACGTATGTGTACACATACCTGGCAATAAAGCTGATTCTGATTCTGATCGTCAACAAAGCCTCTGGCACTTAACTTGCAGTTTCGGTCACAGAATCTGATAGGTCACAGATTTTGGTGTCTCACCTGTATGGCCTGTGGCATAGACAGCTGTGGCGAGTCGTGTCATTGTGTAGAGAATATAAACATCTAAAACCTGAGATGCAGCCTTGCTCTGTTTGGGACTGTGAGCTGCACTTTACCGGAGCTGCTGAAGTTAACGTGTGTGTGAATTTGTGGCGAGTGTTTTCTAGATGGCAACATGCAGTCTGTACACTGTCTTGGTCAAAAAGTCTAAAGGGGATTATTCCTGCGGAGCAAAGAGTAGCCTAATGCACAGCAGCGTATAGGGCAGGTAGAATTAAATGATGTTATGAATTCTCATCAAATGACGTTAGTCTCTTAATATTAGCCTGCTCTTTTGTTCGACATGTCAGAGAACACAGATGTGGGAGAGATTCTGAATGTGCAGCAAGTTTTGAACATGCTAAAACACAGGAAGTCCAGGAATATATAACTATAAGTTATTTGAGGTGAAAAGGTGCCACATGCATGCACATCCCCATGCAAAAGACACAAAAGAGGAGGGAAGACTGAATCATGCCTGCATGTGTGCTGACTCAGCAGGGATTTTATTAAATTAGAAAAGTTGATCTACAGGACAAATATAGGCTATTTAAAAGCAATAGCTACAGAATGTATGAAAGCCTTACTGCATTATATTCAATACATTTTTAATATTTTGAATTGTCACCTGCTGCCCAAATTTTATATTCCCCTTTACATAAATGAATGACTTTTCCTCCATAAATTGAGGCCAAAAAGGCAGAAATTTTCACCAGAATGCAGGAAATGAAGTCCTCGATGCTTAAAATATTCTGGACCCCCGGACCGTCATCTTCATTTGAGTCATCTCCACCATTGAAACTAAACCAATGCTCTTGCATTTCTAGAAATACTCCAAGAAAACAGTCTCTGGGTTGACTCACAGTTTCTGGAGGGGAAAAGGTTTGGTCTCCCAATTTAGGCTATGATGTTGAGGTTGACAAGTATGCTGATTACAATTATTCAGTATTGACCATGATTACTGACTTGGCTTTTCATCTGTACATTCTGAAATTGTGAATTTGGCTGCTGAATGTTTAAAATAATTCTTGAGGATAGGGGAGCGATGGCTCCAACCCCTGAGGTGCACTTTTTAGGCTTGGGCATAGGGGGGGACTCCGATTTAAAATCTCGCCTAGGGCACCAACATTGGCAGGGCCGGCCCTGCCAATGCAGTTTTAAGCAAGAACAGTTACTTTGTTACTTTGGAGATATGCTTTTTAACATTATCATATTCTTCTCGAGAAGTGTCCAAGCCCAAGCCCTTGTTACGGACAAGATCCTCAAATTCACAAAATTCCGCCTCTATCAGTGGGTACAAGAGAAAAAGGACACACCTTTCTTTTATGTATCTGGACCATAGACTGTATATAAGAAATCTGATCTGCACTTGTCTCTAAATAACAAATGTTGGTTGTTCCACCAGCTCGTTTGTTTGTTTGTTCAATAAAACTGCCATATACTGAACTTCTCGCTTACTACAATCCTTAAATGTTTTCTTTTACTACTACTAAATGGACTTCCACATCTACCTTTACCACTTTTCTGCCATCCCGTTCTAGAGGTATACAATTTTTTACACAGAGATTTTAAAGACGAAGACGTCTTGACAACAGAGTTTAAATATAATATAATAATGAATACACACACACATATATATATATATATATATATATATATATATATATATATATATATATATTATATTATTACCTTCAGTGACGGAACGTTTGGCCCGGGAACAGACATAACAAATGAATGTCATAGTCGAACATTATTGAGAACGCACACAGATGACGGTTGATGATGCGCATGCGCACAATGCACATACACGAGAACGGGGATACCTTTTGCCCTGGTGCAGCTGGTGCAGCTGGTGCAGATGCACTTTTACAATTTAAATAACAGCCAGAGATATCCCAACGTCAGTAACACCGATCTACCAACACAGCACTGCTAAACAACAGAAACACGTCTTTGTTATCTGTTTATCCGGCTGCTAGCTTTGTGCGTGCAGCGGAAGGTAACGTTAGGATCATGTTTACCTCCCAGACCTCGTCCTTCCAAGACTCAATTGATGTGGAAGAGAGAGATGACTTTGACAGCGAAGAAATTGCTGGATACAGCCAGAAAATTCAGCTGAACTGTTACTACACCATCTATCTTTATCAAGGCACAAGGTAATGATCGACATTACTAGTCCAAGTTTCTGTTGCAGCTAGATGCACCGCTGTGCCACAACTTTCTGTTTATTATTATAAATAATGTGAATTTAAAGGCAGTGTATCCTTACGTGTACTACGAATATTGACATTATTATATAATAATTAATTTATAACATGAGTTTAATGGGTTTTTTTCTAATTATAGATTTTTACTGTTGGATTATTTATTATTGTTCACACAATATGTAGCACTTATCCTACAGGACATCACACAATTGCTATTCTTTTGTTCCTAAAGACAACCAGGTCCCTGGTGTGTAATGAGTGTTTCTTTCTGTATCACTGTTTAAATTATTATGCAGTCTAAGATTCTAACCCTAAAGCACTCTTTAGTTTTTGTAGTCCCTTCTGAACCTCCTGACAGTGACACTCGTGCAGGTAAAACCAGACTTATACATTAAAAACTAATCGGATGATGAGTAAACTGTCAATTGTCTTAGATCTGAAGCTTCTGGGGAAAATGTGGCATGGAACCAGAGACGAGCAGACTCCACAACCAGTCAGGATGACGTTAGGTAACAAAAGGAGCCATCCGCCTACCTTCTCCTTGCTTTCAGTGGTCGTTTATACTTGGCTTTTCACTGTTGTTCATTGGTGCAACCACGGGCTGCCACAGGGAATCAACATGGGCTCAGTGCTGTTTTCATTCGTGATTTTGGTCATTGCATTGCTGCGCTGAGTTACATGGTCTTTAGGTCTCAGGTCAAGTTGTCGAAAAGTGGCACAGTTGCAGCTATGTGACTCCGTTGTGTGTTGTGTTGGTTGTGGCTAATGGTCATCAGCTTTCTCCATCTGTTCTCCATTGACTTGAGTGGCTTTCAAATTCCCCATTACCCGCACTGGCTGCCTGTATCCACACTGACTCTCTGCACGCCCCACAGCCTAACACTAATCGACAGCAGCCTGCCATCAGAAGCCGAGCCTGAGCTGCGGACCTACATTTCAAGGAGGCTGAGCAAAGGAGCCCTGCTGGGAGGCATGGGCAACATCGCCACTGTGGAGCTCAGGTAATACTTTTACATATTCCCTCACAACGTAGTAATGCTAATACTAACCAAGAGGCATACAAAGTCAAGTCATCATGACAAAACAATCTAAGATCATGTTTGACTTCATTCTTCTTGGACTGATGAGGATCAGGTTTGACTGGTTTAAGAGATGGGAAATCATATTATCAAAACAAGGGAAAGTGAAATTGTGATTATTCATAACCCATTATAGAAATTACAAAACCATCAGAGTTATGGGTGAACAAATAGGTATACCGGGTAAATTAACCTGTTCTTATTTTCTATTTGACTATTATATTTCCCTATATTGCTTTTATGTTTTATGTAAATCACTTTGAATTGCCTTATTGTTGAAAAGTGCAGTTAAACTTGCCTTGCCTTGATGCAGCACATGATTCATTATTATATAAATGTTATCATCATGGATGTATCCTGTTTGGTTCCATTGCATTAATAAGATGAATTTAGCTGGAAATGAACAAAATAAGTAAGTTGATTAACACTAATGTGCTCTTCCCAGCATCCCAGAGCAGGCAGTCGGCTGCTACTGCTGTCTCCTGGAGCAGGAAAGGTCTCCTGAACAGCCTGATGCTGATGGAAATGGATATGTCATCTGCTTTATGGGCGGCTCTGAAAAAGGACTGAACCTATATCCTTTATGAACAATTTTCTTTACTGCATAGCGTCCTCATTAAATTAACCTTACTTCCAATTCCTTAACCCAATACACATTTAGATTAGAGCTTGATAAATACGTCCAAGGCCTGCATAGCAGCCTGCAAACCCCAGAGGTATGAGGATGTAAAGTGATAACTCTGTCATATGAAGTTACATATGTCTTTACATTAATAATGCAATATTGATTTGTCTGTATGTGTGTGTCAGCTGCAGAACCTTGAGACAGAGGTGCGTCCCTATCTGAGCCGGTGGTACGAGGAGTCTGTGATGCACATTCATCGGGTGGTGCAGCTGGTCCAGAGCAACATCAGCTTCTTGCTGCATGCTGTGAGTCAACTGTCCACCTATAACCGCATCCACACAATCTGATCTGTGCAATATTAATTTCATAATGTATAAATCAATAGGTGATTGTCCTACGGATTGGAGTGTGCAAATGCTCTTTTATATCGTTCCACCTCACTTTTGTAGCAGCAGTTCCTTTAGATAATCTGTTCTAAAGATTGTAAATATTATTGTTGTAAAACCACAAAACCTTCAAGAATATATAGTACAGGAAGTTCCCTTTATACTTGCTCTAAAATATAGGAAAAATAGGATGATTTAAAAGAAAGCTAAATAATGAGAAGCAGAAAATCACCTCAAAGGAAAATCTTATTTTTTCAGATAGCTACGGTGTTATTTGCCTATGTTTGGAAGCTCATTTTTGTTTGGTTTTGCATGTTAGTTTTCTTAATTTTTCTATCATATATCTTCCCTACTCAGAAAGCTTTAATGAATTTCTATTAGTTAATTGTGGTATTGCCTTATGTTATAATTCTTTGTTGTTGTTTTCATATTCTTCTATGTTTTTGTAATTGACTCGATGTCATGGTAAATGAGGGTCACCACTCAATGATCCCCCTAGTATATAGCAATAAAGTTGAATGAATGGTTTGCAAACCGCTAAAATTATTTAACATTTGATAAACTCAACACCAGTTTTTTTTTCTTTCAAAATAATATAACAGTTACTTGCACTCATTGTGAACAGTTTCTTTTTCCTGTAAGGAAGTAATAGAAAGTGTCAACAAAACGTCACAATGAGGTCTGAAGAGCATTGTTTATGCTGTTCATACGGTTTGAGCCACAGCAGAGAGGTCCAAGCCTCAGTAAGTTACACCAAAACTATCTGGATGTATTGAACCTGGGTAAGAGGAAGTATCACAGTGTAAACTGTGCATGTATTGAAATACTGCAATCCAATTGATTTATTTTGTTATCACTCAAGATGAACATTTTCTCCAGAACAATGCATCTCAAACATTACATTTTCTGTGTGCAGGCTCTGAGTCACACACATGTGGAGGTCCATAATTCAGATGAAAGGACAAAGGCTGATGTGTCCAGGTGAGTTAGGTAACCCTAACCCTCATAAGTACACTAAACTATCCATAACTTTTGGGGGGGATGCTCTGTCATGCGAATTCTCTCCTGTTGATGTCCTGATAACTAATTAGTAAACAGTAATAGATTCTGGAAACTCACAAACAGTGAGGATGTGTCTCTCTTCCAATGATTTGTGCTGCGCGTCGCGGACAAAAAGTTCAAGACAATTCAACTCTGGCAGCGGGCGGGCGTGTGCGTGAGACGAGCACAACCGTGACAGTTTCACGGGAACACACCAGCTTGTCGCTATCCCCGCTCCTCGCTTCCTACACGCTCGCCTCTCGTTGAAAATTAATTACGAGGTGCGTTAATCGCTTCCTGTGTGAAAAGGCCTTAAGGCTGCTTGTGCCTGTTCTTCTGGCACAAGAATTTCCTTCAGGATAATAACAATAAAGTTTTGTCATATCTTATCTCATTTCCATGTAGTACAGGATGTAATTAACCATCTGTTTGTTAGCTGGTAAATGTCTGTTGTACTCTGTACCAGGTTCATCAAAGCAGCCAGTTGGCAGGGCCTGTCCCAACAAGACACTACAGCAGCGTCTCTGTGTAAAGCTATCTCAGAGGACACACACTCTGACCTGATCATAGACTGCTCCACCAGTCCACCCACACTCTTTAACACTGGTAAGTCATGCTCCATGACATAGACTTGATGAGGAAAAAATATTTCGTACAGAGTCTAATAAAGATGATATCTCCCCCCAGTCAGTAATCGTTTCTGTGATGACTGGATTCAGGCATTTCTAAACGCTGCAGAGCGTTGTAATCCTTTCCTGCTCAGACAGATTTTGGAGAACTTCAAACTCAAGGTGAGAAAATATACAAATATATACACTATAATTGGATTTCCAAGCTTTTTGGGGCACTGGATCCTATTTTCAGATCCTAAAATTTCCAGGACCCCAGCAGTTAGTCTTATATTTGTAAATTTGCCATGTTAATTCGAGTACAGCATACTTTTGTATATTGTGTATAATTGTTATGTGACTATATATTCCTTAAAAAAAGAAACTTATTTATTTAAAGAAACTTTGAGCAATGCCTCTCAGTTCCTCCTGGCAGACTAATTTTTTTTCTCATCCTGATCTCTCTTCCCTTTTAAAACTTGTTTCTTCCTCTCTATCAACCACTACTCTCACTCCGTAGGCCATCCAGGACATGAACAGCCTCAAGCGTTTTGTGCGGCAGGCAGAGATGAGTCACTACGCCTTATTTCGCTGCTGCCAGTTCCTACAAGGCTGCGGAAATGGGGACGTGTTGCTGCAGAATGCCAGAGCAGAGCACAGTGACCTGCCTGAAGCCTGCAGCATCATTGCTGTCCTGGAGGAGTTCCTCAAGGAACAGTCCCAGGCCCAGGCCTGATTCCATAACAACACTTTACTCCTCCCTACTTCTAAACTTAGCACTACATCTTATGTTAAACATCAGTTAGCTGGATGAAAATTTGGCAAAATTAAGTTGAAGTTATAAAACATACATTTCCTCTGCTGGCACTAGTGCTGCTTCTCAGCTGGAAGAGTGGTGGTCAGATCTGGAACATGTACAGTAAAACACTAACAATTTACACTCAGCTTCACTCAAACTATTTTTGTGGCTAATAATAGTTTGTTGACTCTGTATCATCAAGGTAACTTGTTACTTGGGGATGATGGTAAAATACTGGCAGACAATAAATATCAGTTTAAATCTAGTTGTAGATTGGCACTGTCCCAATCTATTCCTTTAGTTATTTTAGTGTTGCATGAGTGTGTGTAACAATACAATGAACCAAATATTATTACTAGTATTTTGCTAACTGACAATGATCACAACACAGATCCAAAATTAAATCTTCTACTCATTAGAGTGGAAATATCTATTGCATTGTTGATGTCCAAATATGATTTTATTATTTTGTATTTTATGTGATTGTACTAGTTTTCTTTTGAGAAGAAACATTGAGAATGCACAAATCACTTTTATGCATTGCTTATAATATAGGCCTTGTTTTTTTCTTATATTTCAACCCAATACATGCACTACTATATTATTTTTGTCTAATAAATACTGCTACTGTGTATATGTATGTCTGTTCAGTGATACTAGATGTCAGTGTAATCCTTCTCTGGGAATTCAATACTGTAGGTGAAGTGTAATTTTTGGAAATCATTTTTTGTTTACGTACATTGTCCCAGCCTTCACCAGCTCAAGACTTCATGAGAAAAAAGAAAACAGGCACTATATGACCAATCAGTCACTCACTACACTTTCTAAGCATTTGTTTGTTTAAAACGTTCTGCAATATAAAAAAAGAGAAGTAAGAAATTAAAATGTAATAAAAGTAGATGATATTCAGTTTTATTTCCCTTTCATTGTGTACCTGCAACAAGACAAGTTTCTATATTCCATTAAACCCAAGCTCAAACCAGTCCAAAGTGTGTAATACAGCAATATCAATGTTTCAATGTTGGTGGTGTTTACTTTCAAACTGTGAAGCAGGTGACATGTAAAGGAATCATTGTACTATTCTGAACTATATAGTGTGACTGACCCACAGTGCGTGTGTAGATATTTCCTGTACAGCGTGCTCTCTATAGTTATAAATGGTTGTGTGGTTCTCTTGTCTTGTATAAGAGCTGAAATAAATACCACAGTTGAAACATTTTTGTTGTGCATGTTGTCTAGCATATAGAAGTTTAACAAAGCTGACAAACATTATTTAAACTTGTTTTATCCATTGAAATACCACTCGTTTCGCTCAAACCTGTGAGAGAATGAAAGACAGCTACAGATATTAGGCAGCGACAGTCTTCTGTACAAAGAATTGTGTCTTGTGGGTCTAAGAGGCCCATCACTCGTGTCCTCAAAACCGGACCTCATATCCTCCAGTAGAGTCCGTCCTCCTGCTGGTCATCTGCAACCACACACAAACAACAGAAAGCTTAGGACATACAGAGTGTTGCATGTGTGGCTTCTGCGAAATTAATCAGTCTGTGTAAATTCAGGTGACTAAGGCAAGAAGATGTACCTGACATTTCATCAGACAAATTCCTCAAAAGAGAGCTTGGTACGTCATAGATGCTCTCTGTGGGATCTGAAATGGATTAAAAAAGGCACACCAAACAACACATTTATTTTGGTGCAACCAAGCATTTAAAAGCTAGTCCCTGGGAAAACAAAAAAAACAACATGTAATCTCACCCAGAGCATCAGAAGCCCTCCTGTAAGAGAGAGGAAAGTCGTACACGCCCTCGTCCATCTCTGGTGCAGTGTTGCTCTCACATATATCTAAAGAGTTGTAACACATGATAGGGCAAGTTTGGACATTTACCCATCATCATCCTGCATGTTATGTTATAGCAGATGATACATTTTAAGTATATTTAAAATCATACTTTTTCTAAGTGGTAAAACATCGTAGTCTCCTTGATTTCCCTCTGCATTGCTCAACCCACTGGACCATTGAGCACTGTTGAGACTGTCACCTGAAAACAGTTGACAGTAGTTGGCACCATGTACCTGAAACTTAATTCAAGACTTGATCAACAGTGAATTGAAACAAAAGGTACCATTGTAATGCTGGTAGTTACAAACTGGCAGTGTCATTTGGAACGTAGCCCCCTCGCTGTTCAGCTCCTCAGACAGGCAGCTCGGGGGGGTGACGCTCCTGACTTCGTGGTGTATGTGGCCTGTGGGGGCCGGGGCAGAGAGGGGCCGAGCAGGCAGCAGCTCCATCACACTGTCACTGTAGGAGCAGATGGGTGCGCTGCTATTTATTCTCTCTCGCTGCTCGCACACTTCATGGCTGGGAAGAAGAGACATGGTCAGTGCCCGCCTGCCATCAAGGAGACTATGTGCAGCTGTTTTGTGGAAATTTCTATAAATATCACCCAAATGCACGACAAGACTTAAGGTCCAGTTGACAGAACATGGATTAGTTTAGATCAGATCTATCATGAAAAAAAGCCCAGTCCTTACTCACTGTGTGTCTGAAACCCCAGAGCTAGAAAGATGCATGGCTTGCCAGAGGTATCCTATCCACTCCTTTCTGAGAGCTGCAGTCTCTGCTGCCTACACACACACACACACACACACTGGAGGCAGTTGACCAGTAATGCCATACTCGCAGCCGGCAGATTGACAAGCTTAAATGAGAACACAGTCAAACCACAGAGGCGACTTACCAACACCTTTCTCTTTCCATTTGTCATGATGATCTCAAACATGAAGCGCTTGCTGTCACCTCTATTGACCTCTCGCACCGACTGCACCTGGCCCAAGAGGTGGACAGATAGACAGAATGATTTAGTATCTATCTATCGTTTCCCAACTAGCCTGACACACAGTGAGAAATACTCTTAAGAATGAACATGTTCAAAACTCTATTTAAGTCAAAGTCCATTAGTATTAGCATCAAAATATACTTAAAAGTACACATAATGCATTGTGCATTTTCTGATTATACTTTGTATTGAAAAGTACAATTTGTAGTAGAAGCACAAAGTAGCATGAAACTGAATTACTGGAAGTATATCCTCAAATATACAGTAACGCAGTCATTTAGTAAAAGTTGTTCTTTACACAACTGCAATGTCTCATTTCAACTGTAATACATGGTGGAGGACTTACTGTGTAAATGTAGTAATAGCCTCTCAGGTGTGACTGTGAAGAGAACAAAGTCAACAAAACAACTTTTAAATCATTGAGATCTTTTAAAAAAAACTAACTGGCAAAGTCAATTTTTGCCTGCACTGTAACCATCCTTTAATGGATTGTTTCAGGCTTTAGAAATAAGATTACTAAGCAGGACATGGACAATAAATTTGATAGACTGAGTCTGAATTAAATTCACTTGTGTCAACTTACAGCGCTGCCGTTCTTCTTTGTATAGAAGAACAAGGTTGTGTTTTGAAGCCTGAACCAATACATCACCCACCTTATTTTCTAGACAGCAAAGAAAAAGAAAGCAACCAAAGTCACTTTTTAATAAACATATTCTCACATTAAATACCAAAAAGGATGTAACTTACCATAGTATCTTTTCTTTTCTGCAGGAAGCCCTCAAACAATAACTTTGTCCCATCTATAGACATGTTGACCCTTAACGGTTATCTCACACAGTGGGTCCCAGCTGATGTAAGTCTATCTACCTGTATGTGTGGTGCGACTTCCTCCTCACACAGGGTAAGAGCAGTATAATTCACAGCCACATCATTTACTCACTTCTCTATTCTGATATGCTAAAGTCCCAGTTGTTCACAACAACAGTTGATCTTACACACATTTCACACATCTACTTTTGAAATGAGCAATCCTAGTACGGCTCTTGTAGGACAAGGACACACAAACACAGTGACATCATTGGGTGTAAATGTCATTTATTACAGATATTTAAAACCATTTTATTTTCATTGCTGCTGCTAAATTAGCTGTCATTTCGCCCAGTCACACACACCTAACAGCTGTGCCAGATCATACAATTTTTATTGTAAATGCTGGAAAAAAGAATGAGAAAACACTTTTATAGTTTTAAGTGGGAGAGGTGCGCTGAATGGCTGTTAATAGCATAATCCCTTGCTCTATGGTGCCACTAACTTCATAAAAATATGAGGAACAAAGCTCTATTTGAAAAGCAGAAAATTAAAAACAGAAGCAGCTTTGAAGCAGGACAGCTTGGATAATACTAAATACAAAAATACAAGGAAACTGTAAATCCCTCCATCTGTTTCATGCAGTGCACTCAGAACAGACAAGAAAACAAAGAAACGGGTTAATAAATTAACACACAAAATAAACAAGTGTAGGCATCCATGACCTTTCTAGTGTTAGACGTTATACCTCCTGTAGGTGTTGCTTCTTGTGGTGATTCTGTCTATGGGTCCGATCCTAAAATTCTTCAGAAATACATAATATACTGCATATACAATATCTATAAACAGATTCAAGTCCCTTTGTGGTGTTTCTGTATATGGCTGCCTCGCTCCGCTCACCAACCATCTAACTTATAATACTGACCTGAGGAAAAAAATAAAGGAGCACTGGATCAGCTGAAAACATCCAGAGTCTAGTAGTGTTTTACTTGGACTAGACCAACAGCATTTACAAATTGACATGTGAGACTGACAAGTGATATTTCAAACGTAACATGCCCGTTTCCCTTCAACATAAACAAAATAACTAAACCACTTTTTTCCTTTTGAATGCGTATAAAATGTACCTATGATTTTGTTCATTTTGTCCGTGTTGCATTGTGGGAAGGGGATGACGTGGATTTGGGGGCTGAGGCAATGTTCCTGGTTGGTTGGTCAGCCAGTCTTTTGTTTTGTTTTTTGAGTCTTTCAGGTCGGAGGGAAGGGGCAGAGTCAACACAGGGACCAAGGGAGGAAGTAGTTGTGTCATGCTGTCTGATCACCGCTGTTTGAGAAGTGCTCTGTACATGGCAAAGCCTAGCACGGCACACACTGTGGCGCCGACGCTCGCTCTTAGCCAGAAGGTGGAGTTCTTCAGGTCCGCCTGAGCCATGTGCCTGCAGGAGTAAACAATAGACAGAGAGCAGGTGAGGGGAAGGGGGAAATGCTGCAAGAAAAAGAAAGAGCAGCATCTAACTCGATGAGCGCTGCGGCACAATGTTTTCTCCATTGTTAAAGCCGCAGCGGGATGAGTTGCCAGATGACAAAACAAAGTCATGTGCTCTGTCTGGTGGAAACTCCCCGAATCAAGACCATCAATGACGAACATCAACGCCCTGTGATACGAGCTTGAAACAGGAACACATGCTTTCCCTTGACATTTGGTTTAGTTGTGGTTTGGCGAACGGGCAAGTCAATAAAGCAGTTGGGTGAGAAAAAAAAAAAAAGGAGAGGTGTTGGACTATAAGAAGCAGCTAAGACTAGCAGCTCGCACTAGAAGGCAGAAAACTAGATAAAATAATTAATTAAATTTATTAAAATTGTGTTAACACCTACCCTACCAAACACAGATATAGCTGATCTGGAAAGAAACGCAAACACTGGGGAACTATGCAGACTGCAATGAAAGCAAGCAATGAAAAAAAAAAAATTAAAGATACCTTAAATAAAAAAAGGTATTAAAAGGAGACAGCAATGTGTAAAAACAAAACAACAAGGGAAGACAAAATGTTTTTATATTAGCTTTCAACAGCAACTTGGTTCCTATAAATGAAATCCCGTGGATCTCAGCACTGACTGGTCTACAGCTTCTATGACACACTCTAGGACCCTGGTTCATCTGTAAGATCAGAAGAGAACCAGCCCGAAAAGTTCCCTCTAACAGAAGGAGAAAAAAGGCCAAAAGCTGCCTTTAACCTTGAAGGAATTCTTTGACATTTTGGAAAGTTCCCATTTTCACTTTCTGGTGGAGAGTTAGATGATTAAGTCAATATTACTCATATTGGTGAGACAAGATCACTATTTCTTGGCTCTGAGCAGTTGCAAGGAAATTAGTGGAGTCTCCAGGAAGTTACTGTTCCCAGTCAAAAATTATCCGGCATTAAACCCACCGAGCAGCAATATCATCATTTAAAGTGTGTTTTTTGTGTGTGGACAAGATATAATTAACGAGCTTTACAGGTGCTGGTAGGCAGCACCTGCATCAGCTGGTTTGCTTAGCTCGGTTGGTGGCGAGCTAAGCAAACCAGCTGATGCAGCTTCATATTTAAATGGACACAAATGACAGTGATATTTATCTTCTCCTCAAACTCTGCACCGGAAAGTGAATAAGCACATTTCCCAAGATGTAGAACTATTCCTATAAAAACTCCAACACGTCTCTCTACATTGCTTCAGGACTTTGGCAATAGCTGTTAAAATAATGACCAGGAAACCTGCTGCTGAACAGAGGACAGCTGCACTTATCCAACACAAACTCGCCAGTCGGTCCACATGTATAAAACTAACTAACACCCTTCTCTCTGTGGATGTGGTTTCTGCCTTTACCTTTCTGGGGGAATTTGCTGCTCAGCAGAGGCCTCCATAAAGATGGACCGCTCCACACTGGAGACGGCTGAAACCTGCTGTGTCAGGCTGTAATCCTCCTCTGACAGCAGGTCCCCCCCCCCCCCCAGCCTCCACCCAGCACAGCAGCCTTCCAACCCCCCCGATTACACAGTTGGCCAGGGTGTGCTCACTCACACACACAAAACACACACAGAAACAGCGGGTAGAGCTGGGAGATACTTAATTATACATATAATACTGACTACGGCTAAAAGTAACTACTATTTGTTTAATTAGCAAAAACTTAACTGCCGAATACTTTCTTGATTAATCAATTAATTTAGTCCATAAAATGCAAAGAAAATAGTAAAAATGTCCAACATGAGTTTTCAGACCCCGAGGTCGTGTCCTCAAATGTCTTATTTTGTCTGACCAACAGTCTAAACATGAAAGATAAAGTTTATTATCATTGCAGACAAAACCAGCAGCAAATATTCACAATTGAGACACTAAAATAATATTAATTATTAATATTCAACCTTACAGCTGGGAGACAACATCAAAATAAAATTGATGTGCTCTAAGGCTATTTATCATCTGGATTTTGGTTGAGTGAGATTCAATTTCTTGGCCATGATTCTTTTGGGCAGTTTAAATATTTTTTGTTTTGGTATTAAGAGTTACACAAAAAATATTTTATCTTAAAGAAAGAATATGAAGTAGAAACTATTGTGATAATGGATTTCATCCATGTCACTCAGCTCTACCCAATGTAGGGAACAAAACCTTTAAGCACAAGATCAACCATGACTAGTCAAAAGGTCACCACACATTTCAAACAATGACAGAAAAAAGCCCCACACACACACACACCCACCACATGGCAGCCACACTGAAAATATTGTGCCATTTCAATAGTGAATCTCGTTGTCACCGGGTAAAGTAAAAGTCAGAAGATACTTTTACTAACATTTAAGTGGGAGTTTCTTTGGAAATATGATACATCTCCAGTTTGTTTTCATTCAGTTGTTTCATCCTTTCTCTGCTGAGAAAATGACATTGTATCAATTTTTTGATTGGAGACAAATTGAATTGGAAATCAATAGAAATCTCTAGAGACTCAACTTAGTATTGTTGTTTGTAATTTTGGTGACCTAAGAAGTTATTTTAATATTGCACACTGTCTAAAATGTGTTGGGTTGAAATGTCAGAGAAAATTAAAGAAAATAATCTAACCCTGTCAAACTACCCACTTTTCAGCAAACACGCTGGGCGTTCAATGTGGTGTGTCGGCCCCTTGCACTGCCAAGCCTGGCCTTTTAGGAGTCATGCTATTAATAGTGTCAACAACTCACAGAGATTAAAAGGGCATCAACACAAAGGATTAGTGCTGGATGCAACACTATAGCGTTTAACTCTGCCTGTCCATGAAAGCCCAAACCGAAACTCTCCATTTTATACCAAAACAAAAATAACTGCTTATTTTCCACATTCAGCAAACACACTTCTGCCCAGTCCCAACACCCTTCAAACCCTGCACTGTGGTTCAATAAACCTCCCCCCTCTAATTCAAAACACCAAGCTCTCTTTACTTCAGAGATGTACAGATGAGAAACGGATTCCTAGCTGCCAGTAGATGGCAATGTTTTGCTAAAGACCAAGACCTTTGGTTACCCAGAGAGGCAGAGAATAGGTGAGCCATGCAACATAACAGCAGGCAGGTTAGCAGAGGGTGAAAACGTGCAAGAAGAAGAGGAAGAGAGGCAGCCAAAAACATGTGTGTGAACACCTATAGAGTGGGAGGAAAAACACAAAGAGGAAATACAAGATAGAGAAAAACAGAATGAAATGACAGGGTGGTACAGTACAATACGATCAATTTAAACATCAAAGAAACACATTCTGAATTTAAACATCAGTCTGTCAAATTTATGAACTCTCAACCCACAGGAGAAAAAGTGAAAAGCAGTTTTTATTTTATTATTATGTACAGAAGGGCCACAATTCAAGTGTCTCCTGCAGGTGTAGACTTCAGGGTTCAGAATGGAAATGAAGACAAAGCGAGACTGAAAACGTCATAGATAATCAATTAAGCACTCTTTGATAACTGATGAATGCCATAGAGAAATTAATAGGCATGAAGGATATAATACTTAATATAAACAGAAATCCCCTTATCAAACATGCCGACTTCTATGAGGTTTTCAGTTTGAATGAAGCACAAACCAAAGACAATGGCTGTGCTTCGCTCATTTATATGCTTGTTAGTCAGGATTTACAGTTCGCATATCCACTGCAGGACAGGAGGAAGCAAACACTTAAATGTCAAAATGCACACCTAGAATCCATGATTAATGTTTACGACATAAAACCTAAAACATCTTTTTGTATTTGCAGTGCTTCGTAACTGGACTTGATATTTTGTCAGCATGATTAACTGGCTGAACAACATGGATGTGTTACACAAATTAGTAAATTCATGCACTCAATAATTCATGTTTAATTAAATATAGAAATATACACAGAGCTATCCATCACTATCCAAAAAAACATATATGGGCCTCTAAATGAAATGAAATTATTCACAATTAATTTTACAACAAGTTTGTGTTATGTACAGGAGTAAGTATTAGGAGTCAAGTGTGCACTACACAAGCAGATAACATGCATTTGTTCACATGGGTTCCGACACACTGTCACCTGCCTGGCTAGCAGCCTGCTTGTTAGCTGGCCCAGCATGGTCACGCCTCGCTGTGTCAAACTGTACAGAGAGCGGGTGGGCTGGCTGGAGCTGGAGCAAAGACCAAGACACCTTACATGACTAACATGGTGTGTATAAAAAAAAAAAAAAGTCTAATAATCCAGTTTGACAAAACTTTAGTCTACACCAAATACTGGTGCATAATAAAGGTCTGGCAAGGCATTTATAAACTTCTGACTCTGATAAAGTGAGAAAAGCAGCAAAGTCACCTCAAACAACTGTATATCTGAATTTCTTTAACCAAATCACACAAATTTAGGCTATTCTATGTGATCTCCCTTTGATAACTAATAACGTAATAATGTAGTGATGTAGGCCTAATATTTTTTCATTTCATTTCCTTCCTCTGGAACTGTCTGGAGCCCCCCTGGGGAGGCCCGCCTCCCACTTCGAAAACCTCTGCTCTAGACTTCCTTCAACTCTCTCTATCTCAGACTAATAGCACAAAAATACTTTGTCAATAATTCTCAGGCCAAAAACGTAATAGTTCTACAGTAAGGACTGATAGTTTCTCCTAACTCCGCCGGTAAGAAGCTACTTTTCACCTTATGAGGTGTATTCAGCCTCTGGGTAGAAATCACATTTCTAAAGAACTGGGTTTTGATTTGTATTGATAGTTTAAAAAAAAAAAACCCAGCGGAAATAATTAACTCTAAGACAGATGGTCGATCTCTTGGATGGACTGTATGGACTTTGTCAACAAGCATCACTTTGCTGAGGCAAAGTTTAGTAAGACTGTAAAGCAACACTGCGGCAAGCAACAGGAGAATTTCCCAGAAAGTAAAACATTATAATTTTCTATTTACATACTTTAGTATCACAAATAGAAGGCTACTATATATTTAACATGTTTTGGCGCAAGGTATCACATTTAATATTTCCTTTTCCCTACAGTGGATATGCAGTGTAAACCTGACCCTGAGCACTGAAGGAAAGCAGAGGGAGCTGTCACCATCACAGTGTTAGAGAGCTTGGGTGAAAAGGGAACCTCTCTGTGACCCAACCTGGAGGTCTAACCCGAGGGTGGGAGACACAGAGAGGAGGAATGAGTCTATGTTAAAACACTAGTGCTTATTCTACGTATGAACCTGTTGAAAACGACCCTGCGGAGTTGGGCCTTAATACTGCGCAGCAGCTCCAACTTGAGGAGGTTCTGACACAGGCAATAGGTACACCTGTTGCAGGCACACATGCAGCGGAGACGGGAGTGGCTGCGGAAAGACACATAAAAACGCTTGTATTCACCACCATACAAAGACAACACACACAGAGGAGGCGGCGGCCAAAGCCAGGAGGATAAAAACCTATACTTTGTTTAACCACTAGGCTAGATCAAAGGACCCGAGTTAAGAGAATACATACTTCTCTAAGCTGAAATCTCCACTGCTGCCATTTACCTTTACCTCCTCAACTCAAAGTTAACAAAAGTATAGATAAGGAAACATCTAAAATAAACTAATGTGTCTAAGACTTATAAGGAGAATAAACACAAGGAGACATCAGTAGAGGAAAACCACAAAGAAAGGAAGAGAACAGTCACAACAACTAACAAAAAATCTGAGGGTGGTAAATAAAAAACAGGAGCTCTCTAAATCCTTTTTTTGTCTCCGACCACTGGAACCTTTCTGGTCTGGACTAATTTCCCTTGACAATAACTATTACTGGATTATGAACATAAAGCATCAAACACTACCAAGAGGGGAAAAAAGAAACAATTCTTTTGAGACCATGGGCTAGTTTAAAAAAGATGTTAGGCTCGTCTTAAATTTGCTCTTAGATTTGACTAATTTGACTAAGTTGGAAAGTTTCACAGAAATAAAGATAGACTTATTTTAAACCACCACAGACTAACTCAGGACTAAGAGCCATGTTTACCCTGGTAACAATCAATGACACCTGCTGACCAGTGGTATCAAATTACTAAAAAACAAAACAAAACAAAAAAAAAATTGTGACTTTTAGAAATGCTGAGGAGTGAATAATGCAGAAAGCAATCGCAGTAACCCAATGGAAATTTACAGCAGTGAGGACAATGTCCGTTGTTTGCAAACTATCCTGAGCCTGACGGGCGTGTTAGCAGAAGTACTGCCACGTTAAAGACGCAGCATCTCAGCTCTGCACTGCCATTTTATGCTACTGGACATTTTTTGATTGTTGCTCCAGTGAAATTAATATATTTTCTGCTGAGGTGAGTGGTTTGACGTGGTTGCTTAGTCATTTATCTTCTTCTCTTCAAGAACAGCTTTGTGCACGGATGAATTCAGAAATCATCTGAAATACTCTGATCCGAGTCACAGTCAGAGTCTATCTTTGTTAAACTGGCCACAGTTTCATAAAAGGTTGGTATAATGTAGGTTTATTATGAATTTATGTAGTCATGGTAACCCTAATGCTAAATGTGTAAATTTGTTTCTACAAGAAGTGATGCTTAGCTCAGTTTAGACTTTGACAAACCGTTGATAAAGTGCATTAAAAATTTAAAAACCACCTCAGAATGGAAAACCTGCGTCGAGTTGTCAGCTTCCACAACTATTTTCTGAATCATTTACTTTACATCTAACGAACTCCCCCTCAACCAATAGATTAATTTACTCCTTACGGAGCCAGGGCAAGTCACAGACTCTCTCAGTCAACAACTTTTCTTTACATTAAAGCCTTACTAATCAAACACATGCCCTAGAGTGCATCAGATCTAATAGTTTCAACTTTTATACAATAGGATTTGTGGCCTCCTAAAATGAGATTTAGTGGGTACGTCCCATTGAGTGTTAATTAATCTAATTTGAAATCTAATCTGATCAGAAAGCTTTGAGGAGTTAAGACACCCTATAAAGGCTTAACCTCAAAGAATTTCAGGCAGCACAGACTTGCTTGACTGCACACACAGACATACAACACTGACTTAGTGAGACCCAGAAAGTTTATTTTGTTTTTGGTCAGGAAACGCAAGTCCTCATCTACTGACTGAAGTGGCCCAGAGGAGCCAAAATTCAATGACTGAACAAGAGTGTTAAACTTCCCACCCAGAATAAACATGTTTACACATTACACCGCATATAGAGGGTCTTTCTTTGAATACTAAGAACAAAATGTCCCTGTCAGATACACACACACACAAACACACACCCACCCAGGAGAGAGGTGGAACACAGGAAAAGATGGCATGGTTGATAAGGTTACAGGACTTACAGAGGTGTAAAGGGTTAACTAGAGGAGACCACAAAGAGGTTTAATACTCACGGATACATGGCCATGGTGGTGAGTCTAGTGTAGATGTCTTTGCTGAGTGCGTCGGTCGTGTTGCATGTGAACGGCTGGGGTGGGTGGAGCTTGTGCTTACGGCAGAACTCCTGCGGCGAGAGGCTGTAGTGCTGCCGTACTTCGTGCAGGTCCGACTTGGCGGCAATCACCATGCATGGCGTCTTACTGTCTATGAAGTATTGCTGCCAAACACAACCGTTTGTTAGTTAGTAGAAGACTGTATATAGCAGGTCTTACAAGCCTCAGGGCATCTGATGAGCACTGCTCCACCTTCTGAAACATACCTTGTACACTTTGGCGCAGTATTCAAAAGAGCGTGGATTGTTGACATCATACACCAGGCAGACCACATCACAGGCTAGGTCCGCCTCTGACAGGAAGTCAAAATCTGGCATCACCTCATGGAGCTTGTAGGTGTGCAGACAAGACAGAGAACAGAAAGCGAGAGAGAGAGAGAGAGAGAGAGAGAGTGTGCAGACGGAGGGATCAATGTTTTGCAGAGAACTAATGCTTAAAAGGAGTAATATACTCAAATTATGGAAAAGTAATCCAAGAACAAACGATTGGTAATTGGTTCTTACCAGCAGGTACTTCTCCTGACCATAAACATAGGTTGTGCTGATGGCATAGAAGGACTTGTGGTCTTCTCTAATCCGCCTCTGTCGCTGTGGTGGATACTAAACAAGGTCAGTAACAGACACCCATCAAGACTATTGACATGTTTATAAGTTGGTCCTCTTCGTCTCTGGCTTGTTTGCTCCAACTCTGGAAGTTCACTAAATTACACACAGTTTAACAAGCGCTCTGGTCTTTGGTCTAGTCCAAGGTGGATCAATTTTCACTTTTTGTATCTTGTTTTGTTTTAATGTGGGCTAAAAAATTACAAGCAAAATAGACAAAGTGACAAAAGGAGTCCCCCCCCCCCGAAATGTCCACCAATAAATGCAATAAATAAATATTAACTCATCTTACCACTAAACATCATTTTCACCATGTTTGGCAGAAAACAAAACTAGCTAATACTCTTATACTATACTACTTATTTTTAAATTAGTATCTCCTGTAATTAGACTATTTTGAAGAGTTAATTTGAGACGCAATATAAATGTAAAATGTTGTCCCACTTGGAAGTAATCCTTCTGAAACTGAGTGTGTGTCCAGCAAGACAAACTGCTAAAAATGCCAGCATGTAGTCACGATTTGCACCGACCTGCAAGTTCTTGCCCAAGAAAGCTTGAAGGAAGCCGCTCTTCCCGCTGTCCCGAGCACCCAGGACGTTGCAGCGAAAGACGCTGCGCTGGGTCTGTTTCTTCTGCAGGTCGATACGCTTGTTACGCGTCACTGAAAGAACAGGGATAGCATTTTTCCTACGCGAGATGATACATGAACAATGGCAACATGCAGTAAAATTCATACATTTCTTTTGTATTTAACGTTCAACAACAAATAAAACTCCAATGCCAATTTAAAAATGTGTTTATTACTATTTACTACTTGTTTTTGTTAGTCAATCTACATACAGTGCTGCTGAATTGAATATTACATTCCCTTACCTGTAATGGCAGCTGCTTGGGACTCCTGCTCACAGATGATAGAGTAGCCCAGGTAACCCAAGTACTCCAAACTCCGCTGTACATCTAGATATGTTGTTAACCTACCACAGAAAACACATACATCATGATGAGTCCGATGACATGAGAGATTTACAGCATGATATTGTAAAATTATCTGTGTTCTCAACATAATGATGTATGCCTACCAGTTGTGTGACTGTATTCAGGTTGTATAAAGCTAAAATATGTCCGAGTGTACGTGTGCGTGTATTAATAGATTTGTTCCACACTCACGTCCACTGGGAGAGGTATCCCTGGTATGTGATCCATCCCTGGTCGTTAGTGCAAACTGTGTTGTTGACATCCGGACCCCAGGGCATGTAGGGAAACACTTTGAACAAGTCCTTCACCTCCTCTGGTGACAGTGCACAGTCTCTGTCCTGGATCATGACAAGTGCAAATACATTATTACATTAAATTTTAAAAAACATGGCTTTTTACCTACAATGAATTTATTAAATGTTGAACATTTCTAACCACTCACTTTGTCATGTTTGTCAAAGACACTCTGGAGGAAGAGGTAAGCGTTGTGGTTAAGCTCTGTGGTGCAGTCTGGGGGGATCTTTATCCTGCAAGACAAGGCAAACAGAGACAATAATTTTACAGAAAGCTCTTGACCATTGACTTGAATCACACATTTCTGACGCTGCCTTCAAAAGTGACAAGGAAGAAACAATCTGCCTGAATTACTTAAGTGATAAGGATAACCAGACCAATTCAGTAGAGAAGTCTCTTCAAAAGAAGAACAAGACATCAATACAAGTATGAAAGATAACATAACGATGTTATTACCTGCTAAACCAAAAAAAGTGGTGTTTTTTTGACCACTGCCATATTCTCAAAGGCTTGAACACAAAACTTGTTTGTAATAAAAATCAAGCTTTGTAGATTGCACCTTTAATACATTTAACATGAGGGCTGTAATGATGCTACCGTTATAAACCTTTAAGTGTTTTTGTGCTAAACTGCAAAATGTTCAAAATTCATACAGATTGTTCATAAAGTGAAGAAACATAAATAAAAGTTGTTTTCCTGCGAGAAATGTGTCACTTTACTTAAAGCAAACAATTACGTGTTATAAGGTCTTATAATTAGTTCATATGGTATTATGTCCACCTGTAATATATTATACAGGGATAGATATTTTAACACTTTACTTAAAGCAAACAAAGACATGCTATGTAACTAAACTTTATGGTCGTAAATGGTGACTAAAGATTCTTAACGCAGAGTCGGTGGTTATAATGTGTTATGGAACATGGTCGGAGATTCTTGTCGCACATTGATATAAACTGGTATTATTATTAGCTATAAAACATTAAATCAAAAGGTCATAATACGTTATGAACTTTGCTATAGCGCCTAATGCATGTTTGTAAGTGATTATAATAATTGTTATAATGTCTTATGGACGCATTATATCGTGTTATAAATATATGCATAAGTCATTATAGCGATGACCTTCAGCAACTGCACATAGTTTTTGTGCTTTTCTCAGCATAAAACAAAAGATACACACTGCATTAGTAGCACAGTCTGGCCATTTTTATATACCCAATGATGACCACACAAAGAAAAACTGAAATTTAATCTCTTAGTTTCCAATGCTTTTAAACCCGATTAGCTCGACATCTGGCTAACACTTGTATAATCAATGCAGTGGAATCATCAAAGAGGACCCCCTGCAGATTTAACGAGATAAAAGTTCTGTTCAGACATTTAACTTTTTCCCCGTCTCCACCATACAGTCACAAAAAAAAAAAAAAAAACATGAATCCCACCAAATAGCCTTTGAGTCTGCACTTACAAGGGGAACAGGTATTCCTGCGTGAGCTCCAGGTCATCGTCATAACCAAACCTCCTAAGCACAGTCCAGGTGGTCTCGTGTCGCCCTCGCTGTATAAAGAGGGTGTGCAGAAACAGGAAGCCTGTAAGTGAGAGCCAGGGACAGGAGAATGGATGAGGTCAGCAGTCAGCAAGTGTCTTACAGAAATGGACTAAAAAGCGAGCAGAAAAGAAGGATTGTTGAGGGGACATTATGAGGAAGGATGAGTAATGAAGAAGAAGGAGGGAGGTGTAAGAGGAGAAATATGAAAACAAGAAAACAGGAGAGTGCCTGACCTTTAAGTGAGAGTCCGTTGTCCTTGACTCCATCAGTCATGTTCCTCCTGACCACATTCTTTACATCTTCTAAGGCCTGAGGCGCCAGGGGTGTATTGAAACACGTTCTCTATAGACATACACAACAAGCGATACTTTGTGGATACTTTGAATGTACCAGGAGACCGTTTTTCATTTAAAAACATGTTCAAACCAGTTGATCTCTGCTACACAGCTTAATGAGGCCTGACAGAAATCAGGCTCTCAATGTTGTGCTAGTGATGAAGACTTTCACAATTTTTAACTCTTATGTGGTCGTGAAAATTATACTCACAGTGACACTATTAAGTGGAAAAAATTACCTGGAAGAAGTTGAGCTCATTGTCATTAAGGATGCCGTCGTTGTCCAGGTCAGACACTTTAAAGATTCTAGTTAAGGACTTGATGCAAGAAGGCTTCAACTGTAATACAGAAGTAACATTTAACATTTAGGTGAGTACATGCACTTACTGTATAAAGCAGAAAGATTTAAACCAACAGTAATCATTGTGACAGCGAACTTAAGGATGCACCAATCCAACTCAGGGTATTTGCCAATACTGACTGCGCACAAATCTGATCCTAGTGCTCTCTGTATACCTCATGAAGTGGAATAATTTTTATGTAAGGTAATATAAGGCCAGTGGTTTCGAGTTTTGAGTTAAGTTGAGTAGTAGGCTCGTATTATTAGGTTTATTATATGATCAATTTCCTGTTCTTTTATAAGTCAAAATGTCTGCTGTATCTGTGTCCACCATATAGACCTCACCTCCTTCTCCTCCGGGCAGTACAGGGGTCCTGTCGGGTGGAGAACGGCCTTCTGGGCGTAGTAAAACAGCTCAGAGATGTTCTTCAGGTTTTTGGCAGAGCACTGAGGAAAAAGAGCGCACGTGTGTGAATGCCCTGAGCGAGCGCAACTCTGAAGCAAAATTATCAGAAAGCTCATCTACACAGACTTGAATAGCTCATAGGGTTCTTATTATTTTAAAAGTATTTTATCTTTACTTCCCAAAAAACTAATGGAGTTATTCTCACAATTTAACAGTGTCAAAAGAGAGTCAATGGTCAAAGACAGAGTTAATAAAAAACAATGGCGCAAAGTATGGCGTGAATGTGAGTGTGAGTGGTTGTCTGTCTATGTGTGGCCCTGCGATGGACTGGCGACCTGTCCAGGGTGAACCCCGCCTTTCGCCCAATGTCAGCTGGGATAGGGTCCAGCCCCCCTGCAACCCTGTACACAGGATAAGCGGTTGACGATGGATGGATGGCGCAAAGTACAGTGCAGTACTTCAGTACAATTAAGTTGAGTTTATACATCTACTATACTACATTTGAGAGGGTATTTTTTTTAACTCTACTACATTTATTTTGTTATTTATTTAGATTTTAACCCCTTTCCAACATATCAAACACAATACATTATTATACAGAAATTAAACTGCCCAACAGTACATATCAAATGAGTAAAATTAGCTTTAAAATGCAACTTATGTGTGACTGCATCAATGATAATAATCCGATATTATAATAAATATAATATTTTGGCTTCAGGACATTCACTTGTGACGCAGTATTTCTAAATGGTGGTATTTCTAAATTATTTCCTACATTTACATGTAACCGATCTCAATACTTCTTTCACTACTGATAAAGAAACAAAGATTACACTAGAAATGTAAGTAATTTGGAGACACAGGACATACAAACAACACCCCCACTCTGTATGTGCCTTCTCTCACGTCCTCATCATCCTCTTTTAACCTTGTAAATAATCCACCTGAGGAGGCCATGACTGAGCCGTATCATGCGACAGAGGGAAATTTGAAGTGAACAGTAATGTAGACAAGAGGCCAGCTTCCTCCTCGACAGCCAAGCAAGTCAACATACTCTCAGTCCATCAGTCAGCCGGCTTTGGCCTGAGAGCGCGGAGTTCAGTAAGATAAATCTATTAATGACTCAGTCAGAGTGTAAGTGGAGTCACAAGCTGGACTGCAGCCAAAGAGCAGCTGGGAGCCAATGTATCACCGCTAGTAGGGCTGAAACGATTCATCGATTAACCCTTAAGAGTTCCTCAGAACATTTTGTGCCATTCAGTTTTTTTATTTTCAAGCCATTTTGGCTGTGTTGAATGTATATAGCTCAAAGTTGCCAGAGGATATTCTTTTTAAAGAAATTTTCCAAATGTTGTCTCAGTTCCTTAAATTTGCTTAAAATGGCTAAGCTATGCAAAAAACGACACATTCGCCCCTTACAAAAAAATGCCCCATTGAAAATGGCTTTTTTGATCCCGCATTTATCCTAACCTAAATTGATGCATTACTTTATGTTAATATTTCATTTTGCACTACTAGCTTTCAATTTTTTATATCTTGATTGATGTTGGATGATGGTGTCTGTGTAAAAGAAAGGTCTGTGTCTGTGTGCACGTGTGTGTATGCAAGTCTTTTCTCTTTGAAGGCCACACTCTGCATTATGAACTAATCCAGGAATGAAAACGATGAGCAGCGAGAACCAAAACAAAATTGGGACATTGATTTTGTTCTCATTCAGGTTGTTTATGCAGGTGCACTGCAGCCATGGTTAAACGCTCACCGGCCATTTTATTAGGTACACCTTACTAGTACCGGGTTGGAGACCCTTTTGCCTGCACAACTGCCTATTCCACACGGACGTGGGTATTTTTATAACAGGAGTTTTTCCTGTGTTTCAAAAAAAATCTCTGTCTACATGAAAATGCAAAAACACGCTTTCAAGCGCTGCCAAGAGCATGCCAAACCACCAGGATGCAATATGACCCTAACCGTGAAGCCATACTGGCCAATCAGTGCCTAATAATATCAATCAGACATCAAACACAGCAGATAACGGTGCACGCACTCTTACATCGCAAGGCAAAAACTCTGGTTTTACTGTCAACACAACACTGCAACATTTGCAGCATTTCTTAAAATCTTCACCCTGGCAGGGGTTTTCAAAAATGTTTGTTTGTTTGTTGGACACATTCCTAAGAGACTTTGGTCGTACTGACATGATAGCATCACGTAGTAGTAGTAGTTGCTGCAGATTTGTCAGCTGCACATTCATGATGTGAATCTCCCCTTCCGCAACATCCCAAAGGTGCTCTATTGGATTGAGATCTGGTGACTGTGGAGTCCATTGGAGTTCAGTGAACTCATTGTCATGTTCAAGAAACCAGTTTGAGATGATTTGAGCTCTGTGACATGGTGCATTATCCTGCTGGAAGTAGCCATCAGAAGATGGGTACACTGTGGTCATAAAGGGATGGACACCGTCAGAAACAATACTCAGGTAGGCTGTCGTGTTTATACAATGGTCACTGGGGCTCAAAGTGTGTCAAGAAAATTTCTCCACCACCACCAGCCTGAACCGTTGATCCAAGGCAGGATGGATCCATGCTTTCATGTTGTTTACGCCAAATTCTGACCCGACCATCTGAATGGTGCAGCAGAAATCGAGACTCATCAGACCAGGCAACGTTTTTCCAATCTTCTATTGTCCAGCTTTGGTGAGCCTGTGTGAACTGTAGCCTCAGTTTCCTGTTCTTAGCTGACAGGAGTGGCATCCGGTGTGGTCTTCTGCTGCTGTAGGCCATCAGCTTCAGGATTCAACGTGTTGTGCATCAGAGATGGTATTCTGCATACCTTGCGAGTGACAAGTGGTTATTTGAGTTTGTTACCTTTCTGTCATCTCGAACAAGTCTACCCATTCTCCTCTGACTTCTGACATCAACAAGGCATTTCTCGTCCACATAACTGTATATTTTCTCTTTTTCATACCATTCTCTGTAAACCCTAGAGATGGTTGTGTAAATCCTAGTAGATCAGCAGTTTCTGAAATACTCAGACCAGCCCGTCTGGCACCAACAACCATTCTGATGTTTGAACTCCAGCAAGTTGTCTTGACCACGTCTACATGCCTAAACGCATTAAGTTTTTGTGAAGGAGCCATTTTTGGTCACGAGGGAAAATTAAGTTTTTTTTAAGGAACTCTTAAGGGTTAAATCGATAAAATTGATTCATAAAATGCTTCGACACAAATTCTTTGCATCAATGCTTCGTTTAATCCATGTAAGTGTACAGCACAGTGTTTCGCAGGGACATTTATTACTGTCGCACATCGCGTTTATGCTGTGAACACGACGTGATTATGATGGAGCTGTTTGCAAAGTGGAGGAAAAGAGAGAAAACAGCGAGGGACAAAAAAGAAAGTGTCCAAAGTATGGGATTATTTCAAGCTAAAGAAAACAACAACTCTGTAATGTTACCGTCCGTCCACCGTAAAACGAAACTTATGTCACCTCGGCAACAGCACGACGGCAGCTGAACAAAAAGCAGCTGGTGTTCGGCCAGCCGACCACAGACATGGTAACAGTAACAGCAACTTTAGCATTTAACTGAAATCATGACTGATTGTTGAGTTGAAGGCTAGCCAAAGCAAACCGCAGTTCTCAGCTGAAAATGTGCACACGTGCGTTTGTTGTTCTCCTTTTTGGGCCGTGAGTTGCAACCTCACAGTCATGTGTTAATTGGGTGTCGGGGAGCTGCACCTTTTAACTCACCTGCAGCAGGCGCCAAGCAAAAGTACTTCTTAAACGATGAATCGATGAAATAATCTATAGAAGCTTTGAATACTAAAATCATTAGCTGCAGCCCTAACCGCCAGTGTTGGATTTTCACTCAACCTTTCATATTTCCTTTGCCAATTCATTGCTCTCAAGTGATTCATCAAAGTGGCAGCCCTGCCTCAATGGATCCAAAAGGTTTATACGTGTGTATTGATCTCTTACCTCTACACAGGTCTCGATATCCTGGTATTGATTCATGATTGGCAGGATGGTCTCCATGCTGCTGTGTTCCACCAGGTCTGACTTGTTCCCTACAAGGATCAATGGAACCCTGCAATAAAACCATTCATTGCTACATTATAGAGCTGCAACGATTAGTCGATGAACAGAAAAAGTATTTTGATAATACATTCATTGTTTAAGACATTTGTTTGAGCAAATTATAAACTTATGTCGCCTACTGCAACAGCACGACGGCACCTGATCAGAAAGCAGCCGGTGTTCTGCCAGCGGACCACAGACAAGGTAACATTAACAGCAATTTTAGCATTTAACTGAAATCATGATTGATTGTTATGTTGAAGGCTAGCCAAAGTAAGCCGCAGACCTCAGCTGAAAATGTAAACATGTGCGTTTGTTGTTCTTCTCGTTTGGCTGTGAGTTTGGGTTTAACATCACAGTCATGAGTTAATTGGGTGTCAGGGAGCTGCACCTTAGTATAACTTGTGTTGGTAAAGCAGTTGTCTGGTTGTTGGTCTGATGTTTTCTGTATGACACACTATGAATTTCCGAAAAGGACTAATAAATATCTATCAAGGTACACAGGTGATTCCGTTACCGGGGTGGGGGGCGACGCCACCGAACAAAAGTACTTGTTAAACGATGAATAGATGAAATAATCTATAGAAGCTTTGAGTATTAAAATCATCGTTAGCTGCAGCCCTACTCCCCATTATACCATTTAACACAAGGGGTTTAATAAGCCTGAAGATATAATACCACCAAACAAGCTGATGTGACCCACAGACACACACACACACACACACATCTATTAGGTGTCCTGAACACACCTGCTATCCTTGTCCGTCCTGTCATTTATGAGGGGAATCCAGTGGCTTGTCACCTAGGAGAGTAAAGCACAACATTAAACACGGCAGCCGGGCAAACACAAATTAGTTTTCTCAGATGAAGCATAGGCAGTGTCAAATTTCAGACATACTGCTGTAATGAGAAAAACAATGCTCACCTTTTCTATGGACTTCTTATTGTTGACTGAGTAAACTATGCAGATAACATTTGCCTGTAAAGACAAATAGCAACATTAATCTATGGAAAATCTATGGGGTATAGACATTCAAAGTCCAGATAAAAGTAAGACTTAGATCAAACCAACCTTTGATATTTCTTGGTACAGCTGCTCGTCTGACTGTTCAGCCTCTAAAAATGTGTTATCAAATAAATTCCAATTAATTTGGAGTAGGGACCTTAAAGTATTGGACTGGGCTTTATATAGCCAACACCAGTAATTTAAATGCTATGTATGGTCATGATGTGTGTGAGTAGCAGGGGGAGGTTTTACCTGAGTAGTCCACAATGTGTGTGGGAACCCTCTCTGGGGTGACATCCGCTGGGATGGTGATCTCCTCAGCTCGGAGAGGAACCTGGAAGACAATGATGCAAACTTTTTAACCTCATGATTGATGACAGTATTCACAAATCAGTGATTCACATCAGTCAGCCAAAACTAGAGTATTAACTGTCCAACTTCAATATATATGATTAGGATGCAACTTAACAGCTACCAGGATGATTCCTACCACCTCAATCATCTGATTTCCTGTTGACACATACCTCATCAGGAAACTCCTCGCTGACCAGAGACATTATCAGTGATGTCTTCCCCACCTTGGCTGTACGGGCAAAGGAAACAATTTTTGAAATCACAATCTGGCATTACACACGTATTTTGCTGACAATTGGCATGTGACCTCTCCACTGGGTTTTTTTGAGCTGTCTGGGTAATGTCATGGCATGGACAAGAGCAGCTCAAGACGCTTAGAGCTGCAGCCAAGTGCCAAGGTTATCAAGCAAGCACTCACAGATTTCCAGCACAGCCACAATACAAAGTGGACTGAAATTTAAAGCCGTTGATAGACAGATTGGCCAGAGAGCTGCACACTTATTATATCACTACCGGTATTTTAATAAGTGTAATGTTTTATTAGTATCCCTACAGTTACATTTCTGGCTTTCCTTTCTTGCTTTGGAAAATGCAAAACTCCAACTTTAAAAAGGGAAATATTACTATTAGTGCTAGTGATGGCCACCACATTATAATATATATGACAAACTAAATAAGTCTGACATAAATTCACATTATGATTTCAAAAAACAAAGAAAACACTTACATCTACACTGTAACTAATGCTAAAAAAAAAAAAAGGCACAAAAAGGGCACCCAAGAGAACACCCAAATACACCCAGTACAAAACCTGCTATTTGAAGACATCTACTTGGTCTCTGGAAACTTGTGATGGTCTTCTTTCACATTTTAGAGACCATTAATTGGAATGAAAAATAATCCTTAATGCAGGCCTAGTCTGCAGTACCTCTGGCCCCTCAGTGTCTTGACAGCATCTGCGTGACCCTGCCAACTCCCCTCTACTGAACTTCACAACACTGAAGTAGGCATGTAGCATTTTGGCTGCACCTTTCTCAGGAACAGTCAGTGCCAACTCCCCTAATGTGGGTCAGTGTTTGCAGTCCTGCATAGCCAAAACTGAAATATAAATAGTACTGAGAACACACACATGCTTTAAAATGAACAAACAGAACTGGTGAAACACAGCTAAGGGAGGATGGATCTGTTTCAATTTTGGCTTAATTCTGCCCTCCCTTTAGGGTCCTGGAGAAGGTCAAGATCTGATCCTGTAATCACAAACTATTTACCGTAAAACTTCACTTAATAGCCTGAGCTTTAAGTTGCTTCAATCAAACTCACTCTGCCTATATTTGGGACAGGACTTTTAATTTTATTTTTTCATTTGTCAAAACCAAAACGTGAAGCCCACCAGGCCAGTAAAAGGGACAGGCAGTATCCATAATTCTGCATACTGTCAATATACAGTGCAATCTCTGTGCCAACTAGAGCTAAACCAATTAGTCAATCAACAGGAAATTTATCAGTAGCTATTCTGATAATTACTTAAACAATTATTCTATTATCAAAAATTGGGATTTTCCATTATTATTTTATAAAAACAGTTATCAAGAAAACATCTATAATCAAAAAAAATCTCAGCTTCAGCCCTAGTTCCAATAATACTTTTATTTAAAACTGCATAATAGATGTAACTGCAATTAGCTTTGTACACTAGTCTACAGTTTAAATACAGTTTCCCGTTTATATTATTTAGGTCTGCTGGTACAATCCAAGTCCAATACAACAAGCCTGCAACAGTTAAATACCTTCACAATGAATTTCATTGCAATGAAATTCATATTTACAACCATTTTGAACAATTTAACCATTTAAAGCTAGGGGGGATTGTTATGCATTACTATTCAAACTACAGTTTGTAGCAGCCTTGCGTATTGAGGATCAAGACATGACAGTACATGGAAATACTCGTGAGACAGTTATCGTGCACCATGTGATACTTCATTTGCCATCAGCACCAGATAGAAACCACAGCCATTATTTATTCTAATGACACTTTGGATAGTTTAGTCTCAGTGTATGACTATTATACAATGTGGGATAAGCAGCCCTTTGACTTTCACAGCCCCTCACTGCACATGTAATCACACTGCTTGATGAGACCTATTCAGTGCGTCTGCTAGCTAACTTATAGCCTCTAGCTCCCTCACTAGCATAAAGCTAATGCAGCACTTCGGGATTAAAGGCACATGCTACTTACGTTCCCCTACAAGTAGTATCCTCACGTCCTTCCTCATCTTTTAGCTTGCTTCCCTCTACAGAAAGGACAGTCTTTTTTGTTTCATGTAGTCGTCTGAACGCCGTCCTCCTCCGGCCTGCGCAGTTCAGTCCTGCCGCTGTCAAACTCTCGGCGCCTTTGTAGGACAAAACGGACGGACAGTTTTTGTTGCTCCTCGCTGTTTTCTACACGCTTCCTCTCAACTTGCGACTTATCAGCTCAGCGTACATGCAATTTAAAAGGTAGTTTGTGGCACATTTCCCTGTAATTTCATGTTAATCACAGTATTTTCGGCGAAATTCGCAGTGAATGTTTCATGAGCATGCCCGACCTCCAGCACCCGGCAGCTACAGCAAGCCATAAAGGACAAACTACATATGAAATTTAAAAACGCGTAAAGCTGCTCTCTGGCGCCAAAGAGAGGAAATGCACTTATTTCTCCTATCTTCCTTCATCCACAGACTGTATTTAGTTCTTATTTTTCTTTATTAACTCAGGATAATAATATAGACACAACATATAACAAGAATCGTAGCAATAAAGTTGCAAAAGATACATACAACAACGTACATATAGTGACAACCACATAAAAAGGAAAGGGACTGAGCAAGGATATACTGTATTACAGAAAGATCTTCAAACAAGTACAGACATTAACAATCTTCAAAGCCTTTTTGTTGGAGGAGAAATCATTCTAAAATAAAGTTTCTTTTTCAAGGATTAGAAACAGAGGTTTTAAATTTAAAATAAATTTGCAGTTGTGTATGTGAAATTTAGCCAAAAGCGCCAAACCAAAACAGGACATTCTGCCTAAACAAAACCTGAAACCTGATTATATACGATAATTTAGGAATGTGCAAACGTCCCGCCAAAATTGTTTTACATAAACAAAATGCCAAAACATAAGCCTTCACCCCAGTAAATGATCACAACGGTTACTAACAATACTTAACATGACAGAATATCTGTGACATTAGTGGAGGGTAATGCCGTAAAGATTAAAAATTTAATTCCCTTTTAACTTTTAGTGTTCTTACTGTGTTATATGTTTGTTTTTTGTTATGTTTATGACAGAATCAAGTCTAATGTAATCATATTTTGGAAACATGGGAAAAAGTTAAATAAATGTAGGAAAAAATCTAAATAATAAATTATAAACACATATCCATAATGGTTGCCCCAAGGTTAGAGGTCATATTTTAACATAATGAGGATTTATCAAGTCCCATTTGCATTAAAATTCAGTAGTTTTGCCAAAGTCATGTATGCTAAAAAAGTTATGTATTCACAGCTGTATAAAGGGCAAAAATGTAGGAATTAAATAAAAGTTTTATCCAAACTGTCCATAACATGTAATCTATGGATTCAACCACACTGTTGTTTTTTTATTTTTTTATTTTAGGGGGGTAAGAGCGTTGTGAAACATGTTCACTACCAAATGTTAAATTGTATGCTTATTCGTTAGGAAATTTAAATTATATAAAAATAAAAAACATCATACATCTCTCATGATGTTCTGCAATGTTTGTAACCTATCTTCTGTTACAATATGTGATCATCAGTGTTGTATGTTTGGTCATAAGAGTGGATTTTACATAATGATACAATACTTTCTGAAGTCTGAGATTGAGTATCAGATCCAGTGTCAGTTATAGGGAGTGCATGGAAGTCTTTAATCCACACAACAGCAAAGAGCACAGCCAGAGTCATGGTCCAAGATGCTTTATATGCAGCAAAAAGATGAGAGTCAGTATTGGGAGCAACATGGTGAGCAGTCAGTGCTGGTCCAGCGAATTAACAGCAGATCACTGTTCATCTGTTGTACTACTGTAGTTCAGTCAGCTGTTGACACACCTATCGGTAGTTCATCTTTTATACCTGATGTTGGCTTCAACTGGAAAGAGAAAGCATGTAAAGCGTGGGGTCATACGTATGTATAATGCAGAGTAGGACAACTTTCCATGGTGCTGTGTACAGGTCTATGTAAGCATTAACACATATGTGAGTACAGGTGCGCTGTCTGGGCTAACTTTGCAGAAACAAACCTAAAATTAATTAGGCACCCTAGTGGTATTTTCTAGCCTTGCTTACTGGTATAATCCTGTGGTGCCATGGGCCTGGACAGGACCTGTCTCAGGGCGCCCAGCCACTCCCTCTGCTCCCTCTCCTGTTCACACATGAAGACAAAGTGTCGCTCAGGCGTCTCCACCCTTACGCCACATTTCCACTTGTTCCCCCGAGTATGCTTTGGGACACACTCCTTCACCGAGTAGCCATTGCTCTCTGTTCCAATAAAAATGACCCCTAACTCTTCTGCATCCTACATTCACAAAAATGAAAACGCATTAACATTCATAACATAATCGTGGTTAAAGTCTTGACAATGACATTGATTACAGCAGTGCACAGCATTGGGTTAGAATGGGACCAGGTTTTAAACTCACCAGTTGGCCTTTGAAGTAGAACAACTTCCTGTTTTGAGAGTCCAAAATAAACCACCTCTTTTTGAATGGCTCCTTTTGCTGTTAAAAGAAAACTCATTTAATGTAACCACTTTACCTGAAAAATGACAATATAAATTTGATCATTTTCTGCCCAAGCTCCATTTCTCCAACTCTTCTATAATACCAATAAATTTTTGGGTGTGTTTGTGTATGCAGGAGGAACAGAAACTCTACTGGTTAAGACTGTATTAAGACTGTACCTAGACTGCCTTTCTCAAAGTATGTGTAAGTCAAAGTATCAGTTTAGTGCTGACAAAATAAATAATAAATAAATAAATGTACAAATATATCTCATATAAGAACACATATCTGTTTAACTTTGTTTTTTTTATATAACTTACCAGTGGCCCTGTCTTTTCCATGTATCCCTCTTTGAGGTAGTTTCTTGTTATCTTTGGTATGAGCTGAGAAAGAGACGTAAAGGTACACACGAGTTAAGCTTTAAAACATAAAAGTGAAAAGAGGCAAGTTTCTGTTCTTATTGCTATTGAGTCTGCTGAACGTGAAAGTTCACTGCATTAGCTGTAAATAAATTGCAATTTTTCTTTTCAGTTACTGAAAGGTGACTATTAAGTTAATTTGGTTTTGAGAAGGTTTGATGCGTACTTCTTCATTGCTTCCAGTCGGGTAAGCTGTCATCAGGTACGCATAGCGAGCAGCACGAATGGCGTTGTACCAGGTGACTATTTCCTAGAGTAGAAAAAGAGACCCTGAGCTTCTGCACAGCCCCAAAGCTACTGTATGACATTCAGTATAAGACCTGCTATTTAGAGTTTGGATGATCATGCAATCCCACCTCAGGACTCTCGTGATAGACATAGAGGTTCCTGATGTGATCAAAGTCTTGGTAGGTGATCTGCATCCCATGTGGATGACCAATCTTCTCTGGCTGAAAGGTGACGTTTAGGTCCTTGATGGAGATTACAGCTTTAGGGCCTTTGGACTCCTAGATCACATAAATGTAGATGTACACTTCAGAGTTGGTAGAAAGGATACAACAACTGGATTTAATCAGCTTAATGCTGTTTGTACCCTCATTTATAGCCATGCTAGTAGTACGGCTCGAGGGAAGACAATGTTGGTCAGCTGGGTCCACCCCTTTGGTCTAAACTGAAAAATAAATGTATGGATTGCCATGAAATTAGGTACAGACATTCATGGCCCCCAGAGGATGAATTGTAATAATTTTGGTGATCCTCTGACCTTACCTCTAGCGCCATCATCAGGTCAAAGTTTCAGTTTGGTAATCTTTGGTGTATGACCAAATACTTGCCAAACTAATGACATTCCCATCAGCCTTAGCTGTACTTTATGTTTAGTGTTTACTCGCAAATGTTAGCATGCTAACACGTTAAATGTTAGCATGCTAACACGTTAAATTAAGATGGTGAACTTGGTGAACATTATACATTACAGGGTGTTTGCATGCTGACGTTAGCATGTGGCTCAAAGCACCACTGTGCTTCATGAAACTGTTGGCATGGCTGCAGATTCTTCAGGCTTATTTTTCTTTTTTTCCCCTTTCGGTTTTTGTTTTAGTGGAATTGCTGTCAATTAAACGATAAGGTTAAAAAGTTAGTTTAAAGTTACGGAGGAAAGAGATAAAATCAAATCAATGCAAATACCTTTACATCACACAGATATGAAATATTAATATCAACCCCACATGTTGCAGTATTAAGGAATTGAAATGGTTTTCAAAAGATCATATTCATTCATGTTGGACAGTGCAGTTCAACTGTGTCAGGGCTGCAGGGAACTCACATTTTCTTTGTTGTAGTAAGTCAGGGTAAATTCTCTCTCTGACAGTACAAACTTCCTCTTCAGAAAATGTGTGTTCTCCTTCCCTTTCTTCCACAGCATCCCTTCGTAGAAACCTGGATTCAGTACAAGAGTCACAGGTGCTTCTATACACACAGCTCTTACTCAAAGTGAATATGGTTTGGTTGCACAGCCAAACATTTTGCAAAGAGTGACAATCTGGGAAGTTTTCACTTCCTGGCTGTTTCGTTATGCAAAGAACAGGTTTTTCTTGCACAGTTCTGCAAGTGTATGAGGAACCACATTGTTAATAACATTTTTACACCAACAGACTGAGAAAGATTTATGCTCTACAGTACACACACATGTAAGCAAACACTGAAAACATACATCACCTGTGGTATAGGAAAGTGGTGGATACTTGGTTTCTCCTGTGAATTCCTCCCTTTCATATTTAGCCCGAATCCACTGCTCTCTTAAGACCCTGTGGTTTCAAGGGCAAACACGCAGTTAAACAGTTAGTCAACATAAGCTACAGTATCAAAACAGGAGAACATGATTCATTAAGCTTTGATCTTGCTGCAGAATCCAAATTTCACTTCTACAATTGGTAGTTGCACTTCTATTTTTTGTTGCACTGCCTTGTCAGCAGTCTGTGGTTGCTCATAAATGTATAACCAAATATTCCATCATGAAGACATCAACCAGTCACAAAGACAGTTTTCTGAAGAATATAAACATCCTGGAGAAATACTTACACACAATCATTTTCTTGGGGCCGATAGTAGTACACTGGAACAGCTTTCTCATACATAGCTTGGGCGCTGGCATTGCCATTGGATTTCATGAACTTCCCGGGTCCCAAAAAGACACACACAGAGATTACACATGGACACAGCCAGTCCGTCCATTCACTTAACTGATATGCTAGCATTGCTATAATAACATGACAAAGCAGTACCATACCTCCACATGCTCATCCTCCCAGAAATCCAGCTTTATGGATTTGACCCGGCTGTGGAGGCTGCGATGGATGCCGGAGCAGGTCAGACACACAAACACACCCAGCTTGTACGATGCCCAATCTGGATCTGAGG